GTCTCGGTCGCCTTATCTCTGGTTTTAGCCGGCAAGATCATCCCATTTAACCGTTCCAGATTTCTTTTTCGGGCCCGTATGGTCATCAATTCTGGCAGAGGTCATTTAGTCGAGATCATTTTCTATAACAAATTTGAGACATCAAATAAACATAATCCAAAAGCAGAACCAAAGTTTTTCATTCATAAAAAAAACGTGACAACTTTTGTGTCACCTTGTACATATTGCAACGCTTCGGTCGCAACCGGCCTTGGCTTAATAAGTTGACATAGCTGTGCTATCCAATACTATAACGATATGATATGCACATGAGAGTATATGCTGATAACTTTTTATCATATACAGTAACTTTTTTATATGACACGGGCAAATCTTGAATACCACATAAATTCGATAAGAAATTTTCTGCTGTAAGCGATGAGAGTAGCCATAAGACATAATGGCATTAATGATAATAAACTAAAAACGGAGCGTGAAAAAAACGAAGATTTACATATTTATTAAAAATAGCAACACTTATTGGATTGTATACCATCTAAGCAGGGCAAAACCGAATATAAATTGTAGTTTTAATGTAAGTTGTTTTATTACCAACATTACAAAAAAAAATTGAGTTAATGGTTTCCAAAATTTGTTTACACTCCCACTTCATCCTTCGGGATACCACACACACACCCACCAGATGTGTCCTTCTCCTCCTAATTTAACTAATTTAACAGATCGCGGGAGACGCAAAAGTGCGCCATCTGGGCACTAAATAGGGTGTATCCCCCACACGCGTAGAAGACGAGGTTTTGTCGCTATTTCCGGCGTATCCCGTTCGTTGTGTTTTCGAATCTTTTTCGGGAAGCTTCAATTTGTTTGTGATTCGTTTGCGGTGGTCCCGGATAAATTAAAATGTTATTGTGATAAATTAATCTTTTAGTTATCTCAATCTGGGTAATTTAACAAATTGGTTTCTCCTCAAGCTAAAGAAACACAGAGAGAGAGCAAATCCGTGCGTCACGGTTAAGGCACGTCGCAAAGTAAAACAAATACTCGAGTGGCAGATTGAGCCATGGCAGAGTCAAGTATCGTTTTCCTTCTTCGACGAGAAGAACGGGAGCGATAGAGATGGGTATTGCGATAGAGATAGCGGAGGGGATTGGGCAATAATCCGAAAGGGTGAATCCGGAGAGCTAACATCTGGACATCTGCGTATGACGGCTGAGGTTCTGCTTGTATGTCACTTCAGGGGGCCATATGGTCGACATGGGATTGCGGACCGACACTGTTAACGTTGCCGTCGGCTTGTAATTGCTTTAATTCGGTCCTCGACCGCCGGGACATCTCGCAGAACAGATGGTTTAGAAAGTTTCACACATACAGCACTTGTTCGTTTCGTTTCATTTTGTTCATTGGTGCGTTCGCTCACCGGCAGTGATTTACTGTAAATTATTTTTTTGCGCATGTTGATTTAGGTCAATTTGGTTAACACAGATTATTTTATCCTACTTTTATTCATACTTCGTGATGTTTTAACGATGATCATCTCTACTCTTCTAAATGATTACTAAATTATTAATTAGAGTTATGTTGTTCGATATGTGTATGAAGATAGTAACTTTTAGATGGTCCAATAAAGACGGAAGGTGGTGGTATACGGATGCTGAGTTAATACTTACGTAGTTTAGTTCGGTTGGGTCCGAGTTGGCGCTGCGCCGTCGCCGCCGGTGCGTCCCGGATCAGTGACCGTGGCCAGCTGGCGCCATGCACCGTCATAAATAATACCGCACAAGCAGGCGGTGGAATGCCAGCGGCCAGATGGTCCGACGGCACTTGTCGCCGACGGAGGCACCTCCCCGATCCCCTCACTGCCCTCTTTTAGCCGCCGACGCCCCCCGTTCTACGTCCCGCGGCGCAGCATCCCGCACGGTGACGACGACGACGACGCCAACGCCGGCCGCCTCTCGGCCAGACCGAGGTCACGATACGTACATCTGGCGGTAGCGAGGGGATCACAGATTATAAAAGCACTATTGTAACGAAAATAAACATCAAATTACAGCAACTATGCAAAAAAATCCTCTTCTCAAACATAGTTGGCTCATAAATAATAATTGATGAGAAATTTGTTTCAAACAACGCATTTAATTTGTATTACAACTTTCATTACAAGTTAATTGACTCCATAGTTGCATAAAATCGAACCACTAGAAAAACTAGCAGACTGCTCATCAATATTCATCGAACAATTATTTAAAACAAACGTTGTATATATACACCGATTAAAACGGCCTCGTTTCTGGGAATATCCGCGATTATATAATCTCATAAATATATATTTTTTTTGCCATGACAATTATAACTGTAAGTATTAATAATGATAATGCTAGCGGAAATCTGTACGTTCCCGTTTTGGCTACAAGTGACGACGCGTTGGTGGGCCGACGCTTGGCGTCGAAATCATGCTGGAACCAGCCGACAGAACGCGGCGCCTGCATTTTACTAAAATTACGACCGTGCGAAGGCGACGTCGCTCGTTTATGCTTCTTTGTTATGCAACAATTGGCTCTCTACAAGATAGATATACACTAAAAACTTACACCTGTTATGATAAAATAATAAAATTAAAACAGATTTAAAACTTAAATGTTTCAGTTTTGGGAAACATTCTTGTTCTATCGCTTTACAGCCCAAATCGGACTCCGACTTCCTACGCTGCTCTTCTCCAATCCCAAAGGCATAAAAGATCATCGCTTACTGCGTTTTGTATTTTCAGCCTTTGTGGTATATGTGACATCTTTGAAAAGCTAAAACACATTTCGCTGTCATAGTTGATTGTAATGACGTTCTGTGTCTGTGTTAATATCTTTGTTCTTGCGTGTCACTTCCGTTCGTAACTTTTGTAAGACTAATATTCACATCGTCTGCATATGCAACTAATTGTAATATTTTTTCGGCCAACAACATTTCCTCTTCCAATATCTATTTGTCTCATGATTGATTCAAGTATATGAACGGTATTGGTTTAAGGTAGCACGAATAGCTCGTGTAGCTCCACAGGTTTGATATAGTCCATTTGTAAATTTGCTTCATATGCCTTTTTAAAGCCTACAAAGATGTTATGTACTTTCTAATTTTCCGTAAAATTAGTCAACTGACTTCCCGCATTTAAAATCGGTTTGGTATTCACCAATTAATATCACCATTTTTATAAATCATTTGTATTTGAAAAGACTTATTTGGAGTTATATTCTTTCTTTTAATCAGTCCATTTACATATTGCTTTTTCTTCTTCCTACACAATTTATCTGTTCTTCGAAAATAATTTGTCTTTATTCTCCATGACACATTCCTCTTATGTGCTCTATTTCTCTCTTCTATCGCTTTCGTATACTCTTCATCAAACCATGATACTTTTTTCAATTTTTCTTACTTTCCTATCTTAGGAATTATGTGACTTCATCAGAAATTCCCCATTTTCATTGGTCCCTTTATACAGAGAGTTTCCTCGTATTATACCCACGAAGTGAGCCAATATGAGATTAACATCATTTCCTTGTATCTTGTTATATACTCTTTGCAGGTGAGTTTTTGTGTATCGTATTTGCCCAGCCATTTAGCTCCTTGTATAGGTGTTACCATTGTTTCCCATTGGGGTTGGTTTCCATAGTCTTCCTCAGGGTTTCATGGTCAACCAGCTTGGAGGAGAAAATCGTAATTGGGTCCATATTTCAATCTAAAATTTGAAATCATTCTTAAATAAATAATTAAAATATTAATAATTAATTTATTGTAGAGAAGAAACGTCGTAATTTTATAGGAACTCCGTATTGTTCGCTTCACATCCTCTTGATGGATTCCATTCGTAAAGTAGAACTGATACTTGAGAAAGCGAAGCTGGACTTTCTCAATTATAACTTGATGAGACGTATAAGTTGTAACTCCATGATACGTTTCTATGTCTTTAGCGAAGGCTGTTACATTATTAATTAACTCTGAAATTGACATTTTTCTTATTGATATTCAGTTTATGTCTAAGAATTTCATACTAAATAGTATTTAATTTACCATATCCTTTTCATGTAAGTTTCGCTTTGCATTATAGATTCCCGATTAACAACATTATTAATTTCTTCATTTTTATGTATATACTAACTAAATTGTTTAAATTTAGTTAACTCGAAGTGAATCCAAACATGCGATCGCAAACTGGTAAGCTCAGACCAACGTCCTCTCATTATAATTAGTAAACAACGGTCGCCGTTCGCTTTAACTGGCGCCTAGTGCTATCGGCGTCCACTTAACAGATAGTGACTACTATATACAACAGAAAAATAACAGACAACTCTTCGACGGTTTCGATAATTTCGTATTAATTAGTCGACGTCTTCGACCTTTTCGACCCGATGAAAAACAAAACAATCCCCCACCTACTAGGTTCTAGTTTGATCCTTTTACTTTTTTGCTAAACAGATTTCAATTCTGCAAATGAAGACGGCCACGTGGTATAATGTAAACCGTATCGAAATCGATGTTTTGATTTGCGCTGTAGAAATAAATTAGTTGGTTTTGTGAATGACTGGGTTAAATAGGGTTATCGCAAAACATGTGTAAGATTTGATGAATTTTCTTTTCATAATAATGGATTCTTCTCAATTAAAATGATCTTTTAAAGTTGACGTCGGGACATCGCACCATCACCATCATCATCATTGCAGGTGCTTCTCAACCTGTCCGAATCTATATCCATTGTCCGAGTGGAGTCGAAAAAGGGGTCTGGATGGATGGACGGTGGCGGGCGTTGGGGGCGTCTTTTGGACGGAACGGTGTGAAAGATTAAGGCGAAAGAGAAGTGTAAGCGGCCGGCAGGTGTCGGCAGGCGGCAGTCGGCATTCCGACGGCGGAGACTCCTGGCGCCAGTTGCGGGGCCCAAGTCCCGGCACCCCGCTACCGCCGTCGACGACGTACTAGGCCCCAAAACGGCGGCGCTCGCCGTTGCTCTGATCGGCCCGGCTGGCGCACAGTCCGCTCTGAAACGTCGCCCGGAGACCATCTCTCGTGTACGACAAGCGAGTTGTCGGCGGCGCCCCCGCGTACCAACTCCTACAACGTACGACGTCTACGGCGGCTCTTTTGTCCGAAGCGCGCGCGTGTATTGGTGTATGTGACCGTGTCCAGTGGCGCCAACTCGACGCGCTCTCTCTTCAATCTTTACCATTGCTGCGTGTTTCTTTGTCGAACAGGACGTTTTACGCTGTTTACTATACGGATGATGACTTATAGTAACGGAAGGACTATTGTCACTTCAGGTAATTTATTCTTGCAAAAAAAAACAAAAATATTAAAAGTTAAAAAAACCTAAAACTTTCTTTCCTTAACAATGATTTTATCAAATAAGATATTAAATAAAATCAAAATAATAAACGCTGTTATACAATATAAAAATATTCATTTTGGGTTAAAAAGAGTCAACATAAAACAACCTTATTTACATCAATAATGAGTAGTTTGATTCAAAAGCACTCAATTATTTAAATATATGCAATTTAAGGTAATTGTAACAACTCCAAAAAGTTTAAAACCCATACCAAATCGAATCTAAATGTTCCAACCCAATAATATTTAATTGGTGATAGGCAAATTTGTAGATGAAGCAAAAAAGAGATAAACACCATTAAAGTAGTGATGGGTTAAATAAAGATTGGTGGGTCATTAAAAAGCTAGAGTCAAACAGCAGGTATCGGCCCCTCAGGTGTCTCATTGTTTTGTAATGGCGTGAAGCAGTTAGGGTCCGACATCCAATTTTCACAATGGCAGTTTTACAGCTGCGAGCGTCATGGAACGCCATGGAGCGCCGCGGGCGCCCTCTGCTGGCGCCAGCTCTCATTTGCATAACTTATACCTGCTCATCGTAGTCGTCCTCGTCTTCGTCTAAACATTGACCACCACGACCAGACACCAATACAAATATAAACTACTACGAACCAGTTTTCTGCATCCAATTTCCTGATATCCCAAAGTTCATAACTCATTATCACACTTCTCCGTTGACACATTTAACTTGTATTGGCACCATTGATTCTGTTCTCTTTTGAATTATAACTTTACCTTTAAATTTTTTTTATTCTTTTAGCCGAAATGGACCAAACGCCACTTTGTCCAACAGACGACGACTTCACCGATGAGATTCATTCTCCAACTGGAAGCAGCGAGGATAGCGTCGAAGTTAAAGTGGAGGCGATTTCGCTGAAAAATAAAAGGAAATGCGTAGAACCTCGCCGAGTGCAAGATGGTCCCCCAAAAAAACGTCTTTGCCTCCAAAACTCCGTCCAACATTTCCGTCCGTGGAGCCTCAACCCCGAAAAATTGGACAACGAGGAGCATCATCCCCATTATTACCACCCACTTCAAGCGGTAAAACCAGAAGTTATCGTTCCATTAGTCGCGATACCAGAAGTTTCGCATGGATACTTCAGACCTCCATCGCCAGTGCGAAGATCGCCTTCACCCGTCCAAGAACCTGTCGCCTTAGTGAAACGGAAGGAAGTGATTTGTGATGACGATAATATAAAAACTGAAAAATGTAATGGTGAAATTTTCGCTAAACCCGAAGTTTTTGTTAAACCCGAAGTTTTAAGAGTACCAGTTCACCCAATCGCGGCTATTTCAACCGCAGAAACTGAACATATTATTAAAAATTCAGTTGAAGCTTTCCCAAGGTAATTGAATAACTAACTCAATTAAAACAAAATTTAATTAAATTGAATTAATTTCAGATTACAACAAAATAATAGAAAAGAACAACGCAATTACAAAAACATGACCCGAGAACGTCGCATAGAAGCAAACGCAAGGGAACGAACGCGAGTGCATACGATAAGCGCTGCTTTTGATACCTTAAGAAAATCGGTACCTGCTTATTCAAGTGCGCAAAAGCTTTCAAAACTTTCTGTGCTTCGCGTCGCTTGCAGTTACATAGCGACGTTAAGCAGCATGTTACAAGACGATGATAGTCACGTAGCGCAATGCGTGGACCAAGTTACAAAAACAATACAAAGGGAAGGAAAATTAAGGAAGAAAAAAGACGATATCGATTGAAAGGATTAATTTAGCTTCCTACAAATAACAAACAAAAAGAAATATTGTGTGATAGTAGTAAAAGTATAAATTTCAAATCGAAACGCGTTAAAATATTAAATGGTGCCAAAATTTGAGACTGACTATCTCTAATTAATTAATTTTATTGTAAAAACTGGTTGTGACTATGTGGATTGTAAGAGATTCGACGTATTTATTTTTCGCTATTAAATCAAATGTGTGGGTATATGTTCCTGCTGAAAAAATAGTTTTATGACAAAAGTGTTAATCGACGGAAAAGTACAAATGTTTTTATTACTTTGTTTTTTTTTTTTTTGGTTTTTATGAAATTCCTTCAATTCGCTGTTCTTGTATATAATTCATTGTAAATAAGTACTTAAATGATTGCTATTTGAAATATTTATTTAAATACATGTTTTGAAACAAAATGTTTTATTTCATTTCTTTAATACCAGATGTAATAGCACAATATTAAACCGGGAATTTCATATAACTCGCAATAGATGAATGCAGTAACCATAGTTACGAAACTAACATAGCTACATACATGCATTAGGTAGTTTTGCAAAGGAAAAGTTTTTGCCCTTCAGTTTTCGGCCGTCTTAAGAGACGCATGGCTATACCTGAATGTTTCTGGTTTTAGGTGTAGTGTTAGTTTTACTTGTCGTTCAATAAAAATATACCACAATCTAACGCTAAATAACAAAACTAGAACTAACACAAGACCTAGAACCAGAAACATTCGGGTTGGGTTGATTCTAGTTTTAGGTCTTGTGTTAGTTCTAGTGATAGTGCTAGTGTAAAACTAGAACTAACACTAGACCTAGAAAGTATTGGGTATGTTATTAAACAACTTAAGGCAGAACACTATTTTGTACAGAAAGTGTACCATAACACTCAAAAGAACAAGTTATATAACATTAACAACTTGTCAAGCAATTGAACATCTTTAACGTTCTTTAAGGCTAGGTTGTGGATGCCAAAGACATAGTACAGCGACTGTCGACATCTTAAAAGCTAAATTATCTCTCACAAAGGCTTGCATTTTGCATTCCAAATACTTTTGAGGTTGAAACAAGTTTGAGCTTTTAACAAATGAGGTCTTTGTTATCTAATCGATTCCTCCTTCATAAAACTATAAATATGAGGTTAAGTTGTAGACGTTAATGAAGATACTGCGTCTTTCCTATTCGGTTAACACAGAAAAAACATTTAAAACAAATAACTTTAAGGTTATAACAAAAAAATGAATGACTAAACTAAATAACTTGCAATCAGTACTTACTTTTCTTGAAATTAATGTGTTTTTGTGGTTCACAAGTTTTAAACCCGAACTACTTCACCATTATCTATCCGAATAAGTACACCTTTGCGAGTTTATTATCTTACAACGTTCTTTGACATTTTTAGCAATACAAAAAATCAGCTAAAAACTAAAAGGCTACCAACCTATTTCGTTTTCCTGGCTTCTCTATTAAGGAGATTTTTCGGTTATCACTGGAGAACTAATCATCTTCGAATTAAATTTATCTGTGTAGGACATCTATTTATTATAACATCGAAGTGGAACTTCATTTTCAATTCGCCGTCTTAAGGAGGTTCCATTTTAGTTAGAAACCTGTATTGGAAAAGAAAATAATAGTTAAATTATTTTTCGTATAGATGGCGCTGTACTATGTGTGACGTAATGATGGTGAAATAAACGAAATCTACTGACGCTAACATGAAACGAAAAACAAGATTTAAAACGAGATTTACGAAATAATATAAATATGTTTTTGGTGTCGTACTTATCTGGGGGTTATTTTAGGACTCAAACAGGATAAGTTGCCGTTCTGGATAATTTTCGGGATTTAGGATGATTCGCTACCGTTTCTTAAGGAATTCTATAATAGGGATTTCTTGTTTTATAATAAAATCGTACTTTTTTAGCGATTTATCTTCTAAATTATTTCAAAATTGCGAGGAAAGACGACGCAACACATCTAACCCCTTCGGCGTCTAAAGAACTGTCATTCGATTTTCATTTTTTTGTGTTGTTACAAACCTTACAAAAAATAATTTTGATTTTTAAAACTAATTAATTTCAAACTTATAAAACAAACCAAAATTAAATATTGTTACGGAGATATCATATTAATAAATAAATTATATTATTTATTTATTATAAAAGAAAAATAAGTAAAAATCAATTCTATTAATAGAGGGAGCCACCTATTATCAAAATTTTATGAACGGATAATTTGGATTTTAAAAATAAATATTTTCAAAATTAAAGTACATTTAATAATATTTAAAAAAATAATAAACTTTAATTATAATTATTATTTTTTGCATTGATAAAAATATTATTTAGCGCCATCTATAAAATAAGACCCAAAACACAATACGTCAAAAACACGTGTTATGTCAAATTATAAACAATGTCAATAAACGTAGAAAAATTTAATTTAAATAAATCTCCACAATGCCCGCACGGCCCAACAATTTTATTTTCAAGAAGCACACACGAAAAAAGAAAATTTTTCGCCTGTTCCGCTTGTAGAGACAAGAAAGATTGCAACTTCTTCTTATGGCAAGACGAGGTAGATTCTTTGAGTGAATCGGTGAGGAAATCTTGGGAAGATGAACGTAAAAGCTATATTAAAGGCATAAACAGAAAAAAAAAAGTTGAGATGTTAAATTTGATGAAAAAATTACCTCAACACAAACGACGATATTGCCTAAAATGTAATCGATTCGTTTTAGAGAAGTTTTTAAAGAAACACAACAAACACGATTTGATTAACATTTCCGATGAATTACTTTCTAAACCAAGTTATATCTTTAAACCGTTAGATAATAACCGAAAAGAAGCGCAATATTTGTTTTCTCCGTCTACGATAACGATGATTATTAACGTTTTAAAAGATTTAAACGTAAAGTGAGTTTTTAATATGAATTTTGATGTTTAATCAACTTTATTTTTGAAGGAATGTTTTATGTGTTGGTACTCCCCGGATTCATGAATTTATTTTAACAGGGAATCTCAATAAAAATTCTTTGTTGTTGGATTTTGATAAAAGGTATCATAATTTTTATAATATCGACCAATTTTGTTGGTACAACATGTTTAATCATCATTTTTTCTTAAAATCGAAACGAGTTTTTAATGAATTTATTAAAAATAGGTACGTTTTGTGTTAACTTTGAATTATTAATAATTAAAATGATTTATTTTTAGTTTCGGTAATCTAATATTGATAGTTGATCCCCCATTTGGAGGGCGAATTGAGTTATTAGCTAAAACTTTTAGGAGAATAAACAAGGCGTTTAGGAATATAACAAACGTTCAAGAAGATTTAAAGGTTTTGTTTATATTTCCGTACTTTATGGAGCCGCAAATTTTGAATTCTTTGCCAGAATATAAAATGTTGGATTATAAGATACAGTATGATAATCATGTTTTATTTCAACATGGTGTTAAAGGACGGAAACAAGGATCCCCTGTTAGGATTTTCACCAATATTAATCCGAGGTGGTTTTTTATTTAATTATACTCTATTTTTTTTAATTCCTTGGAGTAAAATAAGTCACGTTTATACAGTGTAATTTTGCAGTTATCTTTTGGCGGGAGTTTTAAAATCTGAGGATTTTAAGTAAATAATTATTTGAAACGTCAATTTAATTTAATTTTTTAGGACTTTCTGAAGGTTTGACATAAAAAAAACTTAAATAAATTCCTTTTTTCCTATGATTTAAGCATAAATTAATTTTCGGAAAAAAAATGACGTTTCTTAAAATTGACATTTAATTTTGACAAATTGATGTGAAGTTGGTTACAGTTGGTAACATTGAATTTGTGTCACATTGACGTTTAAACTTTATTCAAAAATATATTTAAAAAAATAAATTTATGAAATCAATTTCAATAGTAATCGGGGACAAAGTGTAGTATTCAACTCACATATAATGAGCTATTATTCAGTCAGGTTAAGTTTCGAGTTTAGCCGTGGGTCTTCAAACGCACGGCTAAACCCGAACGTTTCTAGTTCTAGGTCTAGTGTTAGTTCTAATTTTACACTATCACTTTTATTTACAGTATGATTTTAGCCTAGTGAATTTTCCTAGTGTAAATTTTATTTAAAACTGACCAATAGCAACCTTTCTTTTTGGCGCTTCATTTTAAAAACACTCCTCCGAATTAAAAAATAGAGTATAATACTTAATAATTTATAAAAAATAATTATTTTGTAGTTTAATTCAACTTCCTAAAGATGAAGGATATAAATATTGTGGGAAATGTAATCGATGGGTTTCCAATGAAAACAAACATTGTAATAAATGTAATTCTTGCACCTCAAAAGATGGGAGAACGTATATTCATTGTGATAAATGTGAGAGATGCGTTAAACCGACATGGATACATTGCAACGATTGTAATAAATGCGCCCTAAAGGATCATTATTGTGGAGAGTTACCGTTTCAAAAGCAATGTTTTCATTGCCATAAAGACGGGCATAAAAAACGGGAATGTCCCGAGGTTGATCATGAATTGTTAAGAAAAAAAAGGCGAAAATAAATAAATTAATTCATTAAATTTTCGTTTTGTAGAATAGTTTGTTTGACAGCTTCAACGGCTTCAGACATTTCCAGTCCTTCTAAATAATAACAAAAATTCTCTAAAGTGGAATCATCGTCATCCTCAAACCAAACGTGCAACATATTTTTAGCTCTACTAAAATCATCTTTGTTCTCGGCTTCGAAGAAAGTGATCTCATCCGGTTTAAACCCAATTTTCGCCGCTAATTTTTTCCAATTATACGCACTCTTCTCGCAAAATTGATCAAACTGCCCCGTTGTAAACATGGCGACTTTAAATCGTATAAAGTTATCGTCTAAATCGGTGTCAGTGTCGTTATTTTTAATATCCTCGCCCGGTTTAAATAGGTTCGCTTCTAATTCTACGTCGTTTTGATTCGAAGTATCTTGAACTCTACCTGGGCGATCGGCGGCAATTCGATTAATCATCGCTTGTAAATAAGCTGAAAGTGGGCTTTGAGGGCTATTTCCGTACGAAAAAAAGTGCGGGCTTCTACGAGCCATTAATCGTAAAGCTCTCCAACCGAAATTGGCGTCTTTTAAAAGGTTATCTTCGTCGGGGACGACTAGTCCTGATTCGATTTGATCGATTGCGTCGGAAAAATAAGTTTCTAGTGATGGTAAAAAGTCGCGATCTTTAGCTTTACATGCTTCTAAGTTATCGGGGTATAAATTCCAGAGTTTCGTTAACTCGGGGCTAAAATTAAAGATTAAATTTGAATAATTTAGGTTGATTCCACTTACTTTCCCATGTAATATTTCCCGGAAATTGTGGCTTCTTTTATGGCGTCTCCTAGATAGAATTGTTCCGTTGGTTTTCGCTCGGAAGGAAGTTCAACGCTTAACGATTTCTTAAATTCTTTTAAAAAAATCAATAAATTCTATTATTAAATTAAAGTAATTCACCTGGGCTCAAAAAGGGAAGTAAGAGAGCAGTGGAGGGCTATAGGGGAATCAGCCTACTCAACTCTTCATACCAGATTTATGCGAAGATAAGATACTGCTGGGAAGATTGGAGGAGGAGATCAAGTTTTAGGAAGTGTAGAGGGGCGATCGATAACGTTTGCATCTTAAAATATCTGGTCGATAGAGAGTTGGATAAGAAGGACGAGAAGTTGAATGCCCTATTCATAGGAGTGAGGAAGGGGTTGATTTCTATTTTTTAAATTTGTTATCTGAGAGAGATCGTAACGCCAATAAAGACAGATATCAAACTGAACAAAAAAAAACTATTATGTTTACGTTAAGAAACTACTAAAGATTTAAGTCGTCGAAAATAATCGATAGATTCTCAATTAAAATGAAAGTATCGGTGTTATCGCGTAATTTTGATTCTTCATCTGACTCTTAAGTTATCTTAAATTATTGACATCAAAATTAACAGTAAAATTCCCACTTATCTGATAAATAACTTTTATGTTATGGTGAAACTCAATTTGATCCAAGGTCTCTATTGGATTGGAAGGTCCTTCTTAGGAATGGAAAATGGACAGCTGCGGTTCAGATAATTATTCTTCTTTGGATCTGGTGTGTGATAACTGCCCTCAGAAAATTTTCAGGAATACAGGTAATTTCTCCTCAATTTATTTTAAAATAATGTTTAAATTTAATTTTTCTTCTTTTCCCTTTTAGGTTAATAAAATCTTAATTCGGTGTTAAATTTGGATTGAATCAGAGATTGAATTATCGGATTTAAGGTTAGGAAACTACTTATGACTTTTTTTTAGGTTAGATTTTTTTATCAAAATTTAACCGCACTCTTGCCCTTACTAAATTGGACTGTCTTCCTTCAACTTTTTCCTTTTCTTATATACCCTTTTCCCCTTCTCCATAAAATTTTCTTCCTTCTATTTTTAACCCTCGCTCCTGATTGGTTAATGGGTTTCGCGCTATTTCTTCCCTTAAAATAATTTCAAATCTTCATAAATGTCGACAACGCCATCTAGCGGTTTTCTTTGAAACTACTCAAAATTCCAAAACCTTTTTTTTTCATTCATATCTTCTTTAATCCTTCACTAATTTGAATGAAACTTCGTATTTGATGCATATGTTTTTCTATTTCAGCCGTTAATTGGAGGTTTTAAGATTCTCCAACCACAAAAGAAGTTTGAATTTTACAAATTTTAAATCCAATTTTAAAGGTCAAAATCGTTCAAAATCTTCTTGATTCTAATAAATTAGATGTAACTGACACTGATCTTCCCGTTTTGGATGGTTTAAAAAGGATATTAACAGTTTTAAGAGAATTATGAGCAACTAAAAAGTAACTGTCAAGTGAATTGAGGTTATGTTTCTCTCTCAGGTAAAACCTGACTTGGAAGCTTTATTACAATATGTTGAGGGGATGTAGAGAGCTGAGAGAAGAAGAAAGGAACCGGTGGTAGATTCTGGAAGAGGGGGAAGAAGGCAAGGTATCGTAATCATGTATTGTACAGAAAATTGTAAACTTTTAGTTAACAATAAAAACTCTTGTATGTATAATTTACCTGGGCATCCATCATTTTTCCAAGTACTCCAATATTCCTCCCTTTTCAGAATATTTTTGCATATTTTAGCAAAATCCTCCCCATCGGGGGGCGTTTCTTTTAATAAATTATAAATTTTTTCCGTAGTCGATTGGACCCAATCCTTTTGGTCTTGTTTTAATTCAAAACTTTCTCTAGATAACCTCAAATTACTCAAAGAAAAGTTTAATTGAACGAACTTACGATTTAAATTTAACTGTAGAGGTCAAATATTGAAATAAAATCAAAAATTGGAGCAAAATAAACCTTCGGAAATTAACGTCGTAAATTTGGAGATCCAATAATTTTTGGTTGGTAAGATATTTGGGAAAATAATGCGCCTCGGTCCTAACGCCAGTTTTAGTGTCGACCCATCCACCCTCTTTAGCAATATAATCAACTTTAAGACCTTGGAATGTACTCAAAATGCTTGTTGCATGCTAAAAAATGTTAATTAAAAATTAATTAAATCGAAATTATTTTATTATTTTACCGAACAAAATAATTTCCAATGTACTTTGTTATAACATTGATTGGGGTTCCGAAAAAAATCCTGCAACGACCAAAACTTGCAATACAAACTGTAATCGATAACAACATTCTTTTTATCGCCATTCATCTCAATATCCGAGTTATTATCTTCCATGGATTCAGTTCCATACTCGGTAACATTTTCCAAATTAAACTCGCTAACGATATTCAACCCAGATCTCTCAGAAAAAGGGAAAAATTTCGCCAAAAACAACAAAATCCTCCCACAAAATACAGTCGCACTCGATCGAGATAACCTCCGCAACAAATCATTACACATCCGTAAAAGATTATTTTTACACGAAGTAAAAAATAACTCCTCTTTCCAAACATTAACCTCATTTTCAACATAAGTAAACATATTTTCGCACAGCTCCAAAGTCAACGACTCGAAAATATCCCCAAGAAGCACAACGGGCATTGTAGCGGTAGTCAAACCTTTTCGGCACGTTTCAACGCAAAAAGTCACCAATTCTTGGAGGACGGTTACTTCAACTTCCTTTTCAAGATACTCAAGTAAAACATCGCGAAATAACTGATCTAAAGGCGATTTTAAATCGATTTCCACGCGATTATACGATTTCACTTTTAATTCTAATATTGAAACATCGTGTTTTTGAAACGCTGTTATAAAAGTATCCTGAAAATAAAAACTTGAAATTTTTGATTTTATTAACGGCTTAATTACCTTGTATTCTTCGCGCAATACATCGAAATTCATTGTTTGTATTAGTTTTTTCGATTTTTCAAATAGAAAATAACTAAGAAAATGTTTGAGGTTATGTTTTGTTATTTAATTTAGGGTTAGAATAATTTCCCTAGAATAATTAAATTTCCCTAGATTTTATTTGTTGGAAATTAATTAATATATTATAAATATTTGAAATAATGCCTAATTATGTTGTGTAATACAAGATTAATTTACCGGATTTAATTTTTAAAAGTAAAATTGTTTATTTCATAAAATTTTGGTGTTAAATAAATTTGTGAGGTTATGTTGGGTAATATCTGTTTTTAAACATTTTTTGAATTTTTCAATTTTATTAAGTAAAACGATTTCTTTTTAGAATTAAATATGGATTTTAAGCTTATTTAATAAGCGCCCTTTATCGAAGCAATGTTTTATTTGTAGCAATAACAAAAGTGTTACTCTAAAATGAACATAAATACTGAAGAAATTGTAACTTTTAAGGAGGAAAAACAGAGAATTGGAGCTTGATAATTTATTTGCCCCAAATTGCTAAAAATGGAATTACGATGAGGCTTCTAAAATTAGTCCTTTTAAATGAAATTGGTGGAGTTTAAGACTTTTATTGGACGATAAAACAATTATAATTGGATCAAGACATTATGTTTATAACGTTAAAGATAAATTCAATAAAATATTTATTTCTGTAAAACTGTATCCAACATTCTTATCCTCGATTAATTCCTTTATTAATTTTCACAATGTTGCATTAAATTTCTTTGCCCTTTCTTTCGTCGTTTATTTGAATTTGTTTAACCTACGTGACTTGCGCCACTTTGTGCAATCGATCTTCGGGAAAATCTGGAGATACAGTGTTATTTTTGGGGACTTTATAACCAGAACGAATCGTTTTCGCGACTTTACTTCAGTCCACTCCAGTCTACCGTCGACTTTGAAGTGTTTAGGGTCACCTTCACCAAAAAGCTCGAGCTTTATTCAGATAAAAATTGTGGTGTGTCAACAGGTTGTGTTTGTGATTTAATTTTTGTATTTTAAGAAATCGTTTTTTGTGCTAAAACGTGTTTTTTTGTTTAGAATAAAAATGGATACGGAGCAGAAGAAAGGATTTTTCGGTAAGATCATTATTGCGGTTTTTTAGTCCATTGGCATAAATTCAAAATAAAATATCGCTAAAAATAGCTCATTCTTTCGCGTTTATTATTCAAAACAGCTTTAATTTTTCTTTTTTCAGGATTAATTCAATGTAGATACATCGTAGCTTGTCTTGGATCTATTGGAATGGCGATAGCTTATGGGTTAAAAGTAAATTTAAGTGTTGCAATCGTTACAATGGTAAACCACACAGCTTTGGAACTTTCGAATTCCCAAATTCAAAGTGACCGACCTCCAATAAAACACTCAATGTGTTTGTTTAACGATTCAAATCATAATTCAATTATCGAAGTAAGATTAAATCGTTTTTTCTTTCTTTTAAATATAATTTTTTCAACCAAAAAGTTTCTTTCATTAAATGTTCAAGGTCATTCAAATTCAAATTAAAAGGAAATTTGTCAAAAAAGAACTGTCATTAGAAATCGGAAAACAACACAAATTTAGGGACCTTAGGTAATACCAACAAAAACCTTAAAAGTTTGACTTTGACAGGTAAGTTTCTCAGAGAATTCACCTTTGGAGCTCGAAGCAAGGGAATAACGTCTTGTAAAGGAATTATATTAAAAACTTTCTTATATATGAAAAAGAAGAGGAGTAGACAAGCAATATTTATGTATACCATTTACTCTGTTTGACTTATTAGTTTACTGTTTATGAAATTAATTTTGATTGAAAGTACCGAAAAGTACCGAAAAGTCAGAAAAGATTATTGTTGTGTGTCAAAACATGCCAGATCATTAAGACTTAAACCATTCAATTTAACTTAACCTGGTAGCTACTTATATCTGCCTTAAAGACTACATCAACATTGAATTTGAATGACCTAATATCTTTAATGATAATATTTAATGATTATTTTAATTTTAGGATGGTCCATTTAAATGGTCAAATACTCTACAAGGAACAATACTGTCTTCATACTTTTGGGGGTATCTAATCTCATTAATACCCGGCGGTCGAATCGCAGAATTATTTAGCGCAAAATGGGTGATGTTTTTCGCAATAGCCATCAACACGATTTGTACCCTATTAACTCCGATTACTGCTAAAATACATTATTCAATTTTAATAATGATGCGAGTTGGACAAGGAATCGGCGGAGGAGTCACATTTCCAGCGATGCACGTTTTATTAGCCCGATGGTCCCTACCAAACGAAAGAAGCGTAATGAGTAGCGTCGTTTACGCCGGGACTTCTTTAGGAACCGTTTTAAGTACTTTATCAGCTGGGATAATTGCGGATTATATTAATTGGGAGGCTGTTTTTTATATTATGGGTGGTTTAAATGTAATTTGGTTGGTGCTTTGGGTTTTCTTTGTTTTTGATGATGCGGATTCGTCGCCGATTATAAGCGAAAATGAAAAGAAGTTGATTAATTCGTTATTAAAAGGAAATTATAGTAGCGCGAAAAAATCGTTTCCTTTGAAACAAGTTTTAACTTCGATGCCGTTTTGGGCCATTTTAATCGCGCATACTTGCTCGAATTGGGGTTGGTACATGATTTTGATTGAACTTCCGCTTTATATGAAGAGTATTCTTCAGTTAAACGTTTCTGAGAGTTCCAAATTTATTTCTTTGGGATTCTTTTTGATGTGGGTTTTTAGTATTTTGTTGAGTAGAAGTTTGGATAATTTTCGGGCTAAAAAAATTATTACAACTACATTCGCCAGGAAGATTTCTACGTTAATTGCAAGTGTTATCCCGTTGGGGTGTTTCTTAGGATTATCTTATATTGGATGCTCCAGAGGTGGCGCAATCGCTTTAACTATTTTAGCGATTGTTGCAATCGCCGGGATGTTTTGTGGATTTCTTTCAAATCATATAGATATAGCCCCGAATTACGCGGGAACTTTAGTTGCTTTTACTAACACAATAGCGACCATTCCCGGGATTGTTGTGCCAATGTTTGTTGGGGGACTCATCGAAAACGATGTAAGAAATTTCTTTTATATAAAAAAATTTATAATAAAAGCATTTTTTAGCCTGGCATATACTCGTGGAGGATTATTTTCTTTACAACGATAATTCTCTACATCATCGAGATATTTTTTTACGTTATTTTCGCCTCTGGAGAAGAACAAGATTGGAATAAAAATAATAACGACAACGTCGAAGCTCAACCATTGAAAAATCCCCAATCTCCGGATGGATCTAAACAAGATTACAAAGCAACTTTAAATTAAATAAAAAATATGTTATTGAAATGATGTGTAAAGACTGAGCATAATATTACCTCTTTATCGATGTGTTATTCTAATAAAAGTATTTATGGGAATTAAAGTTTAAATTAAGGTCGTGATTGATTCACCAATTTTTATTTGCTTTATAACTTACAAAATTAGGGTGATTCATTGTTATGAACGTTGTTGTAATAAGTTGGGTCATAAAACTATAAATTCGGTGACGGAATTGAATAGTTTTAGTCGAATTTTAATCCTCATTTTAATCGGTAACAAATTAAAAAGAGATTCAATGTTTTAACGTGTTGGTAAGTGGATTTAAAGCAAAATAAATTTGTTCTACATACCAGAATCCAATTCAAATATTTTTGAGGTTATGTCAGATTTAGTGACAGTTCGGCTGAGAAACGTTCTCGTCTTATATTGATTATAGATCACAAACATTATTATAATCATTTATTTTCACACTTCTATTTTATAAATAATTCCAATTAATTATTATTAAATTAATTAAACCGAAGAAGTTAAGAACACACTGACAGATTAAAAATCCAACCACTAACGTCATCTATGAGCACTAATTTTAAAATGTTTTGAATCACCTAACTTCACGCCTTTCTTATCAAATAATTTTTTTTAAGTAATTACATTTTAACAAAAATCAAATTTTACACTTTACAAAATCAAATTTAATTTTAATTAAAAAATATCTCGAAATAAATTTTTTCAAAAACGTAATATTTTTAATAAAAATGATTCAAAGTAAGATGCCAGATTGACGTTTTTGACTGTCACTCTATATTAAAGCATTTTATTAAAAATTATTTAAAATTTGGGGTTGTGAAGGAGAATTGGTGGGATGATTAACATTTCATAAGAAAACTAACCTTAATCAACGGTTTTCTCCTTCACAGTTTAATTGGAATTACAAAAAAACAACGATCTGGCAACGTCGTTCCAGAACGAAATTGTCAGATCGTTGAAAAAGAACTTCTAACTAACGCCATCTTTTGCCCGTCAATATTTGTACACCACAGTAAGGTTAATAATCATTGATAATTGTCAATGTCAGATAATGACAAACCTTTCAAAAAAATTTGAATTAATTCTAAATGGGTGTTAAATGAAATTATTAAATTAAGCAAATAACTTTTTTTCATCGATTTAAATCTTCTCTATATCTATCCTACAATAAATTAACGATTTAAAATTATAGTGCCAAAAAATGTTTTACAATTAGTTATTGAAAAGGATAACACAAACATCTTACGACAATGGAGGAAGAAAAGAAAGGATTTTTCGGTAAATATTAATGTAAAATAAATTATTAAATTAATTAATATTTTTTTAGGAATAATAAATTGTCGTATAATTTTGGCTTTTCTTGGCGCTGTTGGTATGGCTATCGTGTACGGATTAAAAGTAAATTTAAGCATAGCAATCGTCGCGATGATAAACCACACAGCTTTGGTAAATACTTCAGGAGACGAACACGTAACAGCAGATGCGTGCCACTTCGATGATAGTAACAACGAAAAATCTGTTTTAGCGGTAAGTAAAATTACTTAACAAAATCATTTTACCCAAACAACTGTTTTTTAGGATGGCCCATTTCCTTGGTCGGCATCGCTTCAAGGAATCATTTTATCATCTTATTTTTGGGGTTATTTAATCGCTTTGTTACCGGCAGGGGTAATCGCTGAAAATAGCAGCGCAAAATGGACGATGTTTTTCGCTGTGGTTATAAACGTCGTCTGTACTGCTCTAACACCGATTTGTTCGCACCTTCATTATTCTTTGTTAGTTTTGATGAGGGTTGCTGAAGGGATTGGGGGAGGAGTAACGTTTCCTGCGATGCATGTTTTATTGGCGAAATGGTCTTTGCCGACTCAAAGGACGATGATGAGTAGCGTGGTGTATTCGGGAACTTCGTTAGGGACGGTTTTAAGTACTTTATTGGCGGGGGTGATTGAATTGCATATGGATTGGGAGTGGATTTTTTATTTGATGGCTATTGGGAGCGCAATTTGGATACCGTTGTGGGTTGTTTTGGTGCATGATAACCCGAATAAATCGCCGATTGTTACGGAAAAGGAAAAAAAAATGATTAACGACGCTTTGGGAGATACCGAGCATACCGGAAAGAAATTTCCGATTAAAGCGGTTTTTTCATCGTTACCTTTTTGGGCTATCTTAATAGCGCATACTTGCAGTAATTGGGGATGGTACATGATCCTTATTATACTTCCGTTGTATTTGAGGGATATTGTGCGGCTAAATGTTATGGTCACCGCAAAATGGATTGCGATTGCGTTCTTCGGTATGTGGTTGTTTAGTTTGGGTTTTGGTACGCTCATGGATACGCTCCGGAAAAAGGAAAAAATCAGCACAACTGTCGCAAGGAAAATAGCAACTATAATAAGTTGTGCTATTCCTGGAGGTTGTTTCGTTGCGTTATGTTTCATCGGATGTAACAGGTGGTTAGCGATTGTTTTAACTTGTACGGCTATTATAACAATCGCTGGAATGTTTTCGGGATTTCTTTCAAATCATATCGATATAGCCCCGAATCACGCTGGCACTTTAGTTGCTATCACAAATTTTGTTGCAACCTTCCCCGGAATTATTGTTCCAGTTTTTGCGGGAGCTTTAAGGGAAATCGATGTAAGTTTTAAAATGATTTTAATGCAACTGTTTAAACATCTTTTTTAGCCCGGAATGTTTTCTTGGAGAATTATATTCCTCTCCACATCCACATTATCCGCTGTAGCAGTTTGTGTGTACACCATTTTCGCGTCAGGAAATGAACAACCTTGGAATAATGATTAAAAATTAATGTATTAGTATGTATTAGGATAAATCATCATTTTTTTTATATTACTGTTTTATTTCATACAATAAACTTTATAATATTTAACAGTAATATCTAATATCTGAATAAAGCAGCATCAAGCTAATTAACACCATTAATTATTACACTTTACAATCAAATCAAAATTTTTTAATACTCTCTTGTGCGTTCGCTCTGGATTGTTCATTCTTTTTATCAATAATTCACCATTGTTTTAAGCCCCATCCTCTTCCTCATTTAAAATAGCGCTTCTATCCCCCGCTAACGATTTTCGTTTCGTCAAAACACCTTTTAAATTCGTTTTCGTAGTTGCGCCCCATTTGCTTTTGACAGCTTCCGATGACGTCATTAACATCGAATACGTTGAGGTTAAATCACCTTCCTTACTATGATGAATCCCATATAAAAAGTAAATTAATATCCCTAAATAATAAATAAAACGTTTTTAATACTTGCCAAGTTACAGCAAATGTGGCAAACGAAACTTCCACGTGGAAAAAGTTATTTTAAAAAATTTTTTTAAAATTATGTTTTTGAAAAAACTTCATTTTAATTTAAAGGGAAAAAACCTCCGCACGCAATTCATAATCGCTTTAAATATGTTTTAAATACATTTTGATTACTTTCTTAGTTCCATTACTTTTTTTTTTAATAAAATTGCTTAATTTTAAGAATCGTTCGGTTTTAATTGTCAAAGTGCACCTTAGTACTGATTTTTATCGCTAGATGGCGCGATTTTCTAATATAATTTTATTAATTTTTTTAAATTAATATGATAAAATTAGTTAATAATTTAAAATTAATAAGATTAATAGACTTACGATCTTTTTGTTTTAATAAACAACACCAAATTTCCTAAATTCCAAAAATTTTAAATTTGTGAGATAAAAAAGTTAGGTTATGCTTACGAAAAAACTTCTTTGATTATTTGAGGGGGGAAAATCTCACCCTACATCCTATAATCACTATAAATAAACAGTTTGGGTGTTCAAAATCACATTTTGATGGGATTTATAGTTCCACTATACTTTTTTTTAAATAAAATTTGATAATTTTAAGAAATACAACCGTTCGGTTTTAGATGTCAAAAGCACCACCAAGCACCACTTAATCTGAATATTTCCTGCTAGATGGCGCGACAATGTCACAATTAATTTAATATAGATGATTGACGCGTTTTTAAAATTTTTTATCTACTCAATTAATAATTAAATGATTTAAAATTAATGAGATCAATCGATTTAATATCTTTTAGTTCGATTTTCTTCATAGAAATTCAATCGGTTGTTGAGAAATGTCAAAATCGATAATAGCCGCTAGATGGGGTTATCAATTGTTTATAAATAATTTATAAAAAGGAGCCTTTTCTGATTTAAAATAAATATTTTCCTATACGGAAGCTTCGTTTTAACTTTACGATTCATAATTATCATCTTACCAATAATCATCCAAACGAAAAATCTTAACCAAGTTAAAATATTTAAGTGAACTATAAATTCGATGTTGCAAAGAATACTTAAGGCTGGAAGGAATGGTACAAAGGGTACTTTAAATCGTAGACCTTCTTTGCTTTGATAATGAGCCACCATAACTAACATACCTAAAATTTAAATTGCGATTTTACGTTAGATTTATTTATAAAATGATTTACTTACACCCTCCCATGATAAAAATAAAAAACACCGCCAAACAAATCGTCCACCAAATCCCATCTCGGAGATCATGTGAAGAAATTTGTAATAACACACAAAGGGCTCCCGAAAAAATGGTATAAACTAAAACAGCTGCTGTTACAGCAGATCCGGGTTCGCAATGTCCTAAGATCGGGCCAAGCCAGCTATATTTCGGACGTAACGATCCTGTTAAACAAATAATTTCAGATCCGGGTGTAGTTGCTTCTGATGGAGACCCGGAAATGTCAGAATTCGGTGTTAAACTTCCTTTGGTAATCGAAATCGTCGGTCTATATCTTAAAATAATCACCGAGGCGCTTACAATTGTGTAAGCTAATAAAGTTCCAATAGACATAAACTCAACCAGTTTCTCCAAGTCAAATAAAAGTGCAATAAGCGAGGTTAAAATCCCCGAAATGACTAAATTCGTTAAAGGTACTTGGGTTTTCGAGTTAATATTGCCAAGAAAACTAAAAAGTAATCCATCAACAGCCATTGCATACATACAACGTGGGAGTGAAAATAATGATCCAAATAACGTCGTCGTCATTCCACAAATAGCTCCTAAAGAAACGACGTATTTAACCCAGTGCATTCCAACGCCGGCAAAAGCCTCTGGGAGAGCGGCGTTTGGATTAATATCGTAATAAGGTACCAATAAAGTTAAGGCAGCACACACTAAAATATACCCCAAAGTAACTACACCCATCGAAACCACCGTAGCCATCGGTATTGAAAACGAAGGATTTCTAGCTTCTTCCCCCGCCGTTGCTATGCTGTCAAACCCAACAAAAGCGTAAAAACAAGTCGCGGCACCGGCGATAACGCCACTAAATCCATATGGAAGAAATCCACCTTTATTGGAAGTCCAATTGGATTCATCGGCGTAATAAAAACCGATTATGATGACCAAAATCATTACGGCCAGATTAACTAAGGTTAAGAAACTGTTGACTATCGAAGAACCTTTTACTCCTATTCCTAAGAGTAAAGCGTAAACGATACAAACAGAGAACGCAAGAAAATCCGGGTATTTTCCGAGTAATTGTTCGTGAAGTTCTCCAGTTAAAGATATTGTTGCGTTACTGATTGCCCCGTTAAAAAGTGAATCGACGTAACCACTCCATGCCCTCGCAACAGATGCAGCACCTAAAACAAAAAATTAATTAAATATACTTTATTTTTTCATTCGGAGGAGTGTTTTCAATTTGAAAAATGTGAAAAATTAAGGTTGGTATAAATATTTAAAAATTATGTTGCTAACTTCATTGTCTCAAACTTCAGGTTTAATACTTTTTATGCTCATTTGAACGGTTATTTAATAAAGATTACGAATACATCAAAATTAATGACACATTAATTCATGACACTATCACTATGGAGTTGTCAACCTTTGAACCTTTGGTTTGAAATGTCAACCCCAAGTTTGACATATATGGAATCATCATTAAGAATCCTTTGAAATGAGTACAAACACGACATATTTCATTTCAATATTAATAAAGTTATGGTCAATTTCCGGTTTGAAATATAATTTTTCATAAAAATCGAAAATATAATAAAATATGTCAAAAATTGAGGTTGATATTAATATTTTTAATTCTGTAGCTAACTTCATTGTTGCCAACATCGGGTCTTATATTTTTTATTCAAACTTTTTTGTTTTTTAAGGTAAGTGCGTCATGTTGGGGCTCATTTTAAAGGTTATTTTATAAAGATTATGAATATAATAATAAAATTAAAGTTAACATTAACACCTGAAAGTTCTTTTTAGCCATGCGTCGTAACTCTTTCGAAGAGCACCAAAATCATTTTTATTGAAATAAAATTAGAACTAACACTAGACCTAGAACTAGAAAGTATCGTCTGAAGACGCACAGCTAACACTACATTAACTCCCGCCAAAAAATAGCTTTGAAAAATTACAGTGTGTAAACGTGATTTTCATTTTACTCCTCCGAATTAAAAAATAGAGTATAATCAAAATTAAGTTAATATAGGCAACTCAAATTGCTTTAATGCATTTTTGGTTGCATAATTTTATAATAATAGTATAATAATATATGTAATGAGTATAATATGGGTTATTTACCAATCATATGCTCTAATAAAATATTCCATCCGATTACAAACGCCCAAAACTCTCCAATACTTATATAAGTATAAACATAAGCAGATCCAGCTTTAGGAACTCGAGTACCAAATTCAGCATAACAAAGTGCTGATAATAAAGAAGCTAATCCGGCCAATAAAAAGGATAAAATAATTCCTGGACCGGCGATATCTCTCGTGACTGTCCCCGCGAGCACATAAATCCCCGCACCAACCATATGGCCAACACCTAAAATAATTTAATTAAATAAAGTTTAATTAACCCTTATATTTTACCTAATAAAGTAATATCGAACGTGTTAAGGCATCTTTTTAATGGAGTATCCATTATATCTTGGGGAAGTTGTTTCGTTCGATTCATTTTCGAACATAAACCAGACATAACATGCCCGAGAATCATTTTTCTTGAACTAGGCATTATTAAATATTAAGAAAAAAGTTTTAATACAAACTTTATTAATATAACCAAACGTATTTAGTGGTGTTTAGACATAACACTGAATAACCAGCCTCTTTTACGCGCATGTTCGAGCAAAATCAATATCTTACCAAAATAGAATTCTATTAAACTTTTTTTTACACAAATAAAAAAATAAAATTAGAACGTTTCGAAATTTTCTTCGATTTGTTTCTTTTGTGGTGAAAATTCTTGAAGTAAATCGTTGGGTTTTAGCTAAAAATTCAAATTGGTTTAATTTAATTAATTTGAAATTAAATGATTTACCTTTTTATTCTTTACATCTTCAAAATTGTATCCTTTATAAAAAGCGATCGTTTGTAAAGTTCTTAAGGAATGTAACCTCCTCGACGGGTCGACATCTAAAAGTCTTAAAAGGAGATCTTTTTCTGATGGGGTTAATTCGACATCTTCTGGTAAATTCCCCGGAGATTCGTTTTCTTTAACAGGAAAAGACGTTGGGTACTAAAAATCAAAATTGAAACAATTTTAAATACAGGTTTCTGTAAATGATTTAGGTTAAAAATTATAGATGGCGTAATTAATTAATTTTAATAATAAACGTCACAATATTTCGAAGGGGATTCACTAAAATTCTTTTACTCAATTCTGTTAGGACTTATTTCGTAAAAGATACATATGTACAAATTTAGAAATTTTAATGTTAATTTTACAAGGTTAATTAATTAATTATAATCGTGTTAATTAAGTTGGGCTATTTTTTTTGTTTTTCGATTTCGAAATATAAATTTACACCAAGTTCATGATATTAGAGTTAAACGAGGCGTATAAAGAAGACAAGTAATAATATCCGCCCATATTTTAATTTGGTAATAAGTCTAACCTCAGGACAAAATTCGTCGTAAACTGTAATGAAGCTTCCTTCCTAAAACACTTATATTTGTTTCTAGAGACAATTTAAAAGAAGTGGACGTCAACGATGAATACATTAACATTAACCTTGTTTATTTCCTCTTAATACTAAATGAAACTTTAAAGAAACTTTAAAGATACAATAAAATAAAGTTCATAGACCTCAAAATTTTTCCATTCTAACTCTAATAAAAACTGTTTATTATCCAGCGATTATAGGGATACGTCAAAGAAGACAAAGAACCATTAAAGTCGGTAAATTCCTTACATCTTTTAATCGTTTCAAAGTTTTGATTAATTTTATCGCTTCCGTGTAAGTAAAAATAAAGAGTTCCTCAAGAACCAATCTTATCGAGAACCAACTCGGCGTTATTCAATTTAGATCTAGGACCGGAATTTGCATTATTCAATTTAATTTCAGTTAATGGAATATCACGTACATCCGTGTTATAATATAATAATAATAAAGAGATGAGGAATTAAACGAAGAGACGAGGAGAAGATGTAAAATGTTTTTCAGGACCTCGGTTGCATGCGCAAGGTGATTTTAACGTTTAAACGGATAATTACCGGTGAGTTTTAACGAAAAACGCAGAAAACAATCGGTACAAATAACAATTATTTTAATTAAAATGAGTCATAAATGACAACAACGTTTACAAGGTTTGTGAGTTTGTTAATTAATAAATGTTGTGAGTGTAAGATTAGATATTATTGGCAGATGATCAGATATTGATCGAAGAGATTGTAATTATATTATGGATATTCACAAATAAATTAATTGTTTTGGGTATTTCTTTCTAGTCTTTTATTAGCAGTTTTTGATCATTCTCTAGCAGCATTTAGGTTATGTCAGCAATATCTAGACTTCTATTAGCAGTTTCTGGTAATTTTCTAGCAGTATTTAGGTTATGCCAGCACTATCCAGACTTTTATTAGCAGTTTCTGGTAATTTTCTAGCAGTATTTAGCTTATGTCAGCACTATCTAGTCTTTTGTTAGCAGTTTCTGGTCATTTTTTAGCAGTATTTACCTTATACCAGCGCTGTCTACATTCTCTTAGCAGTTTCTAGTCTTTTTGTAGTAGTAATAAGTTTCTACCAGCACTATCTAGACTTTTATTAGCATTTTCTGGTCAATTTCTAGCAGTATTTAGCCTATGCCAATACTATCTAGACTTCTATTAACATTTCCTAGCCTTTTATAGTAGTAATTAGCATATGCTTGCATATCTAGTCTTCTATTAGCAGTTTATGGTCATTTTCTAGCAGTATCTAGCGTATGCCAGTACTATCTAGACTTCTACAAACATTTTCTACCCTTTTATAGTAGTAATTAGTATATGGTTGCACTATCTAGTCTTCTATTAGCAGTTTCTGGTAATTTTCTAGCAGTATTTAGCTTATGTCAGCACTATCTAGACATCTATTAGCAGTTTCTGGAAATTTTATAGCAGTATTTAGGTTATGCCAGCACTATCCAGACTTTTATTAGCAGTTTCTGGTAATTGTCTAGCAGTATTTAGCTTATGTCAACACTATCTAGTCTTTTGTTAGCAGTTTTTGGTCATTTCTTAGCAGTATTTACCTTATACCAGCACTATCTACATTCTTTGGGTAGTTTCTAGTCTCTTTGTAGTAGTAATTAGTTTCTGCCACAATCCACAATCATTGTCATAATAGGCCCAGAATACCATCGAACAGTATTCTAAGTTCTGTGGATAAAAATAATCGATACTCAGATTTCTGTCAATTACTCTGGTTTCAGGAGCTAAAGCACTTTAAAATCAAACATTTTCTCAATGAAATAATTAAGTTACTTATCTGTTAGGAAGAAAAAAGTGTGCAGAAAAGAATTTTTAAAACAGATTGTAAAACCCCTGAGAGAAGTTGGAGGTATTTACATTCTGAAAAGGGATTCCGACGTTGAACGCATCTACCTGCGCCTCTTTAAATTGCACGGCACCACTTCGTGGCGAAATTAAAAATAGAAACCGATCTTCGGCGTAGACGCAGGTTTCCTGTCTTAATAGACTTCGCACCATTGGTATTTATAGAATGTAGATGAGCATCGGTACCGGCGACCACGACGACGGGTCCGGCTTCGTCGACCAAGGCCGCAACCAAGAATCTTCTTCTCAATCTCCTCCCTATAACCCCGTGTTTTTACCGCACTAATTGCCACTTTTCCAAACCCGATCTCGTTGTGTTGTTCCAACGTACAACACGCAACGTTTTCCTAAGATTTATTTATTTCAAATTTATTTTTTCTTTTTCTTTTCTCGGTCGGTTTAAGTAAAAACCAATGACCTTACAAGGTCATTGAATCAATTTATTAGATTCAATAGAACAAGGAGGATGTTAGATTGAATTGGAATAAAAATGACATGAAAAGACGAAGAAGATGAAAAGAATAAAAAATGGCGAGACAGAAAAAGAGAATGGCAAAAGAGATCCGATTGCGTGGTCGTTCGCACTCAACGGGATCGAATTTATAACAGGTGATTAAGACCGTGACCGAGCTGTGCGAGTCGAAGAAGATTCCAAGGGGTATATGAAGAAATAAAAAATTAATTTTTTTAAACACATTAACTGTGTCATTACCACACTACCAGTAGGTAGATAATCTTCAATTAATGATTTTCCCCCGTTTTTAATCATTTACTTCCTATGTCATTAAGCTTTGTGTCATGGTTACTTGGCCATGGTTAAGCCGAGTTTATCAAGAAATTAATGATCGAGGAATTAATTAATTTAGAAAAATATTTAACTCTTCTTAGAATTAGAATCTTTTATAAATTACAACGCTTAAACAGGTGAGGCACGTATCTTCTTTCCGTCTGCTTGGATTCTATTGTCTTGCATAATAAACTATGTAACAATCTTCTAATGCCGCGTAGAAACAATTAGGTTCACTCGTAAACTTCATTAGCTTATTTAATAACGTTTTACGTTTAATTTTATGTAATATTAATAACAACAATAACGTTAAGTAATATAGTAAAACTCGTAAATCTCAAAAACTACTAAATTTGGATAGAGGAGGTGGGATTTATTCGAATTGATACCCAAGAATGTTGATTTTTGTGGAAAAACGATAAAATTACGACATATTTTCAAAAAAAAACCATATTGGTAGCCATTTTGATTTTTTTTTAGTAATTAATTATAATTTTTAATACTAAATTTGTATAGAGGAGGTCGGATTTATTCGAATTGATACCCAAGAATGTTGATTTTGGTGGAAAAACGAAAAAATTACATTGAAATGTCAACAATGACAGGCGGCCATTTTGTTTTCTATCTGTCTTCATTATTTATAGAAAAACTAAGATAACTAGCGAATTAATTCAGATAACTTAGTCGTGTTTAGACTTAAATTAAGGCATTTTTGATCCAATTAGTGAGGTTAGAATTAAAAAATGTTGCATCGCGACCATCTTAGATTTATAATTTATTAAAAATAACTGTGAAATTCGAAAAGATCACTCTGAAATTATTCGAAATGACACCCAACACGACATATTTTCAAGAAAAAACCATATTGGTAGCCATCTTGTTTTTTTTTAGTAATTAATTATAATTTTTAGTACTAAATTTGGATGGAGGAGGTCGGATTTATTCGAATTGACACCCAAGAATGTAGATTTTGGCGGAAAAACGATAAAATTACATTGAAATGTCAACAATGACAGGCGGCCATTTTGTTTTCTATCTCTCTTTCTTATTTATAGAAAAACTAAATAACTAGCGAATTAATTAAGATAATGTAGTCGTGTTTGAACTTAAATTAGAGCATTTTTGATTTTTGATCGAATTAGTGAGGTTAGAATTAAAAAATGTTGCATCGCGACCATCTTAGATTTTTAATTTATTAAAAATAACTGTGAAATTCGAAAAGATCACCCTCAAATTATTCTAAATGACATCCAACACGACATATTTTCAAAAAGAAAACCTTATTAGTAGCCATTTTGATTTTTTTTAGTAATTAATTATAATTTTTAGTACTAAATTTGGATGGAGGAGGTCGGATTTATTCGAATTGACACCCAACAATATTGATTTTGGTGGAAAAACGATAAAATTACATTGAAATGTCAACAATGACAGGCGGCCATTTTGTTTTCTATGTGTCTTCATTATTTATAGAAAAATTAAGATAACTAGCGAATTAATTAAGATAGCTTAGTCATGTTTGGACTTAAATTAGAGCTTTTTTGATTTTTGATCGAATTAGTGAGGTTAGAATTAAAAAAATTTGCATCGCGACCATCTTAGATTTTTAATTTATTAAAAATAACTGTGAAATTCGAAAAGATCACCCTCAAATTATTCTAAATGACATCCAACACGACATATTTTCAAAAAAAAAACCTTATTAGTAGCCATTTTGATTTTTTTTAGTAATTAATTATAATTTTTAGTACTAAATTTGGATGGAGGAGGTCGGATTTATTCGAATTGACACCCAACAATATTGATTTTGGTGGAAAAACGATAAAATTACATTGAAATGTCAACAATGACAGGCGGCCATTTTGTTTTCTATGTGTCTTCATTATTTATAGAAAAACTAAGATAACTAGCGAATTAATTAAGATAACTTAGTCGTGTTTGGCCTTAAATTAAAGCATTTTCGATTTTTGATCGAATTAGCGAGGTTAGAATTAAAAAATGTCTGTTTTACTGTGGAGATATTTTTTAATCACGTATATATTTTTTATTGTTGCAAAAAAATCTTCAAATCGCCACAAGAAACCGTTAGAAGATTTGAGAGCTAACTTCTCTCATAACGGCGCCGTATAATTTAAATATTAATTGCCTTTCACGTTTTGCAGCATCCAATTCTTCTCGTCAGATAAATACATAGATAATCTCCGTTTAGATTTTTTTTAAGATGAATTTACGTTGAAGTACCGCTACATCTAGAGGTCGCATTGCCAAAAATAGCTGTAAAATAACAACCTCTCGTCCCAAATCAAGGTTAGGAAAGAATTAAAACAACCACGGGTCGTTTACATGGAGTAAAAAATGATTTTAACAATTTCAAATAAATTCCCCAAGGAAAAACGATCACAATCATTTTATTATTTCATTAAAACGCAAAGCACGCAAGATGATTTTTACTTCTATTCAAACATTTAAAACCTTATAAACAACCGATTTAATATGTTTTAATTTTTTGCTAACAATGAATCACTCTTTATGAAATTCAATGAACACATTTATTACGACAATAGATGTGACGTGTTTAAGATTTTGTGAGATGCATCGAAATTATCTTTAAATTTGATATTAACATAACCAAAAGAACTTGACCTTTAATTTTATTCTCTCTACAAATTAATTTTTGAAATTTGAATCTTTTTGCAACATTTAACGGAGGTGCTAATGGTTGCCGCAAATAATTTAAGAAAGCGAAAAAATTGTTTTTGTCACATCAAAGGTTAATTTCGATTAATCTTGAAAAAAGAGTACGTTTTAGAAAACAACATTCTTTAATGATAATATCATCAAAGAATGGTGTTTTTTTACTCCCTCTAATTAAGACCATTGTTTCCATAAAAACACGTAAAGCAACAAAACAGTAATCATTTAAGTGTTTAATTATAGCTTTCGAGGTACATCCTGGTTTTATTGATGATATTGACGAATTAAATGATTCAATAAAAAAATCGGTCATTTTATTCCGTTTAAAACGATTTTTAATATTAATATTGCTAAGTGACGTGAAGTAGGAAATTTAGTTTTAATAGATTGCAATAGATGGCGCTAATTATAAAAAAAGAAGTCTCATTTCAGAAGATGGCTGCTAAAATAACTACTACTATGCCTACATTTATCGCAATATTAAAAGACCAAGAACAACATAGGAATACGAAGTCTTTTAGACAAGATATATGGACCGATACAAGATGGGTGGATACAATTGGACCAGCTCATAGAAAAGAAATAATCGTTTTCCAGAAACTTGAATAATTTTAGAACACGAAAAAATTGATTAGTGTCAATCAAAATAATTCTAAACGACTAAGAACATCTCGAAAATACCTGAGAAGAGTGGCAAAATGAATAGAAAGACTTTAAGCACATCTGAAATTATTATAGAGACACCTAAAAATAGAAAAAATTGATTGGGATGCGAGTCAAAATGATTTTAATCGACTTAAAACTTCTCTATAATACTTAGGGAGAGCGGCAGAACCAAAAAAAATAACATTAATATTAATTTGAGGATGTTATAAAGAAAGCAGGTAACAGAAAAATTGTATTGCCTTGGAATAATCTCATTATTACATACAATTACGCATCGCACGTACTTAATTTATTTCAATTCGATGTATCATACAAAAAAAAACGATTTAGAATATTTTTTCAAATGATTCATCGACTCAACTACTTAAATATTAAATATTACATAGATTATTATAGGTGAAACGTAACAGGAAAAAAAATGGAATTTTTCGAAAAGTAGATGGCACGAGTCGAGTTATTTATAACCCAATTATACATTGGCAGAAGAAAAATAGAAGAAGAAAAATGGAAGGAACAATAAAAATAAAAGCAATAAGAAAAATAGAGGGAAGAACAAATACCACAAAAAAAATACGAACCAGCTCGACTAGTTCGTTAGGGAGCAGCAGTTTCCGTTCGTGAAAAAGATCAAACAAAACAAAATTTATTCCGAAGAATCTACCCAACACGTTATATTATAAGCCGAAGAAATTCGATTCTGGTAACGTACAAAATTATAAAAAAAATGTTTAAAAAAACATTATTTATTGAACTAGAAATATGTTTGTTATTTAGAAATAACGGGTTATTTTTTATTGGAGAATAAGATGCACCTTGCCTGAAGCTGATTTTGGTTTGATGGTACATGGTGGTGGGGACGCAAACTATATAAAAGCGTACCGCTTTGGAAGCTCGTAAAAGATTCCTTGCTAGTGGCTTTGTGTAGTTAGTAGCAGAGCAACGTTTAAGTTTTTTCATTCAAATTGAAATAACCAAGGTAGGAAATTATTTTATTTTATAGCCAAATTTTAATTAATCATTACAATAAAATTATTATTATCTTAAGAAACTATTAAATTTCTTAAAAGTCGTAAAAGAAGAAACTAAAGTTTAATGTTACACTTACATAACATAAATAAGAGGAAAAATCTTATATTTTAGATTTAAAAAAACATTATGGGACCATTAAATATTAAATGATGATATAAAATTTAATTATTTTTAATTTATATTTATTATCGGAATCGCAATCTTTATTTTTTTTTGTTCCTAAGTTGTTAAAAATGACCTAAGGAACACGATGAGTACACACAATTCAAATTTGGCAGTAGCAAAAAAAATTACGTCACTTTATTAGCTCTAAATTTAAAATTTTAATTTTTGAAAAATTTTTTTCTTCTAGAATATTTAAAATTTCATTAGTAACACGACTAATGCACACATTTCAATTTTGGCAATGACAAAGATACTTTGTCCCTTAACTTGTAAATTCACAATTTTATTTGTTTAATTTTTTTTGTTCCTAAGATGTTAAAAAAAACCTAAGGAACACGGTGAGAACACACAATTAAAATTTGGCAGTAGCAAAAAAAATTACATCACTTTATTAGCTCTAAATTTGCAATTTTAATGTTTGCAATTTTTTAATTCAATAAAAATATTCCATTCTAACGAGGTCCGTTATATCGAGGTTTTACTGTATTTACCAATTTAATGCAACCTACGAAATACTCAAAATGAAAACAATTTTCCACTTCTCGCGGGAATTGATGAAATTATTCCCCAATTGGTCACAAAAAATTGGTTGAAATTGTCAAATAGGTTGCACGAGTTCCTAAATTACGCCCGAGAGAGTCATCAACAACCCTTATTTGTCAACAATGGGACTCTAATAACACGCTCAAATATTTAAACTTGGATGTTTTAGTCTTTTAGTGTTTGCTTTTTTGTGTGTGGCGTTCGCAAATAGTTAATTATTCATTATTGATTGATGGAATCATAAAGACTAATACAAAATGATAAAATTATTAATAACTTTTGAAATCTAAAGGAATAGATTTTTAATTAAAAAAAAAATGAAATCGACGCAATATTCTTTTGAAACCGTTTCATAACGGCGAATTCAATTTCGTGAAGCCAAACGCAATTATTAACGCGTTTTTTTGTCTTCGTCCGAATTGTTGAAGACGATCCGTTGAGAATACGATTTTCCACGGGAATTTTTTTTTAAGGTTACGATGTTGTTGAAATTTCGTTTGGGTCGTTATACCTCATCGCATTTTTAACATTTTTTTTTAAACGAAAAGATTACTTTGAAACTTAAAGAATTTTTTACTTAACGTAACTTGGTTTCGTTATAAATGTACGGTTTAGTTTCTGAACAAGATTAAAAGTTTCTGGTCAAAATGCACAACGTATACACTAAATAATAAAAGAAGGATTTTGAGTTGGAACCAATACAACTTTTTTTTCTGAATAGATAACTCGGCTTCAATCATTTCTTTATTAAGTAAGTAATCAAAAACGACTTTAGAGTATCTAGCAGCATTGAATTAAGGTTTTTAATGAAGATGCAAGTTTCTGAACAAAATTTGAAGTTTATGGTTGAGGTCTATAACACACTAAGGAAATAATAGAAGAAGGATTTGGAGATGGAACTTGTAGACGATAAATACTGTCTATGGGAGGCTAAATACTTGCATTGGACTGTTTGTAGATGACAAAACTGCTTAAAGATTTACAATTTCATCGTGGTGTAATGAAATAAAACGAGGAAAAACGATGAAAAATGTTTTAATAATTAAGCTAGATCAGTGCGACATGTTTCGGGGTAAATATATATACGTATAACCAAACCGTAACAAAATTTATTAGGACAGGAAACATGTCGCACTAATCTAACTTAATTATTAAAACATTTTTCATCGTGTTTCCTCGTTTTATTTAAATACTATTAGCAGAAGACAAATACTGCCCATAAAAAGCTGGAGACTGCTTGTAGAAGACTAAATACTATTGGTGGAAAACTAAAAACTGTCTGCAGAAGACAAATAATGCGTGCAGTATACTAGATACTGCTTGCTATACTACAAATTGCTTGCAGAAGACAATTACTGTTGGCAGAAGACAGATACTGTTTGAAATAGACTAGAAATTGCTTCTAGAAGACTAAACACAATTAGTAGAAACGTAAAAACTGCTTGCAGAAGAGAGTACTGCCTAGAGAAGGCTAGATACTGCTTGCAGAACACTAAATATAGTTGGCAGAAAACAAATTAAAATCTATAGGCACAAAAAAAACTATCTATAGAATGTTATAATACAAATAATGTTGATAATTTTTCAAAAACATTGCACCATTAACTTTATAAGGAGTCCACAAAAGATTTTGCTTCATCCAATAGCATTGAACCAAAGTTTCTGATAACGATATAAGTACAAAAATGAAGATGCAAGTTTTTTTAACTGTTTAATTTGGGTTTATATATAAATTTAAGCCAGGCTTATACGATACAACAGAAATTCTTCCCATTTAAAACGTTTAATTGAATGGTAAATCAAGGTCTTTGCTAATACATAACATCACTTTCCGTATGTGGAGGTTCGCCGTTTCCTTGCGATCGCTCAACCGTACGGTTCAACGGTGTTAACGACCTTTATGCGTACAATTACTTACTTATTATTATTGTTATTGGCTTGCGTCACGCCGGATTGTAAAGGTGACTTGCGCGGGTAAGGAGTTTTGCGGCTTTTCGCCGACTTAAACATTAACCTTTCCCCGTTTTGCGAAGAGATAGGGACACGACTCGATTTGAAATTGTAATGAGCCGAGAGCCGTCGGTGCAATTTAAAAGAAATTTGCTTAACCGGAATGTTGCAGAAGAATTTTATCGCAAATAATAACCAAGTATTACTTTAGTGCAGTTCGAATAAGAGACCGAGCGAACTCGAAACCGACTGCATCCGGTATTTTACTTCTGGTTAAATAGATAATTGTGTTTACAACAAAGGTTCATTCAATTCGTATTATCCCGATTCCATTGTACAAGAGGTTGTAGTACAACTAGTTTGATTACGTTCCATCCGCAATTTGCTCAATTAAACGAAACCGAAAATAAATATATTTTTTTTTTGATTTTAGAATGAAGAGTTTTGTGGGAATTTTGCTCCTCGTTGGGTTATGTTTCGCGTATCCTTTGGGGGAAAGCGAAGAAGCCCTCAATAAATCACCCGAATTGAGCAACCACCCAGTTGAACAGGAGAAGAAACAGGAGTTATTGCAAGACGCTCAACCGCAAAGAGACGAATCCGCCGAATCCAACGAAAGCGCGGGGTCTGATGAAAGCAACGAAAGTCCGCAGGAGTCCCAAAAACCAGCTGAACCGGTTCAGTTACCTTCGCAACCCGCGCCAGAGAGCTCCGAAAATCTCTCCAACGAATCCAGCGAAGATAAAACGGTGGATGAACCGAGAGCTGAAGCTTCACAACCGAAATTAGAAGAAAAAGTTAATGAAGGAAAAGCGAATGTAGAAAAAGTTGACGAGGGAAAAATTAACGAAGAAAAAGTTAATGAACCCGTTGTTTTGCCAGTTGAAGAAGCTAAACCGAGTCAACCAAGCGAGCAAAAAGTTGAACAACCGATAGAAGCTGAAGAAAAAGCACCTGAAGTACAACCGATTGCGTTACCAAGTCAACAGGATGAAGTCCAGAAAGAAAAAGAATCGGAAAAACAACCAGAAGCGTTACCAGTTCCGCAACCAGCTCAACCTGAAGTAGAAGCACCGAAACAAGAAGCTCCAATTAAAGAAGAAGTGGCTAAAGATGAAGTGGCTAAGGAGGAAGTGGCTAAAGATGAAGTAGCTAAAGATGGAGCACCTAAAGATGAGGTACCTAAAAATGTAGCATCTAAAGATGAAGTAGTTAAAGATGAAGTGGCAAAAGATGAAGTAGTAAAAGATGAAGTAGTAAAAGATGAAGTAGCAAAAGATGAAGTGGCTAAAGATGACGTGGTTAAAGATGAAGCAGTAAAAGATGAACCAGTTCCATCAAGTGTAACAATCGTTGAAGTAGCAACAAAGCCAGAAAAATTAATTGAAGAAGGAAGAAGCACATCTGATGATAAAGCACCTCAACCAACAAAAGTAGAAGAAACTAAAATTGAAGAAAAAGTAGAAACCCCAAAAGAAGTGCCTGAAGTTTTGGCAGAAGAACCAAAACCCGAATTAACTTTAGCTAAAGAAGAACCAGCACCAGAAAAGAAGGTAATTAATTAATTAATTAACTAATTAATTAATATTTAATTTGTTTTTATTAAAATTTAGGTTGAACAACCTGAAGTAGCGGAACAAGTACAAAGGGTGGAGCCTCAAAACGAATCAGAATCAGCACCGAAATTGGAAAAATCGCCTGAGGGAAGTTCTTGAGTGAATTAGGGCAGTATTTCTTATAAAAAAAAGTAACAAAAAAAAGAAACGTTAATTTCGACTGAAATTGAGGTCCCTTTTGCCCTTTCGTTTACAAAGGAAAATAAAATTTGAAATAATTTAATTGGTGGAACGTCTGGATGAACGGGACCTCAACGATTTTAAAAACAATTTTATTATTATATTTTTAATTTATGTTAAAATTAAAAGAGATGGACGATAAAAAGAAATTATTTTAGATTTTTTCCTTCTTTATTTAGATGTTAAGTAATCGAACGTAGTCATTCCACGAAATAAAATTAGATTTTTAAAAAAATTTCTAAATGTTCCATACACTTGTGTCGTACTTCTATCGATTTAGAAGTTATATTTTTTAAGGATTATACGTTATTGTGTATTGAAAGCTTTCAATAAAGTTTTATACATATTATTTTTGTGGTTTTATTGTACCAAAAAAAAATTATCCCATCAAATCTCGTAACGTTATTCTGTGGATAGAATACCGGCGGAGTCATCGCCATTAATTCTCCACCGATAAAATCACAAAGAACCGGACGTCGAGATAAAAAAAAAATAATAAAAACTTAACACACAAAAGAACCCCTTTAAAGATTTCTCACATGATTACCATCAAGATATACCAGAATAATAGAACACCCTATAATACCGTGTACAGTGTTCGCCAAAAGTTAGAAAGACTAAATTTATAGGAAAATTTATCTTTAATAAGTGTACATTAGAAATTTTAATAATATCATCTTACAATGTTTATATCATATTATAAACTTGACCCTTTAAGCTTCAATTTAACATACATATCATATCACGATTCCTAAAAATATAAACAATATGATTTTTTGAAAAGTTTCCATTTTTTGATTTATTAATTTGGCAGTTTCACCTTTATTAATTTTTTCCTGGAAATTTTCATAATATTATTTTATAGTTTTTATACCATATCATAAACTAGAATCTTTAAGCGTCAATTTAACACACATATCATATCAAGATTCCTAAAAATACAGCTGATATGATTTTTTTTAATTTCGCGTTTTTTCATTTATAAATTTGACAGATACTTCTTTAATAATCTTTTCCTGGAAATTTCCATAATATCACCATACAGTTTTTACATCATATCATAAACTAGACTCTTTAAGCTTCAATTTAACATACATATCATATCACGATTCCTAAAAATATAAACGATATGATTTTTTCAAAATTTCTCATTTTGTGATTAATAAATATGACAGTTTTACTTATAACAATTTTTTCTAGGAAATTTCCATAATATCACCATACAGTTTTTATATCTTATCATAAACTAGAATCTTCAAGCTTAAATTTAACATACATATCATATCATCATCCGTAAAAATACAGCCGATATGATTTTGTGAAAATTTCGTGTTTTTCATTTATAAATTTGACATTTTCATCATTAATAATTTTTTCTTGGAAATTTCAATAATATCACTTTATATTCTTTATATGATATCATAAACTAGAATCTTTAACCATCACCTTAACATAAATATAACATAATTTTGATTCTGTTGTTGACTTTTTGGCGAACACTGTACATTTTGTGTTTAGATCTTGTATATAAAAGAAAAAGAACGAACCGGTCCCATTGCAGAATCTCCTTCTACGGAGATTCCGAACCGTTCTGATCATTTTACTTGGTCTCTTTGTTGCTTTTTCTGTTCGATGGCGAGAGTTGAAGGTACAATTTCAAGGAGAACCACGATGTACGAGAAGAAAACTTGCAAGGCGAAACCGTAACGGAGACCGTTAAATCTTCTCTTTAAGTTTCTTTTAATGTTACACAATTTTTACTTACCTTAGAAGTGATCATCCTGCACGCGATAACCCCCAAACTCCACCAATCGCAGGAATGTCCGTAAGGTTGTAGGTGGAAAATTTCCGGGGCTGCAACAAAAAAGATAATTTCACTTACCTTCAAGATAAGATGAGATGGCGAAGATAAGAAATCGGAGAAAGGGTTAGAATAAAATTAACTCTTTACTCTCTAACAAATTTTAATTACATTACAAAATAAATAATAGTCTTCGTTATCATAATAATTATTATTAGTAATATTTTTTTTAATCACAACAGATATTCACAAATATTTACATCGCTTTTAGCTTTTTTTACAACGAAAGTCGAAAATTTTACTAAACACCTCATTCGTTTCTTATTTTAAGAGTTAATCCCATTCAATAAAAAGTTATTTTTTTAATTTTACGGAGGGTGCATTTATTTTTATTTGCTTTTTTTCTTCAAAGTTTTTATTTTTTGGGCGGATAACATGCACCCTTTATAAAAAATCATTTTTATTTTTAAAAAAGAAGAAAAAATAAAGCACAGCACGGAGAAAAGACACAAGGCGTTCGTAAGTACACAAAAATTGCATTGTTGTAAAGCTACGATAAAGTCCATCCTGAAATTGACCCATTTTTTTTAATGATTGTTTCCAATTACATTAAATTTTCACACTTTTTCGTAAAATTAAAAAGAAATTAAAAGAAACTGGGAGAGCTTAATTTTCTTTTTAACTGATGCAATTTAAGCTTGATTCGTTGTATGTGTAAATAATTAAAACTGCAAGTGCAAAACTACCAAGAATTAAAGCTTAATTGACTTGCGTTTCTGTTTTCCACACCATTGAAATACAAGTCCTAGTTATGTCGAGGAAAATAATGTTAAGATTGAATTCTATTTTAAAGGAATAAAGAGGATGGTGTTAATTAAGTAATTAGCCAAATTCCAAATTACATTCGGTTTCATAATCAACATTGATTCTTTGTTATGTCAAACCTTTCTGTATTACAAGAATATAGAGGAAAGTTTGGAAAAGAAAAAAGAAGTATTTGGAAATTTATTATCTTTTGGGCGCGATTTTTCAATAACCACCTAACCTACAATTTATTTATCTTTTATAACAACTGTCAAATTATTAAAGTGAAGTTGGTAACAATTGATAAGAATAACAGGGAATTTTTTTAAATGTCATACTTTCAAATCTGTTATGTCACTTTGACGTTTGGAGTTTCGTTATTCTTGCGGTCGAGGCGCTACAACGAATACCATATTACCCTAAAACTGGTATTAAATAAGGTTCTGCCTCGACCGCAAGCGACCTCGGCGATATTAGATGATTAAGCCGAGGTCGCTTGCGGCCGAGGCATTGGAGCATATAATATTGAACATGGTATCAATTGTAAGATCTCAGCCACAGGGCACCGCGGCATAGTATGGAAAATACGATGTCAAGAAGAGACACTACTATTTGGTACAATATTAGATACTATACGCTCTAATACCTCGGCCGCAAGCGACCTCGGCTTGGGATGGGAAATATGATGTCATTTTATTACGCCGAGGCGCTACAATAGATATATTACATATTCTATTCTCTAATGCCTCGGCCGCAAGCGACCTCGGCTAAATACAGTAGAATACATGTTTTTTTAAGCCGAGGTCATTTATGGCCGACGGATATTTTAATAGCATATTATCACAAACCTGATGTAAAAATCGGGTGTCTCGGCTGCAAGCAACCTTGGCTCAATAAATGAAACACAGATTACATGGAATAATTAATCTCAAACAAGTTGATTATGAAACCGGACATTTTTTAAATATAAATTTGGTGTATTCTAAGCATTTGGTACAAAACATTTAAAATGTAGGGAATAATGTGATGAAGTTTGGCTTCTCACTTAAATAACACACAATAGAAGTCAATTACCTTAAAAAGTAGTAAAGTTTAAAACTTTTTTAATAAAAAAAAATAACTAAAGTATAAAAAATTAACTCTAATTTAAAAACGTTCTAATATTTACAAATTTAATACAAGGTGTAGTAGAGTAAGAAACATCTCTTTTCTCGCACACCCAGTATTTATTGACTGCTAAATAGGAAGAAATACGTCGAATTAGGAAAAATTAGAGACTAAGTACCGTAAAAATAACTCTGAAGAAAGAATTTATAAATTTAACTTTATAAAAAGATTAATTAATTGCACTGAAATATTACAATCCCAACCTAAACTGTTTTAATTATTAAATAACTCTAAGAAATTCAATCTTAACACAAAAAAATGTTGCACATCTAATTAAAAAACATCGAGTTAAACGTATCCTATGTACACAATTGGTCAAATCTGATATCTAATCCTAAATCTCACTAACGAGGAAATCTCTTGTGCGGGCCCAGAAAAAAATTTATCAACAACAAAGAAGATTAATTTTAACAATCAAAAGAAATCTATTTACAGTTTTTTTGTTAGTGTCGAAGAAAAAAGAAATAATAAAACATTTACCGTGCATTTATTCAATAAAAAACCATTTAGTTCAAGTAAATTTCAAAAAAATCCTAACGTGGAGATCTCGAGTTGTCCAAAAGAAAAAATTAAATTAAAACTATTTAAAAAAAACCAATAATTGTACTAATAAATTCATAACGATAAAGTTTCTCTTATAAGCTTTTTCATTGTTGACCCAACAGACGTTGACGCCGACGGCCCCGCAATGTGATAACTCAATTTGAAAAGGTACGGTTGAACATCCGAATACGTCGTATCAAAAATCAAATCGAGTTCCGATTGATTTGGCATTTTTGGAACGTAATCGTGACGGTTCATCACTTCCGTAATATACAAAATCTTATCCGTTAAATGTTCTCCAACTTTTTCCCGGCAAATCTGTCTCTCGTCCTCCGAATTTAACGAAATCAACTCTAAACGTAACGTCCACACCTCCCACGGTATACATTCTTGGGGAAACAACCACCGATTCGGTTTCTTTTGGAAAAACTCTAAACTAATTTGACCCATTCCTGTTCCACCTTCCATGCAACGTAACGATTCGGAAAAACCCGAAATTTCCTTTTTTATCGTTTTATCCAAATTCGGCGATGTACAACATACGTATGTTAAGTCAATAAAATCACAATCTACGTCTGTATAACCAACGGAACCCACCGAGTAGCTGCCCTCCGCCGTATACGTGAACTTCCCCATCGAACGATGAAAAAGAACCGTATGGAAAAGGCTCGTTATAGCCTCATCCACCTGGCGACCCTCCATCGTTAATTCGAATATTTGTGAGCGGGCGTTCATTTTTCGTTATTAATTCGACCATGCATCAAGTAATAATGACTAGTATACGACGAATTTTAATACGCATAAGAATTAATTACGATTTGAATTAATTATGATTTCAATTAATTACGATTCGTCTCTATAACGATTTACGATCACAGCTTTGAACACCTGAGTAATTATTATTATAATTATTTTAATTTTTTTTTGCTTTTATTTCGCACGAATTTGTTTTAAAATACCGTACCCATGTAACGGGGAGTTCCACACAAAGTCGACGTCTTCCCGCCGTAGGTTAACCACTTGGACAAACCGAAATCAACTAATTTGATGTCACCCCTCGCATCTAATAAGATATTTTCCGGCTTTAAATCTCTGTAAATTACTCCGGCGTTGTGTAAGAAATCTATAAAAAAATAATAATAATTTTGTTATTGTTGTGGTCTAGTACAATGTTAATTAATTATCGTACCCGACAAAGTATGCAACCAATATCACACATTGGTATTGCAACGCGACGAAAGTTCCTAAAAACGATGGCGACAATTCATTAATTTTAAAAACCGTTTAATAGTATATTAAAAAACTAGTTTTGTAAGACACGCTTAAGTCTTATGAAACGTGTTTTTTATGCTATTTTTTGTAATTCGCGTTTTTATCCTGTTTTTTAACAAAAATAAAATAAATTTTGACAATGTAGGGAAATAGGTATGTATATATGTATATATTATATATATATGTATATATTATATATACATATATATATATGTATATATTTTAAGCAGTTAGTAACACTTGAAAATAGGAATTTGAATTGACAATTAGAAATTGTCAAAACACCAAATGTATTCTTCTGAAAAAAATATTTCATGTCCACCTCCCAAAATAAGAGAAATTTCTCAAGAGTTCAATGTCCTCATCATTGTGGAACTTGTATTCGATGCTAAGAACCTGTTTAAACATCCATAAACAAAAATTGTCAGATTGACAACTAGAAAAATTAATGACCCAATGTCACCAACTTGAACTGGTTCCATAAAATGCTTTGTAATTAAAAATAACATATTTTAATAATTAAAAAAATATTTTAAATATAAAAAAAAGGTCTAACTTTCTGTCCTTTTATTTAAAATAATTTTTAGTGTACCCATAGATTGAAATTAATGTTGAAAGTAGTGGTTATTTTGATTTGTTTATTGACTTACCGCTTAAAGCAACCACTAGAAACAATGATAGCTCTAAAAAGAACTGTTTCAAAAAATGTAAAGGCAGCAAAAAACGGTTAAAGAACAAAGAAAATACGAAAACTCACAAAATGTACGACAACCACAATAATAACTAATAACGTTTGATCAGCTGTCAACATCTGGTTACTAATTTAAAATTCTCCAATCTACCACTACATATTAAAATATGCAGCCAATATTACACAGGTCATGTGGGATACGATAATTAATTAACACAGTGTATTATTTTCAAATATAAATATGGTATTTCTTCTTTTTTTGTCAATTCTACTGTGAATTTTAATCTAGTATTATATTCATTGAATAATTGTAGTAACTGTTCATATTGTTGTTTCTTTGTGATGATCAGCAAATAATCTATGTATTTAGCTAATAGAACTGGTTTTAGGTTTGCTTTTCCAAGCTGAGTGGTTAGTAGATGATTCATTATGTTAATGCAATAGCTCTATGTATTAAATTCTTCATTGTGTTTAGGATTTGAATCTTAGGATGGTGTAGTAATGTAAGGTTCTATTGCTAGAAGACGTCTTCTTATACCAGGTTGTGTAATGAATCTTCTACTAACCACTCAGCTTGAAAAAACAATAATAAAACCAGTTCTATTAGCTAAATACATAGATGATTTGCTGATCATCACAAAGAAACAACAATATGAACAGTTACTAGTTATTCAATAAATATAATACTAGAATAAAATATCAAAATTAATAATTATTTTAAATCAAAAATTTATTTTATAATTATTTACCTATTGCCAAAGCAATTTGGGCGATGTACAACTTAATTAGGACCTTGGGTAAAGCGTACTCCTCGAGAAAATTGTGGAGTTCCCCCCCAGAGATAAATTCGGTTACTAAAATTTAATTTTATAAATAAATTCAAAATTAGGTTATGATTTCATACCAATGTATAATTTTTTCCTGGACTGCCAATGACACGGAGAACTGACGATGAACGTGTGATGACCGCACGCGCTTTGTATTTGTACCTCCTCTTTTACTTGCTGTATTGCGTTCTCCTTTATAATCTGTTAAATTAAAAAAAAAATTATAATTATATCTTACTCAGCACGTAAACAATACTCAAGATAACAAACATTATTAATTTGATTGCAACATTTATAAATAAGCGATATAAAAAATAAAGATGATTATAACCTCAAAAAAAAAAAATCGAATTATAACCTAACCTTTGATTTTGAGAGAACTTTAAGCGCATAAATTTTGCCTCCACTTTCTTCGCTTAACACCTTAAAAACTTTTCCGAAAGCTCCCCTCGCAATTTCCTCTATAACTTTGTACTTTTGTTCGTGGGGTCTTGAATCGATGGGAAAAACCGGTAAGAAATACGATTCTAATTGCGAGACGGGCCAAGCTGTTTTACTTGAATCGTAAGGTAAAGTTAAAGTTGATTCCTTCCACCTATAACAACATACAACAATACAATTTTAATAATAAAAATTAAAAAAAAATTTTTTTTAATTGAGGTTATGTTTAATTTTTATGTCAACACTACCAACTTAAATCATAACAAAAAAGATCTATAATTAATGATTAATTTTATTATTTATTTAATTAATCAATAAAGGTTGATGAAATTTTGCATCACGCAACCATCAACTGATTTTGCAAAACATGTGTAACCTAAAAATAAATCATACAATGAATCAAAAAAAAAAAAACTTGAACTTGGCGGCTTTTCACCTGTTCCAAAAATAACAAAATAAAACTTTAAACATAACTTTCTTATGAAATAGTGCCAAATCACTCACCTTTTCCTAGATACTCTTGACCAAGGTCTGGATACACTATAAGTAGACCTCTGACTGTTTAAACTGAGTAGACTCTTCGTGAAAAAGCTGCTCGAATTATTTATCTGCGTGAATAACACAACCAGTTGGCAATTAACAACACAGATGACGCAGTAAACAAATAATAACAGGACGGGAATACAGGTTATAAAGCGCGAACGAGTTTATTTACCTCTTGAAATTTCACTTGCTTCCCTTTGTTGCTCGTCGAGTTCTCTACAACGGTCTTCTCTACCGTTTGCTTGTTGCCCATCAAATTTCACGTTAAAATAGATGAAAACATCTCTCACTAATTTCCTGTTTACTCTGTGCTACTTCGAAATGTTAAGGTGACAACCTTTGTCAGATGCAGAGCGAACGACGTTTTGGGTAAAATTTCACATCCCTCTCACTTTATCTAATTTGATTCCCGTTAAAACCAGAAAGGAACAACCATACACCTCATCCCCTCCCCTGACGTAAAGTTCGTTAAGTCAATGCTTTTTGATGAGATGGCGCTTAGTTTATGTCATTTTTATAATACAAATAAATAATATTTAATAAATAATCAAAAAATTTAAATTTATAATAGAATACAATAATAAGAAATATTAATTAGAAATATATTAATAATTAGAAGTATTTGATATTAATAAAAAGCTTTATTTTTGAGTTTCGACAACAGAGGGCGCCACATTAGCTTAATAATCAATTTGGAAATATTATTTTTTTTGTTATTACATTTTTTTGGAGATGTTTGTTTCATAAAGAACGTTTTCTTGCATTAATGGATTAGTTATTTCTTAATTTATTATAAAAAAATATTTAAATGTTTCAAATTAATAATGAAAATATTTTTTTAAATAAATCTATCTCAAAAAATAAAAGGTATTTATTCTTATTGTGTTATTTTCTTTAAAACGGTGAAAATTTATTTTATATTTATAATAATATCATAACAAGATATATTTATATTTTAAAACGTCAATTTACTACGCCATCTTTTAAGGTACGCTTAAACTACTTGGTTAAACTATTTGACGCAGACTTAACCTAAAAAAGTTAAAATTTCGTAGAATACTTAATAATTAAACTGTATACATATTTTAAATTGGGCTACTCTATTATGTGAAAACCCCAAAATTTCTTTTGTGGGGAGGGTCATTAACCTCCTAAAAAGCAAAACTAACCTTACTCAACATTTTTTACCTGGAGGTTATTGACTTAAGTAAACAAACCTAACCTCTGCCTAACCTCTCCCAATATATTACATTTCTTACATTAGGGCTTTTACAGAAAATGTTGATTTTGAAAAGAAATCAAAAACGCAAAGTTGAAACGTCATTTTGACACAATAAAATTCTCTGTTAATCTTGTCAATTGTTACCAATCTACAAGAAATAAAGTATTATAGACAATTAATTTATTATACTTTACATTAAACACAATAAGTTTATAATATATACAAGAAATAAAATCGTCTTAACGGTTAAAAATTTATACATATCACATTTTACAATTAAATTTAAAAATGTCTTTATACTTTGCAGAAGAAAAATCTGAATTAAAATTAAAAGAAATAAATGAAAAGATTTCTACAGGTAACTAAACAAAGAGTTAATACATTTAAAATTATTGCGTATTAATTAAAGAATCCCTCGACGTTTTTTCGCTTCCATTCGGGGCGCACAATCCGCAAATGTTTTCGCTGTTACATTGACAGCAACTTTGACAGCTCGATTCGCTGCTGCACAAACTGTTATTTCTCGACTCGCAAATATCGATAAACTCTTCCGCTATCGTTCGATCTAAGCCGGTGTAAGTTTTTGTTAATTCCTCGGTGGTTAAAACTTTCTCCTTCGATTTTGAACGCGATTTATTATTTCTTTGACGCTTCCTTTGCTTTTCAGTCAGAGCCAATTCTTTAATGTGATTATAAATTGGTTGGGTGTAAACCTACAAAAATAAATAAATAAATAAACAAAATAAAAAATTAATTTAAATATTTGTTTAAGAAACTTACAAATTCTTTAGGTCTATTCGAATTCGATCTAATAACCGGAGATGGGATGTTTCCTAAAGGCGCGGGGATTAAGGGGTATCCAATTAAACTTCTTGGTTGGACATTTTGAGGTGGTATCGTGTAAATGGGAGTTACGGAGAGACCTGAAGATAGCTATAAAATTAATTTAAATTAATTCAGATTGTTAAAGAACGTGATTCTTAAGCACGTGTTTTAAGCTGAAGGAGTTGACACGTTTTCTCACACACGTTGGTATTTCTAATGCTTAAAAGTGGGTGTAGATGTTTATTTATTAATAATTGCGAGGAATGTTTCGCTCCAAGTAGGTTGATGTACGTAATAACCTTCAATTAATGAGTTAAAAAAGGAAAAATATTTATAATAAAACTTTTATAAAAAGCGAATTCATGTGATATCAACGAAAGTGTACCGCCTATTTCGAAGGTGTGTCCATCGTGACTGGCGGTGAATGCCAAACGAAGCGAAAATTCGCCCGGGGGTTTTTTCGAACCGGTTTTCGTCAACGAAAACGTTCAACAATAACATTTAATTTTATAGTTTTCTTACCTTGCTTCCTTTGCCTAAAGTTGACGGCGCGGCGACGACATAAAAAGGCGGACTTTGTTTCCCCAACCAGGAATTAATAAAAGCCTGTTTGCCGATGCTGTTATAATCGCGTCGCGCCTGTTCTTCGTCGTTTTTAAAACAAGGACAAACGGACCGCGCTATTTTGTAACACGCCAAACTGGACGTGATAAATTGTAAGGCTGAGGTCAATATTAACCCGATGTTGCCCAGTATCGCTTTTTCGTTGGGAATTGTTTCGATGCTTGGATTTTCTTGGTCAACCTAAAAAGAAATTTGATAAGCAATCGATTAAAAATCGATTTTGCGTCAGTGTGTGTTTTGCTGGATGTAATGGTGAACTATCACGCGGAGAAGTTGAAAGGTCGAAGTGTTTATTGTGCAAACGAGAGATTGTTGATCACGATAATGATGATTAAAATGATTATTATATCAGATTGAATTATAAAAAGGTTTCAAGTTTTAAGGTTTTAAGTTAGGTTGAATTTATTTTTGACAGCAGTTTGACGTTTATAGGTTAAGTTACTGACGTCCGAACGATTTATATGTATTTTGTGTATTCTAAACCTTTTTGCGTACTATACATCAATTTAATTGAGTGAAATCAGTTCTTTTTAACTAAATATGGGTATTGAGAGCTATTTAGCAAGTTTCATCTCCGGAAAAACGAAAAAATTGTTGATTTAATACCAGAACAACAAAAATCCAAATTTTTAATAAAATTATCGAGGACAAGCCGGTTTTAAGGTTGAGTTATTAATTTGAACCATTTTCATAAAAAATATGCATTTTAAAAAATAATCTAAATTTGGCACTGATGTGAAGCTAGCGGAGGTATAACCAACTTCACACATCTTAATTATTTCAAATTTCAAGTGACAGTTCAAAACGTCATTTTTTCTAACCTACAAATAAATATTGGGAATATTTATATTTATACATTTATTTGATATTTATCAATATCGTCAAGCAAATATTGGCTAATATGTATCAAATGGAAGTTATTGCTGGGAAATATCATATAATTGTATTCTTGAATCAAATAATAATTTAGATTTTCATAAAAATCATCTTGGGTTAATTGTTATTATTCGATTTTGATGATAATGAAGTAAATTTTCTGTCTAGAAATGTTTAGAATAAACGTGACCAGAAAAAAACACGTGTTTTGTGCAGGTTGTCTTGGTATTTCTATTACAGGAGTGGCGCAAACCGAACTCCTCGCGTAGTAAAATCCTTGAGATTATTCCCGAGCAAGATTCCAACCTGCCGCACAATAAAATACAAAAACAACCATCACGTGTACAACCTCGACTACCTAATCGAAATGATTAGAAACGCCCCATTATTATTTATTAAAAACACTTTCACTAAAGATAAAATTAATTTCTTCGGAAATAAAGGATTAAAAGTTGTTGAGCAATAATTATTATTCAAAACGTCTCGTATATATTATCCGTAAGCGGCTAAATTATGTACTTTCGGGTTGTATATGGTTTTAGAGAAAACTAAAAGTGAAAATATGAATAATTTCACTTTTGTTTGCACAATTCTTTTTACTAACCTGATTAACTTCCGATTCGTTTTGCTTGTGAAGATCCCTGGACAACCCCGTAGCTGCCAACACCAAAATCAACTGGGAAACTGCGACCGTGATTAAACTCAACGCTAAAAATACGGTTTGGGCGATATCGTAGGCTCGCTTTTTTAACGGACAACATGACTTCGCAGCTGTTAATAAACCAACGGTTCCGCTTGAAATTGCTAAACAACCACCCCATATTCCACCACCAATCTAAAAATATTAAAAATTAAATAAATTAATTTAAAAAAAAGTAAATTAATTGCGAGTTTCACGAAAAACAAAGTGATATTGAAGTTAACGAAAAGAGAAATCGCTTATTAATATAATAATAAATAAATTAGGATTAAACTTACTTGAGATAAAGAAGCTTTATGAATAATAGTTAAAACTCCAAGAACCGTCATTAAAATACCAAATAAAATCTGCAAAACCCCCAGATACAACTCCAAATTTCTACATTTCATTTTCAAAGGTTTTTTCGCGTCTAACTTTTCTTTTTTCTCCTCACCGTTTAAAGAGGAATTCGGAGTTTCTTTCGGCGTTTTACAAATCAAACGATCCGTTGATAATTTCGTCGACATCGTTAAATTGTTATCATCGACGTGCGTCTCGTTGATTTTAACCTCGTAATTAAGATCGATTTTTTGTTGCCTCTTCTCCGGGTCCCTTTTATTCACTTCGTCTTTTAAATCTTTTTCCAAATTATTTTTTAAATCTTTTTCTTCGTCTCCTTTTTCTCCTTCTTCTTCTTTTTCGCGGGAAATTTCTCTCATTTCTTCCTCTTGATTCGAAATCATCGTGAATTAATCGATTAAGTTTTCACCTCACCTCGCAGAGATCTTAACAAGCACGATTCTGTTTGCAAACTGAGTCTTGTTTGATTCGATGGTTACCACGAGACGGTTTTCAACGTGCAGTGAAAGCAAAATGCCAAAGAACTATCGAATGGGGACATTTCGAAACGTTGAAGCTTTAAAGTCTTTATCGAGGTGGATTGGATGAGCGTTGATTTTTTGGTAATATCAACGGATTGATGTGGTAAAGATGTGTTGAAATAATCATTATAAAAGATTAAAGTAGATCGTAATAGAGAAAACGGTGTGGATAATTTCAAATGCGATAAATGTAACGTAACTAATCGATTTTATCATTTTATTTACCTCTTGTGTAATCGATGATAATAATAATAATCATAATTTTCCTCCAACACGTTTCTGTGTTACCTTACAAAGTTTTCTGGGTGATAATAAAGCACCACTTTCTCTCGGGAAGTTTATGTATCTTAAATCGCCACTGGTGAAAGTAAAAATTGATTTCGTTTGTACAATATGAAACTAAAATCGTTTTCTATTATTTCTACAAAAATAAAGGCTTGGTATGAAGCTATTCAAGTTAATACCTGGTGTTTTCAATTCTGGTGGGAAACCAGATAAAAAAAAGGATTCTTTTAAGCAGAATTACAGATTACGAGGAAAATTCCCTTTAAACAACCCCAAAGAAGTTAAAAATATAGCAGAACAAAGCGTTTATTCTTTTTCTTGTTTGTTTCCGTCTGAAATCTATTTTAAATGATTTAAATTTAAGATTTTTCCGAATAATTAACCTACAAAAAAAAGGTTGGTAATGCAGAAATCTAACAATAAAATAAAATCAATAATTTAAATAAAGTAAACAAAAAATCCAAGAAAAAAGTGTTTTATCCAATTAAAAAAATAAAAATTTAATAATTAAATCGGTGTTAATAAAGGTAAATCATTTAAACCTAAAAGAATATTTTGAACGGCTAATTTAGCCATTGACATCCTAGTTTTTTCGGTTGCACTCCCAATATGTGGTGTAATAACTAATAAAATCACAAAGATTAAAATAGAATAATCAAAATAAACCATTTTTTTACCACAATTTGGTAAAGTTAATAATTCGTGGTCACTTGGAAGTGGTTCGGGGTCAGTTACATCCAACCCGGCAGCGAAAATTGTCCCATTTTTAAGAGCGGTCGCTAAATCTTGATAATCAACAACGCTAGAGGCTGCGACATTGATTAAAATTGCGGTTTTTTTCATCATGGAAAAAGCGTGCTCGTTGAAAACGATGGTTTGCTTCTTATTAATCGGAGGTGGTAAACAACAAATAACGACGAAATCGCTTATTTGTAACAAAATCTCGAAAGTGCAACATTTTATCTTGTTATCTTTATGATTACTAACGTTGCAAATGCATTGGCCGTAATAAACGAACTTTTCCACTCCAAAAACTGCGAGTTTCCGAATTAAAATTTTTCCTAAATATTCGAATCCAACGATTCCTACTGTTGTGCCATGGATATCTTTACCCAACATCCATTGGAAACCAAACAACCATTGATTGCTAAAAACGATTATTTAAACAAATTTATTTAAATAAAACTAAATTAACTTTTCGATGGCTTTCTTGCATTCTAAAAATCTTCTCGTTGTCATCAACATCAAAAAGATAATTATATTTGCGATCGAATCTGCGGCAACAATAGGAGTATTCGTTAATTTAACACCTCGTCTCTTTAATTCTTTAACGGCTACATGTCGGACTGAATTTGATAAACAGGAGACTATTTTTAATTGTTTCCCTGTGGCATCTAAGATGGTTTTATCAAGCTCTTCGGGACAAGCCCATATTATTCCTTCAACTCCACGACACTTTTCTAAAATTATGTCTCTTGTTGGAGCTGGATCACACATAATAAGTTGACACCTAAGAAGAAGTAAATAAAGAAAGGTTAAAATAAATCATTAGAAGATTACAAAGGCTTTAATTGTGATGTAGCTTCCATTGGTATCTCTAAACTCGTTAATAAGACTTTGAATTTTGATTGTTCTTCCATTTTTTAATAAAATTGGTTTATTTAAAATTTTGTGTTGATTAATCATTTTTGGTGGGTTAATTGGGTTGCATAACTTAATCCTTATCTGATTTCTTGGAATTAATTTATTGTTGTGCAATAAAAACAATAATTTCGGTGTGTAATTAAAAAAATGAGTAAACCTAAAGTTTTAATTACAAACCCGGAAGTACCAGAAATTGCTTTAAATCTTCTACGAGAGAAGTAAAATCAAAAATATCAAAGAATTTTGGTTATCCATTAATTTTTAGATGTGAATTAATAGTAAACGAAGAACAACCTTACCCAAGTAAAGCTGAAATTGTTGCTAAATGTAAAGGAGTTGATGCGATTTTTTGGGTTAGTAAATACTCCTTTGATGAAGAAATCCTTCAAGCTGCTGGTGCCCAAATGCAAGTTGCCTCAACTATGTCTGCAGGTTAAAATTCTAATTTGAAGTGAAATCATAAAATTAGATAAATTAAATGATTTTAGGGTTGGATAACGTTGATTTAGTCGCTTTAAAAAGGCATGGAGTTAAATTAGGGCATACCCCGGTTGTTTTAAACGAAGCAGTCTCTGATGTTGCTATTTTATTAATTTTAGCTACATCAAGAAGGATTATCGAAGGGAGATTAGCCATTGAGAAGTAAATTCAATAAAAATATTTTATTTCATTATTAAATTAAAAATTGTAGCAATTCTTGGAGATATGGCCCACAATGGCAATTAGGTCGTGATATTTCTGGATCAACCGTAGGAATCGTTGGTTTGGGAAATATCGGCCAAACCATTGTGAAAAAACTAAAACCTTTCGGGGTTTCAACCTTTTTATATTCAGGGCATAAAGAATCAAATGCTGGGAAAGAACTTGGTTGTGAATTCGTTACTTTTGACGAGTTATTAGTTAAAAGTGATTTCGTGGTTTGTTCTTGCCCCTTAACTGATGAAACTCGAGGAATGTTTAATGAGGCGGCTTTTAATAAAATGAAATCAACGGGAATTTTTATTAATATAGCTCGCGGGGGGATTGTTGTTCAAGAAGATTTAGTAAAAGTGTTGGAGAATAAGCGGATTTTTGGTGCTGGGTTGGATGTAATGACTCCTGAGCCTTTACCAAGGGATGATCCATTGTTGAAGTTATCAAATTGTGGTAAATAAAAATTGATTTATTTGTTGATTTATTAAATTGTGTTTGTTTTAAGTGCTTCTTCCTCATATTGGAAGTGCTACGGTTAACACAAGAAATTCGATGGCTGAGTTAGCTGCACAAAATATTTTAATGGGGTTAGGTGGCCAAAAAATGTTTACACCGGCTTATTAAATTAATTCTTTTAATATTATCATATTAAATTAATGGAAATGTTATTAAATAAAAAAGATTTAAAAACATCACGGTAATAAATACGAATATAACCTAAAAATTTGCAACATAACCTCAAAAAATGCATTTTTCACGAAAATATCTCCCAAAGGTGTTTATAAACATCGATATTCCATGGTGATGTAAAAAATTCTTGTATAAATTGAAAATAAACTTTAATTATTAACAAAAAACAGCTTCGACTCGAAAATAATAATAATAGGTTTGAAACATAACCTCAATAGAAATGCAGATGTCAAAATAATAACTAATAAACGTGTATTTAATACAAAAAATGTTTACATCGGCTTATTAACTTATTTTTTTTATTATGATCGTATTAAATTAATGGAAATGTTATTAAATAATGAAAATTTAAAAAGAACTCATATTTTATTAGACCAAAAAAGTAACAATCAAAAAATCTGATTTAATTTAAAAAAAATCATTTTAAACGTAGAATAAGTAATAATAAAGTTATTTAACTACAAAAACAAATAATTCTTTTTGAATTTTATTGAAAAACATTACGGTAATAAATACGAATATAACCTAAAAATTTGAAACATAACCTCAAAAAAAATGCATTTTTCACGAAAATATTTCGTAAAGGTGTTTATAAACATCGATATTCCATGGTGATGTAGAAAATTCTTGTATAAATTGAAAAAGAACTATAATTATTAACAAAAAATAGCTTTTGGCTCAAAATAATAATAAGTTTGAAACATAACCTCAATAGAAATGCAGATGTCAAAATAATAAGTAATAAACGTGTATTTAATACAAATACAACTTTCTTTATTAATTTTAATTATTTTTATGCATCCAAATCATTCACAAAGAGCAACTCTCGGTTCCTTAGTCCCGCTTGCTCCAAAGTATAAACAGTATCCCGGCTTTCGGTGGATTGACATCTTAAAATTCTTTTTGGAAAATTGGTGGTAATTTCAAAGTTATCTGGCCCTTCCGGATGGCAATAAACAAAATAATATATTGCTTCTAATGAGTGCGTTTTCAAAAATCTCCTATCAATACGAATTCCGGAAGGCAATTTAATTACAATATGTATAGCGTCCGGATGCCTTTCATCCGGTTCCGTAGGCACTTTATGCACCGATTCGACTTTATCCCGCGCGATATCATCCCTTCTTTGTTGTTCCTCTAAGATTTGCTTTTGACGTAGTTTCTCCTCTTCTTCAATCAAACGTTTTTGTTCTTCTCGTAATCGATCTTTTTCTTGATCGGCTCGCAATGACTCCAAAAATGCTTCGTCTTGGTGTTGTCTTATCGATCTATTTAAGTTTTGAGCCATCCTATCTTGTCTAGCTTGCCTTAAATTAATATCGTAATCGGTTACAACCCCCATTAACCTCTGCATCAGAACTTCGGGGTCGCAATAACCCTCCATTCGACTCACGATGGTCATTCGAGAATCTTTTAAAACAACCACAGCTAAAAACGGGTAATTTCTCGGTTTGTACAATTGGGTCACTTTATAACCTTCTCCTGAGGAGGCCCCAACGCCCCAAAAAAAGAAATTCGTGTTTATGTAGATTATTACTTGAGAATTACTTAATGTTGTTCTTAAAAAAAATGTATTATTATAAAAAAAAACGATTTTTTATTTAATTATTTATTACCTGCAAAAATTAGCTGTATCAACAGCATCATCTTTGTGCAAATAAACCAATAAAAATTTCAATTCCCTTTTTGCATCATTAAGTGCTTGGGAATAAGTTCCTTGATAAAAAACAGGATGGTAATTTGAATATTTCTCTTCGTAACTCCTTATAAATGACATAACATCCTCTATTGGGTTTGTAATAACTACAATAAATAAAAAAATTAATCGGGGTGGGTTAAAATCATTCCATTTCCTCACCTTCTCTATCATTACCCCTCAATATCCTACGTCCTAATGAAAAAATAGCAAAAATTGTACTATAACAAATACTCCAAAAGAAACCGACAATATCCCTGATAAACCCGCGAATTCCGCTGCCAGAACCGTCTGTTGGAGGTGTAAAAAATATGTGTTGAGTTAAATGATCGCTGATAACGGCTGGGGGACGCGCCTCGGTGGCGTAAACGGACGGGCGACCTTCTCGGATGTTCAATTGTTCTTGTACGGCGACTTCGAGGTTCCATTGGTGTCGCTGGAGAACGTCCCGGCAGACAGACATGTCTTCAATACCGGTTAGATCTTGAAATTGTAACACTTTGTCCGTTTGATCGGGGGTTAAACCCATACCCCCGTTGTCGCCCAGATAATCCATCAGCCCGATAAAGTACAAATGCCTTCAAATGGAATTATTTATATAAAATTGGTTATTTATTTGTTAAAAATCCATGCTATGCGCACGAAACACGCATCAACACACATGAAATGATGAAACGTCAAAAATCGTAACTGGTAGTCACTAAAAATTAGAGATGGGATTCTCACTAATGTCATTTTTTATTTGTACAAACAAAAATTTAAATTTACTTAAATTACATTTAAAACAACAAATTAAACGAATCATTTCGGATTAATCAAGTTATTTCGATATTAATAAAACAATTAACTAAAATAACAACATTAAAATTTCCCATCTCTAATAACTCGTTTAGGGATATTTTTGTTTAAACCGAAACGTCAAATTCAAATGGAACTAAACGTCACGCACCTGAAGTACGCCGACATTTCGCAAGAAATACCAACATCCACCGTATATTTGAGACGTTGAGACATTTCATTTCCCGTCGGAAAAACCATTCATCTCCAAGAAATACATGGCAAGGATTTATCACTATATTCTTAACTTCAAATTTTTATCACAATCTTGAATCTTGAATATTTTAGTTGAATTGTGGCGACATCTACTTGGATAGAAAAAAAACCGTTTGTTACTATGGAAAGTTTTCTTAACCTCATTTTAAATGAAACGAATTGATCAAAAAAAGTTATCAAATAGAAATAATTAAAACATAATTAAGGAGTGGTTAAGTTTGAGTTGTGGAAAAGAATTTGGTAAGATTAAGTTAATTTTTTAAATTAAATGATAAAATAAATAAAATTAATAAGTAAACAGTTGATGATGCCGCTAATAGATGGCGCCACAGTGTAATGTCTAAAAATATATAGATAAAATAATAAATTAATTAGCTTAATTAAAATTACATTATTTATCACAACGATTAACGCTTTATAATACATTAATTATAACTTAACGGATTAAATAAGAGGGATGTTTGGTAGAATTAAGTTTTGATTTGTGGGAAAGTTAAGAATGAGATATTTTATACCTTTTTAATCGTTTTTAGTTTATATGAGTTGACTCTAAATGATAATTAAGTTATTATTAGATGATAAATTAAAAGATAAAATAAATAAATAAATAGGTGGCGATGATGCTAATAGATGGCGCCATGTTATAATATATAAAAATTAAAATATAGATTTATTAATAACTAATCTTAATGTAGATTATATTTAACATCACAACGATTTAGTAACGTTTAATAATCCAATAATAACGATTATTATTAATTATTTAATTAATTAAATTTCCTTTTCAGTACTACGCATGCGCCGATTTATGAAGTGTCACATCTGGTGAATTCGATAAGTAGTGTGAGTGAGTGTGAGACGGACCATCGAGAATATAATTGCGTTTCGGAGGTGGTTGTGATCGTAAAGTTGTTTTCATTTTTTTATAGAATTTAGTTCACCACGAAATGAAACTCTCATAAACAATTTTAATAATAACGAAAACGGCAAGTTACGGATAGTGTTAAGACACTTATTAAATAAATAAATCCCCCCAACGGGAGTGATTACTTAGTGCATATTTGGAATAGTATAAAAATGGCTGGAATTCTACACTTCGTTTTATACATTCTCTTCTCAACGACGCTTTTCCAGGTAATAATCTAAATTTTAATGATTGATTTAAAAGGGTTTTATAAAAGAGATGTTTTTGTTGATTTGGTGGCGTGATTTCCAGGTTGTTAGTCACCAAGTAATCGAGGAATTGGTTTTAAAGGAAAAACGGCGTTTTTGTCGGTTTATTTTTTTATAACTACATCTGATACGATAAGATAAAACCCCGATAAGATGTAAAAGTGCGAAACAATAGGAGAAAATCAAATTAAATCACAACAAAAAAACTTTGTTTTACGCCGATTACGTCACTTCTAAGTTCTTCGTCACATTTTCCATCACCTGATTATGAATAACAGATGATTTCTTATAGTTTATGCATCCCACAACAATTTAAATTCAAGTCTGTCTACTTTGACTCTCAAAATATCGGGTCTGACCCCGAACTTTGTTCTCATACGGGGTCAAAATAGTTTTTGTGATTAACTTTTATTGGTTTCTTTTGTATCTCTTGATTGTATTAATTGTGATCGTTTAGGTTAATTTAATTTAATTAGGTACCTGATTTTCCTTTGATTTAATTTGATATTTTCGTTTATTTGTTTTGTTGAATCATTCTAAGCATGAAAATGTCAAATTTATCAACATTAAGGTTGTGTGTGTTAATAGATAAGGTAAGTATTACATTTAAAACATTAAATTAATATCATTTTTCGAAGAAGTACTAAAATTACGCATACAAGGAATAATTGGGTCATATTTAAATCAACTTTCTATGTTATATCATCAAAAAATAATTTTCTCTTTGATTTATTTATTAAATTTGCTTTCGTAGCAATAAAAATTAGTATCACTTAAATTGTATGTTCGGTTTTTACGCCTTACATACACGAGTTGTTTCGACCTGTTTCGGTTTCGCGAAGGTTGTATGACTTATATTTAAATAATTTGTATGCAACTTTCGTCTAGAGAGGACCGTCACGTTCTAGGATGTAATAAATAACACGAAATTATGAACGATTACATCCTTGGAAAGGTCAAAAATAATTTTTTACTCCTAATTTCGAGAATTTATTCAATGATTTAAATCAATAACTGACATAGGCCCCATAAAAAATCGTTGGAAGTAAAATGCGTTTACGTGTTTGTTTAATTACCTGTTTGCGTCATATGTGATTACTTAAATTTAATTTTGTAATGCTTACACGTGTTTTTTTTATTGATTGATTACTTGTATCAAATTCCTTTTCCAATCCTTGTTCTAACCCTTTTGTTTAATATTTTGTAGCTTGACGTCAAGATTCAGGAAAAGTTTGCTGTTATTAGTCACTATTGTGGCTTGAAATAACAAGGAATTTTCATAGATTCTTATGACACTCTGCATAAAATAGTCCACGCTATTAAAGCCAAGTGATGATAGAGCCATCTTGAAAAAGTGATCAAGTCAAGTCCCCAACACACTTAAGAATTTGAATTGATTTTTACTACTTGAGTAGTTAGTTTGGACATTATAGACAATCTTTTACTGCAGAACGCTAACAGCCGTTCTGAAGATAACTTAATATGAAAGAAACATTGCAAGTTTGACAAAAGTCACTTTGCAAATGTTTCATGTTGTAAACAAAACTCCTCCTCTCAAGCTGGTTAAGGAGTTGCAAAGAAAGAAGTGTCTAAACCTGTACACTATGATGTCTAAGACTGATTATGATGACTTGAATATTGTACAGAAACAGCTTAAACTAATTGATGGGTCTTACGTTGTGAACACGCTTCTGAAATAGAATTTGCTTATAAAAGAGCCCCATAACAGTGAAAATGGAGTTAAGTTACCATGTTGGCATTACTGCAGTTATTAGCTTTGTGTCAACATTAGGTGTATGTACAAATGATAACCTAGACCTAGAAAACTATTGAACCAAAATCGTAGTTCTATATTTAACCTTTTAACACTTAACACGAACTTAAACACATTAAAAATTATAAACCTATAAGATATAAAAAAATCTGTGAACACTTTACCACACAAAGTATATACGACATGTTCAACTTACACAAATAACTAAACGAGATAGCGGGAGTAAGAAAAAGATGGCTTCCCAACAGTGTGGAAGATAAATGTGGCAATATGGTTGTAAAGATTATAAAACAGCTGGAGTGATGGCAAGAATATGTGGCCGTATGGTTCACGATTTAGGTCCCTCAATAAGCTATTTCGCTTAGCTAAAAACAGTACCACACTCTTGCGAAGCGCTATTTTGCACACAAGTATAAAAGTTGTAGTATAAAAGTACATCGCAACATCTACTGCAGTCACTATTCTGCTAGAGCCATAACAACTCGAGTTAAGAGAAATATTTGGTTAAACCAATACATGCCAACAATTATATTGAATACATTTTTTTACATGTACACGTGGTAATCTGGATTGCTCAAAGTCCTCTTATAACACTTACTTTACATCCAATTTCAGCGATTGTCTCGAAGGCTGGCACTGGCATTTTGACATCCCTTGCCCAGAAAACAGTGACTGTGAAGTTCAGACCTTTCTTAAAAAAATAAAGCATTTCTGGGGTTGGGTTAGTTTAAAGAGTCCTATTTGCTTGAAAATATGTTAGCCATATGCTATTTGCCTAGGCATATAGTATCTAATTTGGTAACTGGTATTTGAAATATTTGTTAAACTTACTTTTTGACGTTTAAATGTCAAATGAACGCTAGGTAGAGTGAGTTTAGACACACCCTTTGGTCTATTGTAAGTATATATGTACAGTTCGCGTCAAAAGTAAAAAAGCGTTCTCTTAAATCTTTTGACGCATCAAATATGTTTTATACCGAAGCGAACGTGATGATATAAATAGACACTCATTACACTTTCAATTTAACAATGGCAAGGAAATAACTTGCGGAGTTAGTATTTAGGTAGATAAGACGTTAGAGGTTAATGTAATAACCATATCATGGCTTAATAGTATACAAAGAGGGGTGTCATTCAGGTTGTAATTGTTTGTTGTAAAGGGAATACTGCGTATTGAGTTGAAGGTAATAAAAAAAAATAAGCAAAAACATCTCTTTTCTATTAAAATCTTTTTAAGAAATGATTTAATTAATTTATATATTTTTTAGTATGTAAAATCGGATGATGGTCATTGTATTTGGTACGGACAATGCAACAACGACGGCGGATTAACACAAAATTGTTGGTACAATGGCACCGCGATTCCAATGGAAGACCCCGACGGTTTAGAACTCATTCAAAAATGGTGTCCTCACATGCTCACATCGGATAAGATTTCAACGTGTTGCGATAGCAACCAGCTAAAAGTGATGGACGAAAAAATTAATTTGGCCGCCGGGTTCCTGCAAAGATGCCCTTCTTGCATGAACAACCTCGTCAAGCATTTCTGTGAAATGACCTGCGCCACGAACCAATCGAAATTTATTAATATCGTTTCAACAAAACCAAACGGAAATATTAAAAGTAAGTTACTTGGCAAAAGTTTCCTTTGGAGATTTTGCGAATGTTTACTGAACGAGGTTATAAATAAATTGATGTATTAAAGTTTGATGATTCATTTCGTTATCAAATTCTGCGTAATAATGTTTTATTGTAATATTTCTTCAGTTTATCGAAAGCCTTTAATCTTTGTTAAATAAGTAATAAAAATTTAAAAAAAATATAAAATATGATTAGATATAGATTATGACATCACCACTTCTCTATTTATTACTAAAAATATAACTTTCTCTTTTCAGATGAAACCTACATAACGGAAATAGATGTTTACATGGCAAATGATTACCTAGAAGGTACATACCAATCTTGTAAACAAGTTAGCGTGCCAAGTACGGGTCAAAAAGCTTTGGATATCATGTGCGGAAGTTGGACATCGACTCGTTGTTCCGCTAAAAGATGGTTCGATTATATGGGGAATAAAAACACCCCTTTTGTACCGTTTCCAATTAACTACAAGAATTCATCGTCGGATGGCAGTTTTATACCAGCAAATCCGCCCGTAACTCCATGCAGTAAAGCGCTAAAGGTATATTATTTCAACGGTTACTAAAATAATCAAGTGAATGTCAAGTTGTTGGCAAATTTCCAATGCGATCGATTTTAAACTTGCTTGATGACGACTCAAAACTTAAAATCTCTTTTGTAACTAAAAAATAAAATCGATAATTTTATTTTAAAAATGGTTCGAGCGAACCTTGTTTTCGCGTCGTTGGCAATGAATTTAAAATTGGGTCAAGTATAAACAAGTCGTTTACGTTCTTGAAACTGAAAGATCGTTTTTGTTCGATGCGAGCAGAGAATTACTAATTGTTATTGTATTGTTTCTTTTTGTAATTTGAACTGTATTATTTGAACTGATTGTATTCGTCACAGCTGTTAATAATGAGTCATTATAAGCTTTGTCCCTGAACTTTGATAACTTTGAATGATAATGAGGGGAAGATAATGAATTAGAATCATATCGCAAAATTAGATTCATTTCCCAAAACTATAATCATTTCAAATTTCCGTTTTAAATTAAAATCATATCAGGTACAAAACAACAATAAGGTTAATACCGAGACCTTGATTAACTTTAACTTGGAACCTATTAATTGATTTATTTGTGCAAAACACAAAAACAAGTTTTTATTTTTAAAGGAACCCGTTTAAAAATAATTTTTTTTATCTATGGTAAAAGCTTAAATGGATGGATTGCTACATAAATATTGAGGTTTGAGAGAATCTATGAATTTTCTGATCCAAATATTTACTGGATTTATAAATAAACCTATCCTTGACACTGCACCTGTAAAATGTTAAAAAAAGGGAATGTTTTTACTTTATCTCAAATAAAAATCTATAAATAAATTAAGGTGGTAAGGTTAAACGAAAATAAATGAAAAAAATGTAAATATTTTAGTCTTAGCTGAAAAACAAAGGAACAACAAAATTATATGGAAGGAAGACCTGCAATGGACCATGAAATGGATGAATGGAGGATTCCTGGAGGTCACACCAGGAAACAACGCTGATTATAAAAGGGAACTGTAAAAATATAAAAAAATGAAAATATGCAACATAGTGATATTTTATGCTAACTAGCTGTAATGTCAAATTATATAGACATGTTGTTGCATTTTATGTGAAATGTATTTTTGTATAATTCATCTTAAATGAAATTCACTGTATAAATTCCACATCACCAATATCAATTCGTATAAGATCTATTAATGATGTTTAACAGTGATTTTAAATTTACAAAAATCATTTTGACAGATTGATATTGACAAAGTTGATGCTTACAAAGTTGTAAACAATCAAGTTTATTTGATTTTTGTAACATATAACAAATTTGAAATATTTGTTAAAACTTTACTTTTATGTCAGTTACATTTTGACGTTTAACTATCAAATTTACTTTAAGGTTAACTCATTGCATTTTTTATAAAATTTCTCATTAAATTAACTATTTTTACATGCTACTATTAAACCTTATTTTATAAAAATGGTCTACTTTTTTTTTTTTTTTTTCAGGAAGGATTAGCTGCTTGCAGTTGCGTCGATTGCGAATCAAGCTGCCCGGTACCAGAACCCCAACCAGCTCCAGCCGGACCGTTTAAAATCCTAGGTTACGATGGTTACGCGTTCATAATGACCTGCATTTTCGTCGCGGGATCAACCCTTTTCTTAATGGTGGTGTTTATTTGCCCCAACATATCCGGAGGTATAATTACAATTAGATTCACATCATTATTTCACGACACACAGCACAAAGCAAAAATTCGGGGACTTTTTTTTCACTCGTATTTTAAGTTTTTTTTTTGTGTTCAAATATTTTCAGGTTATTCTTTAGGGCGTACCGATGATACAGTTGAAATTGACCGGTTCTCGGGTACTTATACAGGTACATAGAACCTGTAACTTTTGGAATCCCTTTTTTTGAGATAATCAGAAAGAATAAATTTTTATATTAAAGCAGCTTTGTGTAATTTAGAAATTTTATTTTTTCTAAATTATACAATTTTAATTCAAATTTAGATTTTTAGGAGCATGCGTTTTATTTCTTACTAACATAAACACATCTATTTATTTTTGCATGGCATAGAAAGTATTTTTCTTAATTTTTTTTGGGACATTACTAAACACTTCACTTAAAACACTTCAAATTGTAACAATCAAAAATTTATTTGATTAAGTTTGTGTTAATTTTTAATTGTTACAAATTTTATTACTTCAATTTGGTGGTTTTTGAGTGTGTTTGGTGTGGGTTTTTAGTGGCTGCAATTATTCGGGGGAGAGGTACGGATGAGGTGCGAGCTGCCGTAGGAAGGAGGTTGGCTGGAGTCGATCGATCACCCCATAACACTTTGGGAGATAGCGAAGATAGCCCCCTTCAACAATCCAAGAGATCCAGTACGTTTTCCTAATTAACCTTTTCATACGCTTACAAAAAATAATAAATAAATACAAATTCTTGTATTTGCTTTAAGCTTTTTCTTAAATTAATTTGGGTGAATTTAATTAATTTATTTTTTCGGCGTAAATAATCGAGTTTGATTTGATTAATAAAACTTATTTTTGTTATTTAGGTGTTGCATCAGAAACCGACCATGAAATGGACACCCACTCCATCACAAAAATGCCTGGAGAATACGAAATCTCATCGTCATTCATCGAGAAATTAGGGGCAAACACCGACACGATTCTCCAACAATTTTTCGAATCCTGGGGGAAATTTTGCGCGTCTCGCCCGTGGTTAATTTTATTTTTCGGGGCTTGCCTCGTCATCGCGCTTGGACACGGAATAAAATATTTAAAAGTAACCACAGACCCCGTCGAGCTTTGGGCATCGCCGAATTCGCGGAGTCGAATCGAACGAGATTACTTCGACAGCAATTTTGAGCCGTTTTACCGCAACGAACAAATCATAATAACCACGGTTGGGTTGAATAAGATTTACCACGAAACGGATGATGGGGTGATTGAGTTTGGCCCGGTTTTTAACGAAACGTTTTTGCGGGAAGTTTTGAATCTCCAAGAAAAAATTAAAATGTTAGGTGCGGGAACGGATCATAGTTTCGATAAGATCTGTTTTGCACCTTTACGGATGAAGGGCCAAAAAAACACTGATGTCGCGGAGTGTTCCGTACAAAGCATTTGGGGGTATTACCAAGATGACCCCGATAATTTCGATGATACTTATTTAGACAAATTTTTAACGTGCTCTCAAAACCCTTTTAACATGGATTGTTTGGGGACATATCAAGGCCCGATCGATCCTGCGATCGCCGTTGGTGGGTTTTTGAAACCAGGCCAATCTTTATCTGATAACCCTCAATATAACGAAGCGACGTCGATTATTTTAACTTTCTTGGTGAATAATCACCATAATAAAACAAAAATTGGACCCGCGATGGAATGGGAGAAAAAATTCGTTGATTTCATGAAAAATTGGACTTTAACTGACAAACCCGATTACATGGATGTTGCGTTTACATCGGAACGATCGATTGAAGATGAACTCGATCGTGAGAGTAAATCGGATGTTTTAACGATTTTAATTTCTTATGTTATTATGTTTGCGTACATCGCCGTGAGTTTGGGGCAATTAAAATCGTGCTCTCGCCTTTTAATTGATAGCAAAATCACGTTGGGTTTGGGCGGGGTTTTTATTGTTTTGGCTTCGGTGATTTCATCAGTGGGAATTTTTGGATTTATTGGAGTCCCAGCTACTTTAATCATCGTTGAAGTAATCCCCTTTTTGGTACTTGCTGTAGGAGTCGACAATATCTTTATTTTAGTTCAAACACACCAAAGAGAATTAAGGAAAAATTCCGAAACTCATGAGGAACACATTGGAAGGATTTTAGGGCAAGTTGGGCCCTCAATGCTTCTTACAAGTGTCTCAGAAAGTTGTTGCTTCTTTTTGGGGGGATTATCCGATATGCCTGCTGTGAGGGCGTTCGCTTTGTACGCTGGGATGGCTTTATTATTCGATTTCCTCCTCCAAATAACTTGCTTCGTTAGCTTATTATCCCTTGATACGATAAGACAATCAAATAATCGATTCGATATTTGCTGCTTTATAAAGGGATCGAAGAAAGATGTAGGAAACCAAGAGAATCAGGACGGGATTTTATACACTTTCTTTAAATACGTTTACACCCCGATAATAATGAATAAACTCTCGAGAGTTGTCATAATGATCTTCTTTTTCGGCTGGATTTGTTTATCGATTTCGGTGGCCCCCCACATCGAAGTGGGGCTAGATCAAGAGTTATCAATGCCCGAAGACAGCTTTGTGCTGAAATATTTCAAATATTTGAAGGATTATTTAAACATAGGCCTCCCGATGTATTTCGTTTTGAAGGGTGGGTTAAATTTCACGCAATTTGACACGCAAAATTTAATTTGTAGCGGGCAATATTGCGATGTTGATTCTTTGGTTACTCAAATTTACGTCGCTTCGAAATTATCGAACACCACTTATATCGCTAAACCGAGTAGCAGTTGGTTGGATGATTATTTCGATTGGGCCTCAATCCCAACTTGTTGCAGGAAAGATAAAAACACCGGAGACTTTTGCCCCCATTCAAATCGAAGTAAGTCAACTTTATACAGATGGGGTAGAATGCAATCCCTAGTTTTAAAAAATCACCATATACAGACTAAATAGAGAGTTGATGTCTTGATTAACCTCAACCCAACCTAACACAATCTAATCCAATTTAACTCGGAAAATGTATTAATTAAGCTTTCTAATAATGTATCAAAAGTGCTTCTAGCATCAGACTTTTCTAATATGAAAAGTTCAGAACTCAAATTTTTGGGAAAAAAATTTTCAACTATCTGTAATTTTTTTAATTCATTGCCAAATTTGGTTTCCATATAACCTTTGTTTTCAGCAGCTCATTTTACACATTAAGACCGATTAGAATGAAAAATTTAAAAAAATCGTTCTATTAGCTTTATAATTGGGTTGGGAGTGCTCTTACATGGAACAATTCTTTCAAAGACTTCTTCCATGCGAAGTTTATAACCAAAAAATTGAAAGAACAAATTTTCAAATACTTATAACTTTTTTAATTCATTGCCAAATTGGGGTTGCTTGTATTTATTGCGTTCGCCAAATCCTTTAGTATTTAAAATAACGAAGTAAAACTGTTTTAAGACAAACATATTGTTTAGAAACCGAGACAGCTGAGCTGACGAGTCAATAGTTCTAGATTTTCGATAATAATATATTATTTAAAAACCGAGGCAATTGTACTGCTGAGACTGTAGTTTAAGTACTTAAGCCGTGCGTCTTCAGACTCCTATAAAACTAGATTCCTAGAGAACTAAAACTAGAACTAACACTAGACCTAGAACTAGAAAGTTTCTAGTTCTTAGTAGTAGAGTTTTTCTAGTTCTAGGAGTTTCTATCAAGTTTTAATTATCATTCTGCATTTTGACTACCACAGAATAACGTGACTACTAAGAACTGTATTCGGTCTTTTCTATATGGTGTTGTTTTTAAAACTAAAGACTGCATTCAACTTCACCCTGTATAATCTTATTATTATTATTTTATTAATTTATTTTTTAGAGTGTCAACTCTGCAACATCAATCTTCAAAATAAAACCCAACGTCCATACGAATCAGAATTTTCTCACTACATCTCGTATTTCTTACAAGATAACCCGGATAGTGATTGCGCAAAAGGGGGGCACGCCGCTTACGGTCAAGGCGTTAACTACAAATTGAACGAAAAATTAAAATCCTCAACCGTGGGTTCGTCCTATTTCATGGCGTATCACACCATTCTAAAAACATCGAAAGATTACTATGAAAGTATGAGAGCCGCTAGGAAAATTTCCCAAAACATCACCGATACGATTAATAAAAAATTAAAAATGAGTGGGGATAATACCGAAATTGAAGTTTTTCCATATTCAGTTTTTTATGTTTTCTACGAGCAATATCTAACGATGTGGTCGGATACTTTGAAAAGTCTCGGAATAAGTTTGTTGGCGATTTTTGTTGTGACCTTCGTTTTGATGGGGTTGGATATTTTCTCATCGATCGTTGTTGTGATAACGATAACAATGATAGTTGTAAATTTATGTGGGATGATGTATTTTTGGAATATAACCTTAAACGCGGTTTCTTTGGTTAATTTGGTGATGGCGGTTGGAATTGCGGTGGAATTTTGTTCCCATATGGTACATAGTTTCGCGATGAGTGTACAACCAACAAGAACTGAAAGAGCGGCCGATGCGCTTACAAAAATGGGGAGTTCCGTATTTTCCGGGATCACCTTAACGAAATTCGGCGGTATCATCGTTTTGGGATTCGCGAAATCTCAGATTTTCCAAGTATTCTATTTCCGGATGTATCTGGGGATAGTTTTATTGGGCGCCGCTCACGGACTCATCTTTTTACCAGTTCTATTGAGCTATATCGGTGAGTTCGAAAGGTTTAAACGTGCGAATTGTCTAAAACAGGCTTGTTTTATTTGTTTGTCGGTGGTTGGGTGCGTACTTTTTGGTATGGTGATGTTTTGAATCAAAAAAGTGATTTATGTATCTCTTTTTTAGTAATAAATTTTTTCTTCGACAATCTTTTAGTGATAGAAGTAGTATTTAATTAGCTTCACTCATTCTTGCATGATTAGTTTTTTTTTTGATTAACTTTCTTTGTGAAACTCACCTACTTAAATCAGCACAATATTCATGTTTTTTTAACAGGGATAAATGTTTATAAGCATGTCGTATGTATCCAACAGGTTCCCCAATGAATAAGGAAAAATTGGCGAAACATAGGATTTTAAACGGGGTTCACATTCAGGAGACGTCACTGACCAGAGTAAGCGACCATTAAATGTTATTATTTTTTTTATGTATAGGGTTAATCATTAAGAATGAACATTATTTGAAATGAAGATATAAAATGATATATTAATGATTACAGTGAAATGTCAACTTGACAGTTAAACGTCAAATAGTAACATAAAAATGACGTTTAAGAATTTGATTTTTTAGTTTTCATAGTAAATCATACAAAAATATATATTTGGAAAAGAAATAGATTGAAATAAAACTAGATCTAACACCAGCATTATCATTAGAACTAAAATAGAAAGTAGTCTTTTGAATGTGTTTGACGTTTCTGCAGAAACTTCACTTCAAAGTTGTTCGCCGGCCGTGAAAGCTTTCGTATTGATAAAGTTGGTTTTTACTTTTAATAATTATCTAAATATGCTAGAATTTTAAATATTTAATAAAAAATTTAATAACAAAGTAAATTTAATGAGAAATTTTATAAAAATGTTTTAATAAAGTGAAATGTCAATTTGACAGTTAAATATGAATGAAATTGGTTACCAACCCAAACGTCAACGCGAATTAATCAAAAGTGACGTTTTGATACATTAAAATATTATGTGAATTCTTACTTTTAATGTTACATCGTACAAAAATTAATTTTAAAGAAATAAACCTCGTAATTTACAACTTTCAAGGTTCCAAATTGATAATTTGTCAGTGTATGTCAAAAAGTGACCATGGTCTTTTGAAAAGTGAAATGTCAATTTGACAGTTAAACGTCTAATTTGTATAAAAAATTATAATTTTTATATTTTCAATTTAAATATGAATTCTTAATGATTCGCCTTGTATGTATTGGAAAAAAATTGGTGGTTTTTTTATAAATATTTATTTATTTATTATTTTCGTTGTAAATAATCTTTCCTTTTATATTTTAGTTGAAATCTTTTTTGTATGGAAGAAAGTAATTATCGATACATTTTTTTTTGTTCAACAATATAAATTTATTTATCAGGAAATTTCCGACATTCTTATACTCATTTACCGCTAATTCTTTCTTCTTTAAAAGACTCCGCTCATTCAAACCGTCCATTCCATTCATAATCATCTAATTACTAACAAAATCATTTTAGTTTAATTAATTAGAGCTTAATAGAGAAAGTGCACTCATTTAGTTTGATACGATTATTATTTAGTGTTTTATTTGTGTTATTTCGATTTCTTTTGATAATTTTATTGTTAAACGAAATTATTTTTAGGCGTGATGCAACGTCGTGGTAGATCAACAAATAATCAACACCAATCGGTGGAAAATTCGTTGTTGTTGCCTTCCACATCAGGAGCAGTCAATAACTACAACAGTATAAACCCGGCTTGGGCGTAAAAAACTTTTTTATACCATAGTTTAAATATTAAAAACGAAAAGTACTTTAATTTAAAACATAAATACTAAAAAGAGGTGCCTCATTTAATAAGAGTATTTTCGTTGTTTAGTTCAATTTTGTGATAGAATTAATCATTTAATTTTTTTTAATTTATGTGTCTAAAAAGGGAAGAAAGTTTTCTTTGTTGTGATAACGTTTCAAATCTCAGGAACCGTCCTTTAACGGTATTTTTTCTTTTTTGGAATATTATTAACGAAAATTAAAAAGAGGGTGAAGAAACGTTTATTAAATTAGTCAGTATTGAAATATTTTTTAATAATCTCAACATTCATTTTATAGGAATTAAAAAATGGGGAAAAGAAATGAATGTAATTAAGCCTTCGATGTCCGCACTTATTACCATTTAAATATTTAAATAATACAGGGTGATGTTTACAAAATAAAATGGGACATATCCTTTTATAACATAAAATAAATTAGTTTTTGTTTCGGGACACATTCCTTATTTTTCTTTTCCTACCAAAAAAATACTGATATTCATCATTTATTTTTGTACCTTCGTTTAGAACAAAAAAATTGTAGCTTTGTGTACTGTGTGGAATTGTATAAAATAAATAAATTATTGTTGTAAAAAAAAATCTTTTATTTTAACAAGTTAATTTTAATCACGAAGACGGGAAAAACTCGGATAACGGCCCAAATAAATAAATCCCTGGATTATCATCTTTTGGATTCCCTAAAAACTCGGCGTAAAGCTCTTGGTAGCGAGAAAGAGTTATTCCACCTCTTCTTCTATCATCATCCTGCAATAAAAGGTAATTATTTTTATACTGGAAAGTAATGTTTTTGATCTAACATTAAACCTAGAACTAAAAACTTTCAAATTATTCAGTATTACATTGTTGCAAATTCTGCTTCCTCTTTTTAAGACCTTTGCCTTGTACTCTATAATCTAGAGATGCGGATCCCTTGTTGTAGAGTTTTCAGCCCTTGTTTCCACAGCGTAAGTCATAATAGATCTTGCGTAGGTCTTGCATATGCGAACTATTATTACTTTGTATGGCAAATTTTTATTGAATTAAACTTTTTCTTTTCATAATACCTGTCAATGTCATATTTTTAGGATTTATGTTGGTATAAATTTATATTGTTTTTTCTTAATTTCTAGTAATATTGTGATTTTTCCTGCATTTATTTTACTTTCATTATTTCTGTAAGAAAATAAAACCAAAAAATTAATTTTTTCTGTTTTAAAAACGAAAGTTAAACATCATAAAAATTTCCTGTTTATCTTATTAACTGTCGCCAATTTCTCGACAATTTGACAGGTTATAGAAGTAAACAACGGTAATAAGTGACAGCAGTAAGGTTAGCTTAACTTAACCTAAAATGTCAGAATTAAATTCCTTTTATAACAGCGATAATGATAATTTCAGTGAAAATTACTTTGGGCTATCTGATGATGAAGAATTTTTCAGCGATTATAGTGAGGTTGAGAATGAAAGTGATGGTGAAATGAATTCTCTGTGACTACTAAATCATAATTTTGACTTTTGACGTTTTGAACATAACCTAATTCAACTTGATCCTTTCAAAGAACTTTTCATTAAAAGTTTTTATCATTAACACGGTAAGTTTATATCAAACCTTACAATATCGTCTTTTATCTCCAATTTATGATATAAATCGTTAACTCCAAAAAATAAAGTCAATGGGATTCTATTAAATTTAGACGTTTTTGAACGTATCCTAATTCAACCTAATTCTTTTTAAAGGACTTTTCTCTATAAATTTCTATTATTAACAATTTTTATATCACACCTTAAAAAATCATCTTTCATTTTCATTTTGAGATATAAATTGCTTCTTAACTTCAAAAAATAAAGTCTGCAATTTTTTTAATATTAACGTTTTCGAACGTATCCTAATTCAACTTAATTCCTTTTAAAAAACCTTTCTTTACAAATTCTTATCATTAACTCGCCAATTTTTATATCATAGCTTAAAATATCATCTTTTATCGTCATTTTGGGATATAAATCGTTTCTTAGCTCCAAAAAATAAAGTCAACCCCATTACTTTAAACTTTGACGTTTTCGAACGTAACCTAATTCAACTTAATTCCTTTTAAAGACTTTTTCTCTACAAATTTTAAATAATTAACACATCAATTTTTATATCATACCATAAAATATCATCATCTGTCTTCAATTTGTGATATAAGTCGTTTCTTAACTACAAAAAATAAAAACAAAGATTTTTTTTAATTTTGACGTTTTCGAACGTATCCTAATTCAACTTTAATAAATGCTTTTTTATGTTAAGATTTATTTAAAGTTACACAATCAATTCTTGTCGCTTTCCAAAAAAGGCCTGTTGGCAAAATCAGCTCCCATTTAAATGTACGAGTCCAAAATGTTTATAAACTAAATTCGAGCCAAAACACAAACAAACGGCGATAAAATAGAGCGCCAAAACGATGGTTACATTTTAAACTTACGTTTAATAAGTTATTATAGGCTTCATCCACCAAAGAGATATCATCGATCGCGAATTTAGTGCAACAATTATATCTGTATTCTTCTGCGGCGATGATCCCGTCATCGTTAGTGTCCATCATTTTAAAATTTGAATCGATAAACATTTTCATTGCCTGCGGGAAATCTTCGTAACGTTTTCCCGCGCAACAATCTGTCACGGCTTGGCGAAACTCCTCGGTGCTGATCCTCCCGTCCTGTAACAGTTCCTAGATTTTCGGACAAAAGCTTTGTTTTTTAAATTAGATTTATTTCTGAATCTGTGGAGTTTATTAAATTTGTATTTTAAAAAAAATTTCTACGTAGCGAAACAAAAATTAAATTCTACAAAAAGTGCGTTCATAATCAAAAAATTTTTTATTTTGACTTATTCTTTTAACCACAGATTGCAGATGAGAAATTAATTAAAAATGAAATGATCTTTTGTCCCATTAAAGATTTAGAACACACCCTTTTATGTATTTTTAAATTGTTAGTTAAAACATCGATCTTTCTATAGACGACACAAAAAGAAATTTAGTGGTTTTTATTGAATTGTGTTGGTAGCAAAAAAAACCTTGTTAAAATCGGCTAATTCGGCGATTTCCTCCCATAAACTCAACATGATGTGCTGATTCTCTTGTAATTTAGCAGTGTTGAATTCTCCTTTTCCTTCGATAATCGTAGCCCTAACTGCTAAACACATAAAATCTTTTTCTTCTAAATAACCATTCCCATCAATATCTAAAAAGAGTACTACATATGTCAAAATCAAATTTTATGTTGGTATTATCTTATAAAATGTATGTTATTTTTTTATATTTCTCTTTTTTTCTGCGTTAATTTTATTTTAATTATTTCTGTATAAATATAAAATCAAAAAATTAATTTTTTTTTTGTTTGAATAACGGAAAATGAAACGTCATAAAAATTCCCTATTCATTTTGTCAACTGTCGCCAACTTCTCGATAATTAGATTAAATGACAGTAGTAAGGTTACGTTAAGCTAACCTAAAATGTCAGAATTAAATTCTTCTAACAGCCATAATGAGTTTCAATGAAAATTACTTTGAGCTGTCTGATAATAAAGAATTTTTCAGCGGTTATAGTGAGATTAAGACTGAAAATGATGGTGAATTAATCTGAAAATAAAGTTACGATTTTTTTAATATTGACGTTTTCGAACGTATCCTAATCCAACTTAATTCCTTTTAAAGAACTTTTCTTTACAAATTCTTGTTATTAAGACCGCAAATTTTCTATGATATCATAAAATATCATCTTTTCTCTCCAATTTGTGATATAAATCGTTTCTTAACTCAAAAAAATAATGTCAATATATTTTAAATTTTGACGTTTCAGACATAACCTAATTGATGCAAAATTAAAAAATAAAAAACCGTTCACAAAGAATAATACTTAAAACGATTCAAAACACTCGGGATCAATCATATTTAAGGTAAACGAATCATGTTGTTTATTTAAATACGTTTGTTTATTATTAAATTAAACGAATTTTCAATAAGAACTCCAACTACAAATCTTCAACCAATTTCAAACAAAACGTTTTGCGTTTAGCTTTTATATAAACCTTACAATTCTAAAATGATTCTAAAGTTCGGTTTAGGTCAGAGTTATTTTCGAAAAACCTGCTACAGATGTTCGATATGGAGCACATTTTCAATCGATTTTTTTCTTTAAAAGTGTTATTTTAATTTTTTTTAATTAATAAGCTTACCGTATAAGAATTTGATGGCAAACTGTATTCTATTATCCCAACTATAAGCCATTTTCTTGTATAACTTAATGATTTGAATTTCTTTGATGCGAATAGGAATAAAGCTGGTGAAGATATGAGCCGGGTCGAGTGAAAACTGACCGAAATTTTTGGCATGAACCGCGCTAAGTTTAGCGACTTATAGTTTTTCAAACAAGGAGTACATAAACCTTTTTTGGGTGAGAACCCTTTTTCGTTTTAAATCAACTCTTTATTACAATCATCTTAAATAACAAATTTTTTTTTTAACTTAAATCTATCTTTACAATGTCTTTAATGTTCTCTCTAATTCTATTTTTAGATTTACTAACGAGTTTCTCGCTTATATTTATACTCAACCTAACTTCTACTTCTAAAATTAAATCTTAAACCATTGTAATTTCCGTAATACTCCTTTTATTTATGATAATGGACCAAAAACTTTTTAAGTACTTTATTTCTTTTAGATTTTAACCCGGTTCGTTTTTAACCAATTTATTTCTTTTACTTGGCTTTAAATCAACTATTTTAATTACGACATACGCTAAATGTCCGTGTTACGAGACAGATGTAACCATAATTTAATCGGGATTACACTTTATTGATTTATTTCAAAGGATTATTTCTCTATTAATACAATTTTACTTTATTAATAATTCTTTGGGAATTCTAAATCCTTAAAAACTTAATTTCTTTTATTTATCTTATTATTATTATAAATTTATTATATTTCATAATTATCTTAATAATAATGCATATTGGGTTGTATTTTAATTACCGCCATCTTTTGTATTTCACATAAATTATTTTTGTTGTATATTGGGTTGCATAAACAATTTTGATTTATTTAAACGTCAAAATTAGCTGTTTTCCGTTTTGAAATACGAAATTTTGGGGTAAATACAACAACGAAGCGATAAAATAAGATATTCAACGTTATTTTTAGGTATTAATAGTTGCCAATACGCAATTATTCTCGAACGACGTCGGCAAACGCGAAGTGCATCTGGGCAGAGTGGGAAAATAGCTTCGCGAAATGCGACATAAATTTCGCAGGTGAACTCGCGCTCAGAATGTGACCCGGCCGAAATAGATCCGGTGGGCAGAAACGGCGAAACCGTTAACGATTCCGTACATTTCGACGAACACCTCTCACAATCTAACCGTACCGAATTAAAATTTTTTTTTTCGACTCCGTGGCAATTTCCCAAAAGGACATTTACTCTGGAGGATTCGGTGTAGTCGTATCTGGTAAATATTTTTTTTTTAATTCGTAAATTGCATTGTAATGATTCAAAGTTTTTACATAACCTAAAATTTTTTTTTTGACAGATCATATTTGACAACGACGTTTTAATGACAGGTGTTTTTAGGAAGAAATTATTTAACCATAAAAATTAACCATGTCTGTTAATAAAGTCCAATTATACCTTTACGATTTATCAAGGGGCATGGCCTCCACCCTCTCACCAATGATTATAGGTAAATTAATTATTTCATTAATTTATTTGGGTCGATTAAATAAAGTGAGGTTATGTTTGTGTGGCACAACAAAAATAAACCGTTTAATTTATGTTTTTGCTTTCCAGGTAAAAGAATAGATGGAATTTGGCACACTTCAATCGTTGTTTATGAAAGGGAATATTTTTTTGGCTCCGGTGGAATTGAAAGTTGTAACCCAGTAAGTGGAATCGTTTTAATTTGTTTTATGATTCTTTAAATTTAATTTAAATGAAGTTAAGGTTAAAGTAAGTAGATGGCGGCGTTCACGTTCCATCTAAATTTGGATTGGGTTATAAATAAAGTAGATTTTTCTTCGTCTCAGTGAGCTAACACTGCGCCGGCTTATTTAGTTGGTTTTGTTCGATTATCTCGATAATACTTAACACTAACGAATTAATATTTATTTCTTGTTGCATTAAATTAGTAAGTTTATCATTTATCTTTTAAACATATTAAAAATAAATTTTAATCTCATTTCCGTAAACATCTATTTATAAATTAAATCTATTTTTAACTTTAAAATAAAATTTTTAGGGCTCCACAGCTTTGGGGGAACCATTAGAAAGGATTTATTTAGGCGAAACGGAAATACCACACGGAATTTTCCTCGATTATTTAAACGGATTAAGTAGCAGCACCTTTGCGTAAGTACTTTTTATTAAAAATAATTAATTATTGACTTAAATTTTTTTAGTGGTCACACTTATCACATAATAAAACACAATTGCAACGTATTTTCGAACGAAGTAGCCCAATTTTTGTGCAACTCTGGTATTCCAAAGCACATTTTAGATTTACCCAACGAAATCTTGCAATCTAGGCTTTCTGAGGTTATTCAGGATTTTATTGGCAAATTAGAAGAAAGTGCCAGACCTGTTTCTGAGGAGGATCCTGGCCCTATTATTGCAAACAGGCAGACTAGCCCCGATTTTGACGCTTTAAATTCAGAAGTTGAAGCTACAAGGTCAGAAACAATGGGTGGTTTTGATAAAAATGAATGATTTTTTTAATTTTTTGCATATTTTATTGGTTTTTGTTGGTTAATGGCTCGCTTTTGCTTAATGAAATTGTCAGTGTTGCCACCTTTGGAAAATTGTCGACTCGGATATTATTAAAATTAGCCTTTTTATGTATTGCAATCAATCATTTTTACTAATTGCACAAGTAATTACTTATTAGGTAATAACAAAGAAAAGAAAATATATATTTGTAGGTTAGAAAAAATTATATTTTTAGCTGTCAGTTGAGATGTGTGAAGTGAGATTCACACGTTCGCTAACTTCACATCAATCAGTGTCAAAACTGTCAAATTTAAGTAATTCCTCAATATGCATTAAATATTTTTTTGATTCTGGTGGACTCAAACGTTGTAAACCCGTAACTTTACGGTGAAATCATTTTAATTTATTTTACGATTATTTTAATTTAATTGAAGTTAAAGTAAGCAAATCGACGTTCGCTAGCTTCACATCAATCAGTGTTAAAACTGTCAAATTTAAATCGTGCATTAAATATTATTTAAATTCATAATTTTTATGAAAATCGAACAAATTGCTAACTGATTGGGAGTGAACCTTAACCCGGCTTTTCCGGGTGAAAACCTGCTTAGTGATAACACTGGAAATTGGGCATTTCTATGTAACAATAAAACCTAACCTAAAACGTTTGCTTTTAGTGTGTTTTAGTGTTTTATTAACTTATTGTTGAGTTTGGATGAGATTGTATATGAATAAATAAATGTGTAAATTATTTTTTTGGTTGTTTAAAAATAATTTTTTATAATTAAATTATTTTTTAAAAACAAACAAAAAGATTGGTGAAAGGTAAGAATAAATTTTGTTTAAGTATAATATTTCTCTGCCAATTGATGACGACATCGTTTAGTTTATACTTTTTTAACTTGGCAAAATTCCAAGTATTTTGACTCAATTTTTGGATCATCATCGCAATTTTAGGTACAATTCGTTCATTCTTCAAGAGAGACGCAAAACGTTAGCCGAGAAGCTCGCTAAAAAGGAGCGGAAACGCGAGAAGAAACGGAAAAAGTTGTTGAAACAAGGCGAAAAGCTTCCTCCGGAATTAGAGGTGATTGTAACCTAGATGTCTCAAAAACACGATTATCACAAATCTTAATTAAAATTAATTTTATGTAGGTTCATACTTTTGTAGAAGAAATGGCGGATACCGAAGCTGTTAACGGAAGCGGGGTTGAGCAACAATTACCGTCTGAGAGAGCGATGGAGCTTGAAGAAGAAGAACGGCAACAAGAGGAGGAACGGAAGAAAGCTCGAGAACCCCCAATCGTTTTTAAAGACGTTTTAGACGTAATCCTAATTGATTTAATTAAGTCATAAACTTTATTTATAATTAATTTTATAGATAAACGTCGAATTTGACGCATTAGTTGGGCTAATCGATGGAAAATTAACTCCAGAAGAACAAACGTCATTAGAAGAACTTCATAAATACATGTTAGAAAACGAAGGGAGTTGGGCTTTAGGAGATGGTTTCTTAAACTTCGTTGGTAAATCATATTAATCCCTCAATTAACGTTTACAATAATTTTTTTAATACTTTTAGGAAGGCTTTTAAATGATAAAGACCTCCCAAAAGAAGTCAAAGTTCGTACATTAAACGTTTTAGCTTTGGCTGCATTAAAAGATGACGTGATTTTGCTTCTTCACCAAGATCGCAGAGATCATATCATGATGAATTATGCTTATGACATCGATAGGATTTCCCCTGAAGAGCAAGAAGCTTTAGCGTTATTTGTAAATATTTAATTATCATTTAAAATAGTTCCTAATTATTTTAATCTTTAGATTTGTAATATGTTCGAGAATTTGAGCTCTTCTGAGTGGTTGATGTACATTTCTGAATGGACTTATAACAATCAACAAATAAGTAATATTCGGGTAACCACAAAAGTTGCTGTTCACTCGCTTTTATCGGACCGTGAGGTTTTGCAAGATCGTGGAACCGTGATTATCCATAATTTAGCTTGCAAGGAGGTAAAAACTGTGGTCTGTATCTTTTTATTTCTATTAATCACCGAAATGTTCAGGTTACATCACTAAGTTTGAAATTTTTTTGGTTAAAATTTTTTTTTTCGTACTCTGTTTCGGATTTTTATTTCAGAAAATGTTCAAAATGTTTCGACTTAGACAAATACTACCAAAAGGCAGCAAAGCGAAGGTAGAATTTAATAAAAAATAAAATAAGTCATGTAACCTAAAATCATTTGGTCAAATGTCATTATTTCACAACATAACCTCACTTTTTTTTTTAACCTAAAATTCTTGACTTAATTATTTCTTTTTTTAGGTTTTTGATGATGTAGCCGTCGAATTAACGATGGCTTTGTTGCAATATTTCAATTCAAAACCCAACGAAGAAAATTTATTCCGTTGCATGAAAGCTCTGAGTAAATTCGTTGAGGTTTCTCGTCAAGAAGTTCCCCAATTAATCCAAATGATCGGCCCAGATCCTAAAACTTTTAAGGGGCAAAGTCCGAGAGTTGATGAGCTTATCGACTTAATCACCACGAAAATTCGTTAATTACAATTTAATCGATGATTGAAAAAAGGGCATTTTTACAATTTATTAATTTGTACATAATATTGTCGCTTTTTAAACAAATTTTATACACTGTTTGTTCTTATTTATTTATATTTTTAGAGTATAACACGTTATTAATTGTTTTGTGGATTGAAATATTAAAAGAAAAAGGAATTGTTTAATTGAATTGAAGTTTTAATAGTAACATAACCTCAAAAAAATTTTGAGTTGGTATCCCTACTTCGAACTGTCAATTCATTTGAAGTAAAAAGTAAGGTTATATCCAATTTAAACTCGATTTTATCTGATTCTAGCGCTAAATATGAATAAAAAATCGAAAAAAGTAAGTACTTATTAATTAATTAACTTAATCATTTAATAAATTTCTTTAAAGGGTTGGAAAACGTTTGATTTTGACGATGAAAATCCAAAAGAAACTACTAAAAGAACTCTAAATAAAAGCACCCCACTTAAAGAACCCCCAAAGCCAATTAAAGAGCATAAATTTGAAGCTTTAATAACCCCAAAACTAATTGAAGACTTGGCGGTTCATAGTAAAAAAATAAATGAGGTTAGATCTTGGTTAGAAAGGAATGTTCTCCGGGTAAAATCCAAGCGAAATGGGTCAATTCTTTTAATAACCGGTCCGACTGGTTGTGGGAAAACGATAACTCTAAATGTTTTATGTAAAATAATGAATATTGATGTGTCGGAGTGGATAAACCCGATCGATAAAGATTACGAGGACTTCAAAGGCCCAGGTCAAACATCGCAATTAATTCATTTTTTATCAGAGTCGAAATATCCTTCGTTATTAACTTTAAACACAACGAAACTCGTTTTGATTGAGGATTTTCCAAATTCTGTTATAAATAATCCGGATGATTTCTCAAAAATATTGCAGTAATAACACAAAGATTTTGTTATTAATTTTTGTTAATCTATCAAATTTTAGGAAAGCTTATAACACCGAAATAGCCGTTGTGTTTATTTGCACAGATGAAACTAGCAGCATCATTAATTTATCACAAAAATTATTTCCTCAAGATCTTAGGAATTTGTATCAAATAACAGAAATTAGGTAACTTCTAATAACTAAAATTATTATTTTAATAAGTAAAACGTTTCAGTTTCAATTCTTGCTCATCAACTCAATTAAAACAGTGTTTAAAACGCGTCCAAACCATCATAGAATCCTCCACAGATTTAAACCCACCCCCAAAAACGCAAAACGAAGTCCTAATGAGTAACATAATTCTTTCCTCAATGGGTGATATTCGCTGTGCTATTAATCAGTATTATTTTGCCTGCTTAAAAAGCTCCAACGTTTCGTTAAATTCACCTATTTTAAAACCGAACGCTAAAAGGAAACGATCCGAAAAGAATTCTACCCTAAAAAATCCAAAACACATCAAAGAAATGATGAAAGATGAAACTTTGAATTTTTTTCATAGTTTAGGGCGCGTCCTCAATTCGAAACGAGTTGAAAGTGGGTCTTCGTGGCGACTTAAAGCGGATATAAATAATTTAATTGATGCTTTGAGTATCCAACCAAGTACTTTTAACGCTTTTTTATACGAAAATTATTTAAAATATTTCGGGGATTTAAACGATGTTTCAAAAGCGGCCGATTCTTTGAGTGCCGCTCAAATTGTTTTGGGGAAGTGGACGGAGAATCAAGAAAATTTGATTTATGGGTTATGGATTTCCGTTTTGGGGGTTATGGTTAATAATGAACATCGGGTTTCTATGTGGACACCGATTAATGCACCAAAAAAGTTTACGAAAACGTTGGTTTATTTTTATTTAATCAATTTTTAATTAACTTTAATTTTTTAGGTTAAAGTGTCAAGTTGATGAGATAAACGTTGAAGATAGATTTTATGTTAATCGAATAACGAAAGGGGATCGTTATAAATCGCATTTATTAAAACAATAATTTATTTATCCTACAATTTATTCTTTTAACTGAATTGTTATACTTTTCCGGATAATAGCAACTTTTAAAACTCTGTATTGATTCCTCCGGTTGTAAATTTTGATTTTTTGTGCATTTTCGTGTGTTAATTATTAAAAATTCGGATATTTTTCTTAAAAAAACTATTTAATTAACATTTTTTAGGTTATGATTGTTAATATGACATGGGGTAAGTCGGTAAAGTAGGGCACCATAACCTATAATTATAAATTTTCACCTATAATTTGTGATTAATTTATTCTTTTTGTACTACGATGTTAATTCGGACGAAGTTTCGAAATGTATTTTGTAAATTTTCTTGCACGCTTCTAGTTATTTGCCGTACTTTTCCATCTTGTTCTCCTGTAACATATTTTACTATCCTATCCGTTTTACATCTCACTAAAACGGTGCAAATTATAACACCATCTGGGTTCATTTCGAAGTGTTCTAACTCCACTTTCAGTAAATACGGCATTTCTTGGGGTAAAAAGTTTAAAAGTGTTGCTTTTACGGTGTTTATTATTATTGTTTCTGGTGGTTGATCTGTAAATTCTTCCTCTGGGAATAACCATTTGCCTGGTTTTGCTTGTAATGATAAAAAGTTTTTGATATCCGACAAACCATCACCTAAAATAAATTAGATTTTGAGGTTGTTTTGATTCAAATAAAATTAAACCTGTTAGAGATGAAACCATAAAAATTTCTGTAAAAAATCTCCATCCTTTGTGATCGCTTTCATTTTTAATTTCTTCTTTTTCTGAATTATCTTCAAGATTTTCTTGGAGCATTTTTTTGCCTCTTAAAGCACCTTCCGTTACTAATCTAATTACATCTAATAGTTTCCTTTTCGATTTTAATAGATCTATTTTATTTAAAACTAAAAAACTAGGCTGCTTTTTATGCTTGTGTAACGATTTAATAATTTTTATATCTAATTTCTCCCTAGTATAAGGATTTCCAACGTCGTGAATCACCCCGATTATATCAGCTTTATCCATTGTGGTCCTTGAATCGAACATATATGAATAAGGTAAGTTAAACTTTTTCATTTCCCTATCATTAATTAATCCTGGTGTATCCATAAACACGATTTGAGCATCTCCTTCTGTGAAAATAGCACTGGCTCTATTTTTTGTTGTGTGGACTTTCGATGAGGTTGGACACACCTAAAAATGATTTATATTTTTAATTTAACGATTTATCTTGTTTGATTTAGCTGCTTTTACCCTCCTTTCAACTAAATTGTTTATAAAAGTACTTTTTCCGGCGTTTGGCATCCCGATAATAGCAACTTTTAAAATTCTTTGTGTTGCTTCTTCCGGTTGTAGATTTTGATTTGTTGTGCATTTCCGTGTGGTTATTATTAAAAAATCGGGTATTTTTCTTAAAAATAATGTTTTTATAAACATTGTTGAGGTTATGATTAATATGACATGGGGTAAGTTAAGTCGGTAAAGTAGGGTGATGCAAGTGACATAACCTATAAATGTAGTTTCCCGCCTATAATTTGTGAATAATTTTAGTTAAATTTATTTAAACTTCTTATTATTATATTTTAATCAACACAAAATGATTTTTGAGTTGATGTAATTTTTAACTTGAGGGGAGGTGCTTAATAATGGGGAAAGATGATGTGCAAAGTGAAAATGAAAAGATTGAGGTTAAGAAAGTTAAGAAAAAGCCGAGGAAATCGAAGAAAAATCGGAAAAGTGATCCCGTTGTGAATGATATTTCGAGTTTGTTATCGAGTACTTTATGTTTGGTTAGCCCTAATGGGAGTTTTAATACAGAAAAGCACGAAATTTCGAATCAAAATGTTTCTGTTAATAATATGAAGCGAAAAAGGAGGTCTAAATCTTTAAATAGAAATGTTAGTTCGAGTTCTTTAGATAATTTCGTTGTGAGAATTTCGAGAAAATCAGAGGAGTTGAAAGAAAATCCTCGATTGGAAGATGATTTTGAGGTTAAGGAAAATGAGAAAATTGAGAAATCAAAATTGAATGTTTTTGAATTAATGATGGATAAACGAAATAAAGTTGAGGATATAACAGGAAAAGAAAATGATTTAAAAATAAAAGAGAAAAAAATTGGTAAAAAAAGGAAAAAAGAAGAGTTAGAATGTGATTTAAAAGCAAATGAAAGAACAAAGAGGTTAAAAAAAGTTGCATCAGAAGATAATGTTTCATTAATTTGTGTAAGTGATGAAAATGAGGATGAAAAATATGGGGAAGAAGATATAATAAAAATAAAGATGTTTTCACCACAAGTTTTTAAACGGAAAAGAAATAATCATAATGGAAATGATGCAAAGAGTAATTTAAAAGTGGATGAAGCACCAAAGAATTTATTAACTTACTTTGAAAACTCAAATGATTCAACTGATTCAGATACATTTATTTTAAGGCGAAGTAATCGAAAAAGAACAGTTAGGAAATTAGATGAATTTGATGGTGAAGAGACGAATGATTTTATAATCAATGTTAATGAAGAGATTAAAAAAAAGAAACCTACAAAGGTTGCACCAATCTTTTTGTTATCAACACCAAAACCAAAATTAGATCCCAAAGCTTTAGAAGCCAAAAAAAAGTTTTTAAGCAGTGGAATTCCTGAGAGTTTAAAAAAAGTAATTGAAAAAGAAAAAATTTACGAATTAGAATTTGATGTATTCCCAAAAATAAGTCACATTCAACAAAAAACCGAATACAACAAAATAAATTTTTGGAATTTACCCCAACCTAACTTAAATTTAAATCTAAAACATTCACCATTAAAAAATAAAAATCTAGTATTATCGAAATCATTTATTAATTTAGAACAAAATAAAATTGAAATTAATTTAAACTCACCAAAAAAAATATCAAATTTGAAAGGGATTTTGCAAAAAATTAAAGATAATAACCCAATTTACCCCGTTTTTAAAAGCTTTCGAATTTTAAACGAAAAAACGAAACTATTTGAGAAAAAATTAACGAAAAAGAAAGGAAGAAAAAGCAAGGAATTAAATACAAACGAAAATTTATCAATTAAACACGAGATGTGGACAGAAAAGTACAAACCAAACTCGCACGAAGAAATTTTAGGCAACAACAAAAAAGTGTTGGAGCTAAAAAAGTGGTTGGAGAGTTGGGTTGAGTACATAAACGATTCTCAAAGTTTTAATAAAATAGACGATGACTTTTATACGGATAGTAATAGTAATAATAGTAATTTTGCGAACTTAACTAACGCTATTATTGTTACTGGACCATTTGGAAGTGGGAAAACGATGACTATTTATGCGCTTTGTAACGAATTGAGGGTTAATGTTATCGAATTAAACGCTTCATCACGAAGAACTGGTAATTTTCAATTTTTTTTTTAAATTAATTTTATTAGGGGGACCAAATTTGGTATAATTCAAGAATCATCATGTGACTTAAAAATCGTTAAAAAAATAAATCCTTTAAGTTTCGACCTAACCTCACTTTTTGTGACGTCATCTAACCATATACAGTGTTCGTCAAAAAGTCAACCCTTTTTTTTTTATTCAACTTCGTTATTTTAAATTGTTTTTATTACAACTTTTAATTATACGTTTTTTTCTTTGCAAATTTCATTTAAAACTCCAAATGTCAGTCAATATTCATTCAAGAAAGTTCTAAATTTTCACCATTACACTTTAAATGATATCAAATAGATTGTCATTTGTTGCATCAGAGTATCTTATACAGGATAGTTAAAAATTCAATTATTGTTTTGAAAATTTTAAATGGAACGCCCCATATTTTTTTAATCTACCAGAGAGAGAATTTAATTCTATACAAATCATTTGTAAACATGCCTGTACCTATTAATGTTGGAAACTGTTTAGTTCTTTTATTAGAACGCCATGAATTTTAACAGTTTTTCGTTTAATTTTGTATTATTGTTGACAAATTAAAGCCAATTTAAGCAAGTTTTAACCAATTAAAATCGGATTCACCTAAATATCCAGGTATTTATACCAATTTTATATTTTTAATCATTTTAGCAATCTAACCTCACATTTAAGACCGCCTCGAACAAATTTTATATTCCTCACGTGATTTTAAGCTTAAAGTTCGATGAATTTTCATAATTAAAAATAAAATCATGTACATTTAAGTTCTATTATACCATAATTAATTATTTTTTTAATTTAATAATTAATTTTAATTTAGTTATTATAATGAATAAAAAATTTAAGTTGCCGGATTGACGTTGCTAAGCAACCGAGGTCATTTTAACGATGATAATTTTAGACAACCTAACCTCACATTTAAGACAAGATTAAGTGTTTTTTTTTATTTTTAACACGTTTTTAAAATTTAAATCTTTTCTATTTGGGTTTAGCCGTCTTGAGAGACGTGGGGCTAAACCCGAATGTTTCTAGTTCTAGGTCTAGTGTTGGTTCTAGTTTTACACTAGAACTAATACAAGACCTAGAATCGTCGATTTTGAAGCCACATGATGATGATTCTTGAGTTTTTCCCCAAATTCCGATCACCTTAACATTATTAATTATATTTTTAAGGTAAACTTCTTCTCCAAGAAATTCAAGAAGCAACTCAATCGCATCAAGTTCGCAAAATCGAACCATTTTTAACAAAAAAATCATCAAACTCCGATAATAAAAAGCTTTGTTTAATATTAATCGAAGATTTAGATATAATTTTCGATCAAGATGAAGGATTTTTAAACGCTTTAAATCAATTGTTATTAACAACGAAGCGTCCCATCGTGATTACAACAACCGATATTAACACAAATATCGTACAAAAATTCGTTAATCAATACCCGATTGTGACATTTTCCGGGTTTTCTGTAACCGTTTTAGGGGTTTGGCTCCAAATTGTTTGTTTGTTTGAAGGGGTTGTGGTGGATTTGGAAGATTTAGGGAAGGTTTTGGAGTTTTTTAACGGAGATGTGCGAAAAACTTTAATTCAATTACAATTTTTTATTCAAAGTGGGGGTAGTTTGTTTAAAAATTTAAGAGAAAAGTGTAGCTATGACTTAATAAAAAATGATACAAGTCGTGTTTTAAATGAAAAAGATGATGAAAATTATTTGTGTTCGCTCGAGTCGAAAGGTGTCGATGAAAAAGTTTTTATCCATAAAGATTTTATTTATAACTTTTTAAATCGAAATTGTTTAGTTTACGATTTTAACTTAGATAAAATTTGGTGGAATTTGCCGATAATTTTAAATGAAGAAGCCGATTTAAAACAATGTGAACGCGTTAATGAAGTTTTAAGTTTTATTGATGTTTTTTATCGAAAATCGAATTCACCTCAACATTTTTCTTACATTAAAGATAATATTTCGTTAATCGAAAACTTTCATTCTTACCAAAACAACGAACTTATCAAAGACTTTTCAAACACTTTATTAAAACACTCGATTAATTTTTATAACGAAGTGGGAAAATTCGAATTTGATAAACCAACTTTAGGACAAAAACGGTGAGTTTTTAACATCTTAATTCTAATCGTTTTTTTTAATCGTCTTTATGATTTTAGCTGGTTAAAAAAACATCGAGATTGCAGCAAAACCTTTTCTCACTTTGCTCCTTTTACTTATCACACTGATAAAAGGAGTTTTGCCTTGGATTATTACCCGAATTTGAGAGCAATTAGTAGATCGGAGAAACATCGAGCCTCTATTAATGTTAAACGGAGAAACCGGTTTTATAATTACTTTAAATCTTTAGATTTTACTTGCACTGAATCAACGACTGACACTGTTTGTAAAATATTTTCGATCGAAAACGATTAATTTGATGAAATATATTGTATATTATGTGAATATTTTGACATTTTTATTACCTTTATCTTTTTTTAATCATTAATTGGGTGTAACATATAAAGATGATTATTTCTTGTTTAGGTGCCATCGGAAACTTCAAACATCCCTCGATTAAAGCAACATAAAAGCTAAAAAAGGCGTTCAATTACAATAAAAAGCATTTAAGGTAAGGAAACACATCATTTATTTATCATATTTGTTTATTAATTATATGCAAATTATGGTCATATTAATATTAAAGCAACTTCCTTGATTTACATAACCTTAAATTTTTTGACAGGTTAAAAACGACGTTGTTTGTAATAAAAAGCATTTTAGGTAATAAAACACTATTTATTTATAATTTTTATTCATTAATTCTATTTATATTGAAATAATATTGATATTTTCACAAATTAATTCGATTTACATAACCCCAAAATTTTTGGTAACTCAAATTTTATTAAATCACTTTTAAACGGTTTAATTTAACGTAATCTTCAAAAATGAGGTAATTTTCGTTCAATTTCAATTAATTCTTATTGATTTGATCGATTTTTAATCAATAAAATCATAAATTATTATTTTAAAAACTTTTGATTTACTTTTAAATTCGATTTTGTTCAACCTTGTATATTTTTCGACCAATCAGAAACGCCGATTCAAAATTCGTCACTTTAAAATTTTGATTTGATCAAAGTAGGCGATGATTGCCTATATAAGTACTCGCATCTTTTTGGTTGAGAACAGTTGATTGTCACCGTCCAGATTGAAATAACCTAAGATACGTGCTTTTGAGTCAAGAAGATAAATACTTAAAATATTTTAATTAATTAAATTGGATTAATTGGACGTTAAAACATTACGAATTAATTTAAACCACGATTTAAACAGCACTCCGATTCCTGAGTTTGTATTCCAGAGACGCCGACAACATAACCTATAAAAACAAACAAGGTTAGTTTTTTCTTATAATTAAAAAAAATATAACATTTTTACTATTAATTAGTTTGGATTAATTAAATGAGCTATTTTATTAAAATAATTAATTTTCTTAAAACCAAACTGTCAAAGTGAGGTTATGTTTAGAATGACATAACCTCACATTTTTAATTTTTTTATGTTAAAGTTAATAATTTTTTATGTTTTTAGGTTTATTGAAGATGGATTTTGTTAGCTAAAACGATTATGATGCATTTTTTCTTTTAATTAATCAAGGTAAAGAAAAAAGATTTTTTTTTATCCCAAATATTATTTATAATTGAAGATGACTTAAGTTTTTCCAACTTTAAAGACGTATTGCTTAATTTTAAAACGTATAGTTTTAAAAGCGGCCCCCTTAATTTGGTAGTTAATAGCAGGTGTGCTCAAAATTAATTGCAACGAAGTTCATAATTAAAACTTTATAACATTTTCGCTTCGCGTTACGCCCCGGTGACTTTATTATACCCCGTTTTATTTTAAAATGTTTTATTTGAATTTTTTTTTCTTTAAGCAACACTTTTAACTCTTTGTTTTCGGTCCATTATTACCATTTATTGTCCGTATTTCATTAAAAAGGGTATTAAAAAAAAATTATTTTTCAAATCGAAGTAATCAAGTTGAAAGCGAATCCAATTGAACGCGCGAAAACCACCGCCCGTCAAAACTTTAACTTAAAAACATTTCAAAAACTTTTAAAAATCTTTAATTGGAATCGAAACTTTTCTCAAATACTTCTTAAAAGTTGCAGTTTTACGTTTTTCAACGTCACGAAAATAACGTGGAAAAAAAGCGGTCGAAACGTGAGGGGAAATGGGTCGATAAGGTGGGATTCTGTCCCTGCCCTTTACACTTTTCGAGGGTTACAGAGGACCCGTCATCCCTAGGTAAAACATACCTGAATAATTAACATCTGAAACGTCGGGGAGCGTTTTCATCTTTCAGTGCAGCTGCCGGAACGACTGACGCTGTACAACGAAAAGGGGAGTGGCGCGAGGGGGTTGGTAAAAGGGGCGCCGGAAGAGACTCGTGCCATCCCCAACTAGCTCCCGGCGATGTTCGTGTAAGAGACGGGACAATTACTTCTGTGTTTTCCGGTGTTTTTTACCTTTTTTTCTAAATCTCTGGAAAAACTGTTATGGAATGAATTATTATTTATGAAAAGGGATATTGTTTGTGGTTGAGGAGTTCTTAAAAGATTTAAGATTTCAAAAAAAAGTTGGAAAACTTTAAAATGATGTGTCTCTTCCGGTATCAATTTCCCAATTTCCTCTGGAAGACGTCAACCTATAACTTAATTATAACTAATTAAATATCAACTCGGTCTGGTGGGTTACCGAGATAATCTACTTCCTCTTAGATTACTGCCCGGTTAACGTCAAGTTGTCTTCACAACCTAGTACTTCAAACCTTAAAAATTAAAAAAAAATCTTAATACAATTAATAAATTAATAAATTCTCAGTCACGATTTCATCAAAATCTCATTTAGGTTTTTGGTAAAACCCCCGTGACATTAATCATAAACCTCACAAAATAAGCGTTTTGTCATAAAAAGCTAAACGCAAAGTGAAATTCGTTGGGGGTTTGAAACGCGAAGACTAAAGAGGGAGAGTGGTGAGATTGGTGAGCGGATTTAGCATATGAAAGCGGTTTTAATTAAAAGTTAAAATAAGGAGAGACGTTTCGAAAAACGTCGGCAACTCAATCGATAACTAATTAGAGAGTTTGGCGTCTTTCCTTCGGATGGAACTTTACCGTCCAGGTGAGTCCGACTTGGGAGTCCCGCCAACCAACCAACCGCTCTTTAAAGAGGCGCAGAAGGAAAATTGAAATTTGCGCGTCCGAATTAAATTAATTAAAGAAACGGGGTCTCGTCGAGTTTGTTTATTTTAATTAATTTCGGGACGAATATCGGGTGAATTTAATTGAATTTAATCCGGCGACGGGTCGAACATATTTCAAGTTATCTTGTAGCTTTACGATGTTTCTAGAAAATAAATGTTTATTATAATAATATTTTAACATTTCTGTACTACAAGAATTACTACAATGTCAAAAGAAATTCATTAAAACATACAGAACTTACTTCATACAAAGAAGTCGACCTCCTAGACTTCATACAAAGCGATCCCTGATGAGTTGAAAAACAAGATTTAAGAGAGGAGTAATTATAGTCGTTACAAATTATGCATTGGTTAGTTTAAAACAGATCTGTTATAGGCTTAGTTTTTATTTTAATTTAGTTAATATTTATTTTGGTGCACTTCGTTGCTTATTTGTGTTATGTATTACCTTGCAGCTTGATTAAAACTAACTTTATTTCTTGCAGGTCTCGAGTGGCATCGTTAAAAACCACGTCATTATCACGTTTGGGAGTTTGAATCGCTGTTTTATTGGTTTTAGTGCCATCTTGTATGAAATTTGGCAATCCATGAGATGTTGGTTTTTATGGAAGGATCTTCATCATTGGCTTAGATATCATCACATCCAGTTACGTATGGTTAAATAAAATATATACAGTGAGTTTCACTTAAGATGCAATATACAAAAATATATTTCTATAGAAACCTACTTACTTTGTCCCACATAAAATGCAACATGACTGAATGTTTTTAGTTCTAGGTCTAATGTTAGTTTTAGTGACAGTGGTAGGTAGCGCTAGTTAGCATAAGATATTACTATGTTGCTTATTTTTATTGCACTAAAACTAGAACTAATACAAGACCTAGAAACATTCGGGTTTCTAGCCCTAGGGCTAGTGTTGCAAACTTGTGTTTTTCTCTCTCCACATAGCGATGTTAAGAAGATGAGTTAGAGTTTTGTTTTTCTTCTTCAACACTGTATCATCTATTTCCTACTCCATCTGCATTCCACATTTCCCCCAGAGACCAATCATGTCTTGAAACGTCTCATTCTTTGTATTTTGCTGAGTTATATTTTTTCCCGAGTTGATTCAACTCCCCGTTCAATTTTGGTTCATTCCGCCATTTATTTACTAAATTATAAAAAGTTATTTGCTTTGAACTTAACGATAAAAGTGTAAAATAATAAAAAAAAATATGTTAACAGGCAATCATAACAAGATTGGAATCCGTTTTATCTTGAAAGCTCGTTTAATATTTTTATATGGGTCTTTTTGTAATGCATCGATGATAAAAGGCGATCTCAAAGTTGAACGTTGATGGGAAATTTATTAAAAGATGATTTAAATTGGAGGGGAAGAAAATAAAAAGGTCCCTTCGAGTTTCTTTTACATAATTATTTTTTATTTAATCAGTGTTCGCTTAATATATAAAGTGCACATACCTATCTACAATTACAACATTTTCTAAAATGATTATCATAGTAAGTTTCCGATTTTTTTTTCGTTTTCGGTTTTAGTTTCGCGATTACACTTTATCATTTTTTTTAAATTATTAGTTTTTTTTGTCGATAGTTGGCAGTACATTTTTTTGTTGTCTATTTACACAATTTATTTTTGGTTTATTTACAGAGATAGAGAGAGTTGTTAGTTTATGATTTCTTCGATTTTTTTTTTCACTTATTAACATTATCTTATTCTTTTTTAATTAGCTACACGTAATTTACCTAACATATCTACCCCCTAAACGTTATAAACGGAAAAGTTTTTACTTTTCTATAATAGATGTAAATTAATTTTACTTTTACATCGTTTAAGTTTTTTTTCCAACTTAATTTTAATGAAATTTTTATGTACATTATCTACAGAAATGTATGTTTTTAAGTTAAAAGGTGTTTTAAAACTGGAAAAAGTGGTGGTAAAAACGGACGAACCTCATTTTTCCTTCTTCATCCTTTTTTTTTTATTTTTCTACCCCGTTAAGTAGCGCTCAACGCCAAATTTGTTTGTTAAGTGATTAAAAACCCCAAATTGAGGGCCCAATTACTTCAATTTGCTGGAACGCTTTGTACGGGGGCGACGTCCCCCGTGGAAAAAGTTTCAATTGATTACCATCCCCCTCTCACCGTCGTCCGATCTCGTGGTTTTATTCAAATTAACCCCCGTCGCAATTGTGGCTCCGACCCGTTTATCTAGTTAATTAGTATTGATTGCACTACGTTTACAAAATCCTCTAATTCGTCACATCATGTGTATGTGTGTAATCCCAACAATAAAAAATTCTCATATTGATTATATAATATATATATATATATATATATATATATATACAGCAGATTTTGATTTGATTTTGGGGTTAATCGAGAACTTTAGGTTAACCGCAATTGAACAAAAGCACAAAGTTTCGAAACAACTGTAATCGCCGATTTCGGGAATTGAAGTTTGACGTTTCGCAATTTGCTTCCGCCGCCAACCCCTGCTCAGTTTGAAACAGGTTCAAACGATATCCGATGGGAGCATAACTGTTTATTTAACTGCCACACAACGCACGCAAATATTCGGGAACCGTGCTTTTTTCGCCCCTAACAACTTTACTGGCGAGAACAACAAATATTCATGTGATGATCAGATGCGCAAGCGAATTATCCTCAAATCGAGATCTAACCGATCGCATCGAATCGAAACGATTGTTTGATGTTATGCAAATATTTATCGCTGGTTACCTGGAGCTTGTGCACGATTCAATTCCCAACTCAATTATTCACAACAAATTTAAGCTTTAATTTTATATTTTGAATCATGTTGGCAAGTAAAACGAAGTGTATTTCCTCTGTAAATACCAAGTTAAGAGAACTTATAAAACTTGGGTATTAAATTCCGCTTTGAATGGTGCAAAGAAAAATCACATATCCCAATAGCATTGCAGCAACGTCTCCTATTTTCAATAAAACATGGTGTGACACGTATGCGTTGCTAAAAATTTGAATAAACGCGCACGAGGGGAAATCCCCATCGTTCGATCGGGGGAAATTGCAAATTTATCGCCAATTGATTTCTCTCCTCTTCATCCGCAGTTTGCAACCGACTCAAGACGTTCAATTCCAAGAAAGCGTTTAAACCACGAAATGATGTCATTTAATCGAATGACGTTTACTTCCGTTTCCGATTAGATTTCAAAATTTATTTGTTGTTTGATTTTTAACCTAGATATAAGTTTTTTTATTTAAATGAAATATCAACACTTTAATTAAATGAACTTAACGATTAGAGAACTTTAGTAACCACAAAGACATAGTGATGATAATGCTAGATTTGCGATCCTGGAAGGATTAGATATTAAAATGTGACTATTATAGGCGAAAATTGTAGCAGAGAAAGAAGTTTAGGAAATAATTGCTGCCACGGTGACAGGAATTAATTAATTCATTACAACCTTAGGTTGAGCAAAACTTGGGAGTAATGAATTGTTTGACAGCTTGATGATCAATTTTTTTAGTGTGTGATTTTCTATTATGTTGGAACATCATAAATCAAGGTAAAAATGATAAGTTGTGCAGTGTGAGTGGATACAACAGATTGAAACTTGCACGCATTTTATAGATGTCTACTGTCATTGCCTTAGGTTCAGTATAACATGCGCAGTGACTCTCAACTACACCAAGCCATTCGACAGAAATCTTAACTCAGACGAAGATCTGATTTCAGAAACACAATTGGGGCGTTCTTGCCCATCCACCCCATTGTTCAGAACTGGTTCCTTCAGATTTTCAATTTAAGCACTTTTTACGAAGAACTTTAAACATTCCTCGATAAAGTTCTTAACTGCGCCAAGCATCTTAAATCATGAATTTGTCCTCCATCTCCTTGAGCTCTTTAATTTCCCGACTATTTATTGACGGGCGTAGTTGACCCCTCCAATAAATTTTTATTTTTTGTTTCAGGTTTCCAGGATTCGTTGAGGTTTCTTATCCCAAATAATCTTCCTCCGCATCCCAATGCAATTAAATTTAACTATTGGAGATCTATCTTAACTAATAAAGAATTAGAAATAGAGATGAAACAACCCAACCCAAGTCAACTACGAACCAAACATTTTCTTGCTATAAAAACAAGATAAATTTTCAATGCAGATGAAGATTCTGATGAGCAAGTGGGAGATGTAAAATCACTTTTAGAAGCTTGCCGTAACCCAAATGAGGTATTATATTATATTGGTGCTATTTTGATGTAGTAATCTACAGTGATTTCAAATAATAATAGGATACTGGAAGCTGAGTAATGCCGTGATAGTGCCACGTTGAGGTTTTATACGCGTCAAATCTCCAAGACGAAAAGCCGTTAGCCAGAATAATGCAGGTAAGTCGATCTCTAATATTGTGATAAGGATTGGGTTTTAACTTTGTCCTTTTTGACATCCTGTTGTACTTTGTCTTTCATTCTTCTTGCTGCACCACCAAATTTAATACAAATTTCAAAATATTAACACCACAACAAGCTAAAATTTCGCCAGATTTAGCTTCAAGCTGTTCTCTATGTAAGCATATAAATTGGAGCGATGAGTTGGGAGTGCAAAAAATGTTTGGATGAGTAAACAAAGTTAAGAATTATATTTTTTTTTAATATTGAGATAAAAAGAGATTTTTCATCAGAACATCTCCCTAAGGTATATCTAGAACGTTCGATCGCATAAATAATACGGATATTGCACGACGATAAATCCATGTCATAAATTTTGCTGCACCATGGTGTTGTATAGTGGTATGCTGTTGTTGCTGGTGTTGGTTGGGTATCCGGATTCTGGGGTCCACGATACGAAATTATTTGTATCGCCAGGCATTATTGAGGCAATAAATGTTGGATTTATTGAGCGAACCGACACCGTCCTCGGGAGAGTTTATTGGGTGCGTTCGAAATTAATTTCAAAACACGCAAGACGCGGCGGCGGCTTTTGGGACGGTGTCGATAAGTTAAATCTAAAAAACGGCTCTCTCTAAGTTTTTATTTTGGCGACCAGGTTCACCCCGATACCGAGATATTTATGGGGTAGTTCCGGTTCCACCGGGATTTCGAGATAGCGACGCGCCGGTAAAAGAGTAGAGGATTAAAAAAAAAAAAAAAAAGGATGCGATTAAAAAAAATTGGATTCGTCTATACAGTGCTTTTTGAAGATTTTTTTACCACCCTTTAAAACAACATCGAATTGCCTTTTAAACATTATTTTTAGTTATATTTCCCGTATGACAATTTCGGGTCATTTAGCACCCTTTTAGGTAAATCACCTAAAATTTGAAATGAAACTCGATTTATTATTTTTAATCTTTTTAACTCTAAGAATTATGTACATATGATGGTATCAGTGTGTGTTGAAAAAGCAAATCGATGTGATACACCTCACCTTTATTTTATTTCTATATATTTGTAACACTACAAGAATGACTTAACACTTCGTTTATTTTGGCACTGAAAAAGCTGTCTGGGTGAAGATTGTCCATTTCCGGTTCGTTTGTCTTTTTATCTTTTTATGTTTTATGTTTCGTTTATTTTTACTTCATTTATTAGTTTTGGGGTCGGGAAGGTTTTCCTAAACGTTGGGAAGGAGGAATGCGTAAAGGAAAACCTTCCGGTGAAGGCACCTATCTCGTGAGCAACAGGACGGAAAAATCGGGTTTTCTCGTATCTCATACAGTCGTCTCCCTGTCCACGTGTATGTATTCCACAGGAGGTGCCTTCTGTCAAGAATTATAACCGGGATCGAGTAATCGGGGTCCCGTGAGGAGCTTCTTTTTCGCTAATTTTCTTCGGCGCCTTGCCCTTAGTCGATGGAGGCTTAAACAAAGTAATAAAATCAACGAGGCGGCTATCGCAACTCCAGCTGCTAAAGCAGCACCGGGAAGCGTGCTTAATAACCGTGAGGTTGACCCACATTGCTCTTCAGATTCATCGAATCCAGAAGGACAATTTTCTCTGCCATCACACCATAATTCCGGTGAGATGCAAGCATCTAATTCTGGGCAACGATGGAGACACTCGAGATCGGTTTCGTTTGAACTGGTATTAACCGGAACTTGAAGTTGTTGAAGTAAGGAAGACCTCGATCTTGATATTTCTAACCAGCTAAAAGCCGCAATTCCATGTTCGTGACTAATCCACTCAACAATAAAGTTTGGAGGTCGCTTTTGAATAAAAACTTGATCGTCACCGAACCATTCTTCGCTAAAAACGTGAACTGCTAAAGGTTTCGCTCCTGGTTCAGCTGGGCAAAGTGCTTTAACTAATTTCGGGGGTTTACCCGAATAAATTAATATCCTGTTGCTGGTTGGGCAACGATTTGGTTCTTCAAATCTAGGTTTTAATGGAAGAAAAGCACCCCAAGACAACAAAAATAAACTTCTGTTATGTCTAGCTTCAACCAACCAAGGAAAACCTGAGCACAAAAATTCAGATCTATCTTCAGGTGGATTCGTAAATCGAACGTCTCCTCCGTATCCTTTTAATCTTTGTTTCCTCGGACACCCGGGCATTTTCATTAATTCATATGTAGCGTGAAAATTTAATATTGCATAATCTTCCGTTATATTCATATCATTGGCAGTGTAGTGAATTTCTAAGATATGCGAGGAACTGATGAACACCATCGGTTTCGAAGACAAAGAAGAATTATCGCAAATACACGCCCTCGGCATCCTTAAATCTTTCCACGGCATCTCCCAAATGTTTAATTCTGATACTCTCCCGTTTGGATAATAATCGCAAATTGGTCTTCCACTGTGAGGGTCCGTATTTGTTTCACAAGATGGATTTAATCCGAAAGAGGCGTTATTTAGAATTAAACGTATCCGTTCATCATCTTTCGCCTCTATCCTTAATACACAATGGAGATCTTTCGCACCACCCCTTCCAAACAAAAAAGTATTTTTCGGCCCTGTTATTTCACCTTGCGGGTTATTCTTAAAAACCCTATAACACGGTGTGGGTTTATCGTCGATCAATAACGGCTCACCCCCTAATTTTGTATCAACAAATTCGTACTTTAATTTAAATGAGGCAGGATGCAAAGCTGTTCCATCTTCGGTGTGGTGTTGGATGATAAGATGTCTTCCCGCCGATAAATAGCTTTCGGGGAGTGTGCAAGGTCTGGTTGTTCTCGTCGAATTACTTAAAGCGCTGTGATCGCATAACCTCGGCGACTCATCACATTTATCTTCAAGAACATTCGTTGCATCCGATATTCGCAACCTTGTAGAGCACAACCCAGTCGATGCGTTAGCTAATAAATGAGGGTTTTCACCAACTAATAAAGCCCTGTGCATATAAGAAATGAAGCTCACCCACACGATATCATCAGGTAACCCATTGAAACGATAAGTACACGTGGTATTGGGTGGCAAAGAATGTCGCGGACTTATGATTTGCCCGCGCCTTCCTCTGAGTTCATCACCATCCGAGCTGGTTGCGTTAATATCAAATTCACATTTTAAAGTTTCCCTCGAATAGTCTAACGAGTCCGAATCGGCAAAGATTACATCAACGTCCAATTCAAACCCCCTTAAAGGGGAATGAGATGGAGGAGAGTGTAATGGGATGCTAAAAGGCGATGAATGGAAGGCTACGAGCATTTCTGGCCCTCTTGAAACTACTCGAGGTAACCAATCACCACCGCAGTACTTCGCCAAAACCGGATCATTCGTTGATCCCCCATCGTAAAATATTAAGTGATCTCTTTCTCCGGTACAATCCCTCCAAGCCCTCAAAGCTCTCGCAGTTTTATTTAAACCGGCCACGCTAATCGATCGTTTCATATGCATCTTATGTGCGGCTTCCTGTCTAACCGCAATCATCGCGTGTTTGCACGTAGGAACAACTTTTTGTCGTAAACTCCAATAACAGGACACGTTCCTTGGATACATTCCCGGATAATTCGGACTTTGCAATCTACAAGATTTTCGATAACATTCTTCGAACTGTCGCGTACAATACGTTCCGGGTGCGACTTCTCCTCGTTCCAAAGGCGCCGACGGAGAACCGAATCTCACGACAGCTTCCCTACGGGAGACGAATCTGTACCTGAGACGAAATTGAAAGGGTAATTGGGGGGAGGAGAAAAGTTTTATCGAAACTGTCACTGTTGATGTTTCACTGTAATACGCTGCAGGTCCAGATGACGATCCACACCAAGATCCCCCGGTGAATGGTCTCCCTAATTCGCTGAGTTGCATATAACCGTCCGGACAACCATCCAACGCCGCCGGTTCGTAACGACCCACTTTGAATTCGTCGAAGATTAACTGAAATTTAAAAAAAAAACACGATTAGTTTGCGAAAAGAAGATCTTTCCTAAAACAAAAAAGAATTGACCAAGATTGGTGAAATATCTCTAGAGGTGGAGTAAAACTTAACGAGATTGGAATTTTTGTCTCCTAAGAAAATTTTAGTTTACGAGGATTTCTCGGGTGGTACCTGGGGAGTGATTGATGAGTTGGGAGGACCGGCGGTCTGTCACATAATTGCCTATTCATTTATCATGGATAATGATGCGGATATTCAGGGCACGATTTTTGCTAATTCACTTGTCGTTAAATTTACCATGACGTGACAATGTTAACTTTAGTAAACTCTTGTGTTTACTAAATGGGTCTCCTTGTTTTGTTTAATTACATCAAGTATTATTTGGAAATGCAAAAATTGCTAAATTTTGCAATGAGTTAACGACTTTCAAGTCAGTAGATTATCAATGAAAAGACCAGAACAATATGGACGACCTCGAACTACTAAAACTCTTGATATTTGTTGTACGAGATATGTCTCGACCAGAATCTTGAATGTAAAAATGTATCATCCTATTTACATTCAAAATGATGCTTATGTAGACAGTTTGCAATGAAGTACTCTAAAGTACAACGAGCTGCTCTTCAAAGCTTGTTCTAAAATATTGTAATACACTTTGAAGTACTCTGAAATACTGCGAGATGCTCTGGAGTAACCTGGTCCATTCAAAATTCGTTCAAGTATTTCTTCTGGTCAATTCTGACTTTATTTGGAGTACTACGAGCTACTTTGGAGGCAACCTCGGCTAAACTAAAAACTGAGAAATAATGATTAGTTCTGATTGAGCCGAAGTTGCTTGCGACCGAGGTTCTGTAATTAATCATAATTGATCATCATATTATACCGCCTCGGCTAAATCTTTCTTTGTTTTGAGTTATCAACCTCGTCTTATTGTATCGTTTCAACTGCAAGTAACCTCAGCTAAAGTGAGAGCTGAGACATTAGGGTTACATGTGATTGAATTTATTATTATATCAACCCAAATTTCATCATCCTATTGTAATCAAAACTAATCCTCAGTTCTGAGTCAGCTGAGGTCGCTTTCTATGGTGCTTTAAAGTACTTTAGGATCGTCTAGAATATTGTAGCTAATTCTGAAGTAGTTCTGTGAGACTCTCTAGATTAATTCATTTATTCATTTAATTATTTCTTCTGCTCGATTTTGACTTGTTATGGAATACTACGAGCAATTTAGGAGTACCAAAGGAGTTCAAAAATCTGTTTCAACAATAATTTATTCAATGAGGAGCTGCTAATTACTCAGAAGGAAGTCTTTTGGTCAGCATTAATAACATGATCTATGTGGACTTTTGAATTACTCTGGAGTAAGTGGAAGATATTTTAAATGTTTTGGGGCATCAAACTCCCTCAATCGTTAGTAAGGTTCTAGGTATTATTAATTTTCCATCAATATGTAAGATACTTATCTCATGATTCATTGAGACAGTGGTTCTTGTTTATGTCTATAGTTTTTGTGTTATGATATTTGTTGATCTAATTTGCAGTTTTTCAGTATGTTATGGGTTTAGATATTTCTCACATTTAATTTACAAATTTTTGTTATGTAAGTGTTTTTGAACGAGTTAGAAATCACATTTAAATTATAATCTGAATATTGACAAAAGTTGGAAACTTGTGTAGTTTTAGTATGTCGTAGTTATTTTGTTCGTTTAATTCCTCCAATCTGTAAACTGGAATATAATCGTGTTTGTAAATGTTTGGAGTGTAGAAATAACTGGACACCAAAATTAGTTAGTTCTATGAATGTTTTGCCGTATTTTGAAATCAAGCAACGTTAAAGTTAACCTTCGCTAAGCTATAATGGGTTTAACTTTGTCCAAGCTGGATAATTACGTGCAACGCTTGATTAATATCCCAATTAATCTAGTTATGTCATCTGTTATTACGCGTAATCAGGGCTATGAACTGTCGAAAATTAATTTATAATGAGCCACGAAGGTCACATGTTAAACTGGTTAAACACCCATTTGACTGATGGGAAGTTTCAAAAAAGTTTCTTTGTCCGATTTTTTTTTTTGGTTTCCTTTTTTAGTCGTTCCACTTTCCGACGCAGTACTTCCGCTTTCATCTCCAAACAGAATACGTAATGGATTGAGTTCTAACCGCACTGTGCAGCGTTTTCCCGGTGAAAATCAAACGGACATAATGAAAGGGGACCGTTGCGTTGATAGATGGTCCGGTCGCCTGGATTTTTTGGTAAAAACCGGACTCCCAGAAACTTTTCACGAGTGATGGTACTGCTCTTTTCCCGTAGTTTTCGGAGGGACGGCCATTGTCGGAAAGTCGTCCGATTTATACACTCGGAAACGACGGGAAATTTGTTATAGAGGCCTTCCCCGCTCGAAGGTATTATCCGTTGAGATAAAAATACTTCAGTGATCGTTATCTTTTATCCAATAGAACCAATTTTATTTTAAATTTTAATTCAACTTTGAAAAACGTATCTTTTTGTTTAAACCGGCTCAAATCTCGATTTCTTACCGGGACAGTGACAAATTATAATTGCCAACCTTAAGATAATCGTCCTCTTCCTGTAAAAAACCGACTCCATTTAAAGTCCAGGTTTTGCCCGTAAGAAAACTCCGTGATGGAGGAAGGGGCTCGGTATAAAAATAAGATTAGAGCGAAAGGAGGGCAGATTACCCCTCGCTACCCCGCGATCCTTTTTCATTCCTCCTCCTTCTTTCCTTTCCTTTCCTTGACGTTCGTGGAGGCTGCCTGCAGCAAATGTATAAATTGCAGGCAAATTGCTGACCCATCGGAAAACGGAAAATCGGACGGCAGTTTTGCAGAACCGGCACAAGACGCTCCACGTATGACTTTGCCGGTAGTTGGAGGTTAAAGTCGCACATGAAAAGGGGCACTTCGATATCAAATCGCCTGGATAATCCCGAGGGAAAATCTAAAGAAAAGTCCGATTTTGTCTTGGAGGGGAAAAGTTGTGCGGTGAGCATCCCGGGGTTTTAGGTCATCGTTCATTTCTATTCCATTGATTTTCGAATATTAATAGATAAGGTTTGGAAATTTTTACGCATCAATCAAAAAATGATTCGAAAGAAAATCACAAAAATGAAATATTACGAAATTTATGTTTCTATTATTATGAAAGAAATCAACCGGAAAAGAACTGAAAGCCTCTTATTGGATTAATACTTCTGGCTGAAGCTTTATATTTTGAGTGGTGACGGTTAGGAATTTATTGTACATTTCGGAGAGAACTGGAACACGGATTTTATTTCAACAAAAAGAGATATAAAAATAAAACGGAAGTGGAGAGAGAGAGACATGACGCTAATAAATCCTCAGTGCTCAGTTTTCAGGACAGATATTTGTTCAACGCAGGACGACGCCAATTTAAAAATGAAAAGCGCCTTGATTAGTTTCCAATAAAAAATCAAGAATCACCGTGGTTGTAATTGATACCAGAAAGATTAAAATTGTCTAAAAAAGAATTTAAAAAAAGTATTACACGGATTTTTCTTCTCTGATTAACGACCGGTGTCTTAGCGAAGTTTTAAGTATAACGAATCACCCCAGGTTTTTTGCACCCTAATCTAAAAACGACGATTACCTAACTGTCCAAAATTGCGCACTTTTTTAAACCTTTACAAGATTAAATTTGTATTAAACTCGTTTCTATTACAATATGTAATAACTTTGTTTCAAAGTAAGTGTTTCGAAGACGTGTTGTAATAAGAAAATGAAATTTCCCCCCCACCAAAGGCGACAAGTTTTTCTATTTTGAGACCGTATGTTGTCCAGACGTGTACAAATTATCAAAAAGGCAACGACGCCATGCACTGCACGAAAAGTCCGTAGGAAGAGCGTTATTTCGATAACGTCCTCGAAGAACTCATAAATGTGATTGGCAAAAACCGGATGTCGAAATGTTCCGGCTCTTCCGTCAAGTAGTAAAGCGAAAAGATCTTTCTGGCAAAAATGGGGAATTTAATTTCAGTAATTGGCTTTTTTTCTTTTCGGGATTTTCAGCCCTATGGAATGGCGGTTTTAGGAATCAAATTACGCCCAAATCTAATTTTAACTCCCTTAATCTAAGCCGTTAATTCTTTCTTGTATAATAAACTAATTTGGTAAATTATAAATTATTATAGTTGTTGTTGACGGTCAGACATTTACAAGTGTGAAGATAACCTCACTCATGTCACTCCTAATGGAATAAAGTTCCACGCACGGTTAAAACAGCACGAACTAAAGTCGAACTAAAACCGCACACGGCAAAAGCCCCCTTGAGTAACGTTACTCGAAGTAAATATTTCCGTTGCAAACACGACCCGAAGAAAAGCCACTCTCACAATTAGGTTCCTTTACAGAACCTTTAAACTCTCTCTCATTTACACACTTACCTGGACAATGTCCCCATGACTCTGTCCGTTTGCGGTGAAGGTCAAATGGCAAAGGAAAGGTAGCCGTACCTCGGGCTGTTTGTTCACCTTCAGGTCATAAGTCTTGCTCACGTCCCCGTAGTACGTTCTATTGCAAACTGAAACCACAAGAGAAGAGACAAAGGGTGAGTCGATAAATCGTCGATTCGGATGCACGAAGCGCGGAGGTTTTGGACGTTTGGGTGTTTGGTTTACAAATACGGTGTGTTGCCAGGGACAAGGGAAAGGTCGGGTGGTTTTATGGGACCTCGCGGTCGAGTGGATTGGAAAAGTTTCCGTTTGCACGGCAGATGTAAATATACGCTTTTATGGAGGATGGATATTGCGCGACGTTCTGACGACGAAACGAGATCGGTTTGACTTTGATTCAATAGCAAAATTTGTATGTGCTAGTAGATCAGGATACAAAATTGATTTTAAAATTATTATTAAAACCACTTCTTTGTAATAAACAAACTCGATTTCAAAATTACTTTTAGTAAGATTAAATATTTTATGTCATTTGCTATGGTTGTCATAAAATATTAAGAGTTTATCTATACTAACGTTTTCGCGAATTGAGGAGGAGATCCAATCTCGTCTGTTAATCCTTATCAACAAAACTGACCTGTTCTAACATTCCTTCACGCTATAATTAGGGCTTCTTCACGCTATAATTGAGGTTTCAAAACAAAACTGACCTGTCATAACATTCCTTCACGCTATAATTGGGCTTCAAAAGAAAACCGACATACCTTCACGCTGTAATTAGGGTTTCAAAACAAAACTGACCTATCCTAACATTCCTTCACGCTATAATCGGACTTTAAAAAAAACCGACATTCCTTCACGCTATAATTAGGGTTTCAAAACAAAACTGACCTATCTTAACATTCCTTCACCAGAATTTGGGATACCTGCACAGAACTACAAATGATAAGTGCAAATTTCAGTCTATAAGTCATAGCTGCAGATTTTATTGTGAAAACCAAAACTCAACAAGATGTATTGCATGCTTGAGTACTACAGATTATAGCAACACACTGGCTACAGCGAATTATAGCTTCCGACGGCAAAGTGTAGCTTCATACGACAGATACGTCACTTGCAAATTCAAGATTGCAGGTTAGAGTTACAGATAGCATATTGTAAGCTATAGCTGCAGATTACATATCGATCATCGCTGCAGAATACATGCTGCAGCGTCTATTATAAATTATATTATTGATAAAACAAATTGGACTTCGATAAACTCTATTTTGGCTGCAAGGGGAGACGTAGGTTCTAAGTAGCAATGATCACGTATGTAGATTTGGCCAACTTGTTACTGACTTTTTGCATTTTACGCAGAAAATGATACGAATGCAAATCGTAGTACGTTTAGTACTGCTTGATTACCAGTTTGCAGCGCCACAGCCTCAAACAAGCTTGGCTAGACTTATGGCAGATAGCAAAATGCTTCACTTCTATATGATTTCCAGTCTACATCTTTTATAGCTTCATTGACTTTGTCGCTAATGATGGGGTTAGATGCAAGTAGAAGTTAATTATACATACTCTAATGCTCTAAATACTCTAAAGCTATGACAAAGACTTTATGCTACACCTGACTAAGTCAAGGCGTTGTAATTAATAACAAATTTATCTAACACTGATGTACACATGCTCTACTGCCTCGGCCGCAAGCGACCTCGGCTAAAGCTATGACAAAGACTTTATGCTGCACCTGACTAAGCCAAGGTGTTGTAATTAATATCAAATTTATCTAACACTGATGAACACATGCTCTAATGCCTCGGCCGCAAGCGACCTCGGCTAAAGCTATGACAAAGACTTTATGCTACACCTGACTAAGCCAAAGCGTTGTAATTAATATCAAATTTATCTAACTGATGAACGCATAAATTATATATATATATATATATATATAATGAGTTAAAATTCAGAAATTATTTATGCTTCGATGAGGCAATTTTAAAATCTATTTGCCACTGATGCATTTAATAGAAGTACATCGATTGTGCAATTTAGCATTAATTTGTGGGAAACGTTGGCTACTTGAAAACAAGGTTACATCGTTTTAACGTTCACTATCATCAAGAACCATCTTGTTTTCGTTGAAAAATACGATGTTTTCGATCTCATTCCGGAGTCCCGGCATTAGAATTTAAAGCACCAGGTCACCATAAATCTCACATATAGCACATCCACTTCCCGTTCTTTGCCGCCACACCCCCTCTCATCTCGTGCCGAAACCCGGGTTCAATTAATGCGAAGTGCGACGTGCTCGCGGGGTAAAGAGACGACGTAACCGAGGGACTTCGGGTTCGGAATCACTTGAACATGCATTACCTTGGCTTATGGCGTTATACGTTGGTGTATGGAAGAGAGGAGAATCCGCGCTTGGGTAGTTATCAAAACAAAAATTCGAGTGTTTGGGTGAATGGGTGCGTTGGGTATAGGCTTAACGAGTTTGGGGGGGAATATTACCGGATTTTGGGCTATTGTACGCATTACCGATGACAAATTTTGTCCCCATTGACCTACCCTGTTAGGTTTTATTGGATTGCGCATGAATGCCATAATTTTCCGTTGTAATTATCGATAATTGCTTTGGTTGTGATTCTTCGATGGTACTTTAAATCTTTATTTTGTCGTGGTTAATAAATCAATATTTTTCTGGATTTGTGATCTTAGGATATCTATAATTCATCGGCAATTTGTCAACACCCGTTCGAATTTTCGGCCAATAAATCATCAAGTGCCGCAACGTCTTCTCGACGCTTCTTGGGCATGACTGGTTGCGGCTTTGTTTCATCAAGACCGCGCCGCTCTACACAACTCCCTAAATCTCCTCCGGTTCAGATTAATAGTGCATCTGGCTCGGTAAAGCCATTGCAGGAACCGCGATTAATTATCAACTGGGTCTCTCCTGCCGCGTCTCCTCTTTATTAATCAGCCCATTCGCCCGGCAAGCTTCGGTCAGTTTACAACTTAAATCCAATTTGCCAATTCACCCGAAATGGTTTACTTAAAACAAGGAAGAAACTATTGTGGGATAAAAAAGTTTTTTATTTTTATTGATTGAAAAATGAAATAAAAAGCAAACAAAAATGGAACGGTTTTATAACAAAAACCGCGTTTTATTACAAAAACCCATTCCATATATTTTGGGGTTATTTTTTTATACGACCATTATACCTGCAACACATTGCGAAAATTAACAAAGTCACACCGGCCGTTTGCCAACGAACAATTTAATAAAATACCAACAGAAAAAAGTGCACTATCCGAAATTGAAAGCTTTATTAATTACATTTTGAGCTAATAAGTTGGGAATCTACTTCAAACAAGAGTTTTTGGAGTAAGAGCAAACATTTTTTTATCTAACAATTTAAATTGATTTATTTTAAAAAAAATTTCGTCTGAAGACGCACGGCTAAACCCGAAACTTTCTAGTTCTAGGTCTAGTGTTAGTTCTAGTTTTAACTGTTATTCAGTGCTAGATTATTGTAGCACAGCCATCTTAAGAGACGTAGCTTATTCTTCATTTTATAAACTGGACAGATAATTCCTGTTGATAATAACTGTTATTCAGTGCTAGATTATTGTAGCACAGCCATCTTAAGAGACGTAGCTTATTCCTCATGTTATAGACTGGACAGATAATTCCTCTTTTCCAATCGGTTGGGTTGGGTTGGATTTGGTCGGGTTGAATTGATATCCCATGTTCCTGTGGGAAACCCAACCAAACTTCTCTTGGAGAATTATGAGTGCAGTTCAATAATTATATGTTCGCCCTTTACTTTGTACAGGTCTAGGGGAAGGTTATCAATACCGGGCATCTTGTAGTTTCTTTGTATCTTGATAGCTTGCTTAATCTCCTCTAAAGTTAGTAATTGGGGCGTAATTCTTCGTGTCTGCCAAGGAAAGTTTGGCTGAAAGAGAGTTGTGCGCAGTTTATATTTACTATTAGCATGTAATGATCTAATCCACACTTTGGACCACGTTAAGCTTTTACATCTACTTTAAGTTACTTTCAGTCTAGAACTTTGCCGCTGGATTACATAGTCTGTTATAGTTAGGAGTCCTCTGGTTGATTATTATGGTTGGATGCGATTACATAATGCATCTTAGATGGTTCCTATTAAAGGTTTTATTATATTAGAAATAATCTCTCCTTTTCTGCAACTTCATTGGTATCCTTTGTAGCTAGCCTCGTGCTTATCTTTACAGTTATAACGCACTTGGTGCACGTTTTAATTTATTGGCAAGTTAATATGTTTCATTGATGCAAATTTCTGATCATCACCTGTATATGTGGTTATTGATTTAATTGGATTAATAAAATACATACAAAGAGGATTTTAGTTGTAATGAATAATTCTGACTGTATCATTTCGAAATTTGGCTTTAATTAACTAATGAAATGCATCAGTGGTAACGATTTATTCTTTAAAATGAAATTGAAAAATTAATGATGAATGATGGCTTTTTGATGTTGGATTACGTAATAAGCTCCTCTTGTTAGTGACTATTATTACAATAGATAACAATGTCCAACAGTAGCCCCCCTCTATACCTTGTTAATTAAATCATTCACATATTAATTACATGCATTAAGATAAATGTGATTAGTTCTGGGATATCATAACAACGCAACGGAGATATTTTCGGGTCTAATAAACGATAATAATCGTTTGATGATAATCGAAACTGGCGATAATAAATTTAATTGTATACAAAGTTGGTGCGGGTTCAGAAATTCTCGGGGTAGTATTGTACATAATACATACAATATAGAAAACCCTAATGGGCAATTCATAACAGGGGCCCTTTAAATCATTTCGCACGTCCGTTTCGATCGAAACGACATTTATTCTTCCCCCCTTTAAACGCACAAAATTTATTTGACGTTTCGAAAACAATTAATCGGTAATTTCGAAATAATCCGTTCGCATTAATAAACCTTTAAAATTGAATTTATTTTCGCAAATTAAACGAATCGTTTAGTTTCGATTTAACGTAATTTTTATATACGAATATATATTTGAATTCGAATAAATAGTTTTTCAATTAAAATAAATTAAAAGCGCTTAATGAATACTTAACAGTAAAT